AATGTAGCCATAGATATATTAATGACTTTCCAAAACCTTCGCCCTTTTATTCTTTGAATGGTAAAAATACAAGTGTTGCGGTATAATAATTCGCACACACACACACATAATGTTGAACACACACATGTATGTATGTAGTTGTATAACACGGCCGCTATGATCAGTGAAGTGATCATTAAAAATGCACTCAATGTGAAGTATGGGAAAGTGTGTGAGTGCTGATTCAACACATTTGTACTGTTTCAAGACGCTCGAGATCAATAATTCCCAGACGGAATGACTGGACGCCGGGACGGTGACCATTTTATTACATTTTTATTTACCATATGCTTAACAAGATCCTAATCGATGTTTGGGCTGTTACTTAATAGAAAAAAAATATGTCTCGTACTCCGGTTTACGGATAAAGAAAAGATAAAATATACAATTACGTCTATACACATCAATACCCAAAGGAATAACAGTTAATAAACAAGTCATACACATTCCTAAAATATTTTAGGTCATGAAACATTTATTATTTATCTCCTGTTGATATTTGTATATAATCCTATTTTCTCACTGAATCTTTAGTAAATATTACAAAATATGGCAATATTTCGTTCCATTACTTACAGTTTAGAGATTAAGTTTTTTTTATATGTTAAAGCGTAGTCACACAATCACTTTATGAACAATTGTTATTTTTGTGTAGACCACGTGGAATAATTCATGAACGGACAATCGCATACTAAATATAACGAGGTACTTAATACGCGCCCACGCGATGTCCCGAGACATATTGAATGATCAAATTAGGTGCCACGGTACATACACTCACTGTTTACAATTGAAAATATACACAAGTGTTACCTTTTTAAAATACTTCTGTCAATATTAACATATACAAATCACAAATTTCTATCATTTTAGGGATTTATGTTGGAACAAAAATATTCCTATTACTTATTCTATAGCTACACTTACTGCTCTATGTAAAAAATAAAAGCAAAAGCATAAAAAGTAAAAGCACACAGGTAATAAAGGGATTGTCCTTCATCGTAGAGATATATGTACATAACTTGTGAAATTAATGCACTATACAGCATAAACATCTTAAATTGATAAATATTATAAACCATTAAAAACTATAAAAACTTTATTACAAAAACTAAAATACGTAGCTTTTAAGTTAACGGCGCAGATTATAGAAGTGATATCTGTTCCATCCCTTATCAATGTAAATTGCCATTCTCATTTCGAATGGAGATAAAGAGTGTTTTTGTGACTATTTATTTAATGGTTTTCAATTAAGATGTGGCTACTGGCGCAGTTTTCATCTGTTAGCGTCATGATCCCGGCGTTAAGGGCACTTTAGATACGCAGAATTACTTTTTACCTTGATATTTGCGGAATATTAACAAGAGCTACCTTAATATTACTAATATGCAATTCTATACTATAGACTTTACTCATAAACATACGTATGTAGACATTCTCTACTAAATATGTACCTTACATCGAAGATTTCGTCACTTTGTTTATTAATAAATGGCAATAAATGGAAGATACCGTAAGGTTTTAGCGGCTCGAAATGGGCGCGGCTTTCTGGTAAGTAGATATAGTTGACTCTATAGTCTATAAGGTTAAAATTATGTCAACATATTAACATCATAATATGTTAAGATTTTATCGAAAAATTTTAATTAAACTACAACTATACGCATTTATAAAATGTTTATGAAATGTCAAAATACATCTAAAAATAATACAGATTAAATATGAAGGCTATGTACTAAGATAAAAAAAAATAGAAAATAAAAGTCACGATCAAGTCACGCCTTTCTATTTATATGTCAACATTAATAGAAAAACAATATGTTATTTACGATGAGTCTTCAGAGCGTTGACCTATGTAGACTATGCTAGAATAAAAATAGAAAATTAAAATCAATATCACTTCTTATCTGACCCTAGTATTAACGCGTGCAAATCATTATTTAAAAATTGCTACTGCCTGTGAGTAATAAGTAATGTTAACCATTAAATATTTAATCACCCTTTTTGCTTTAGTTACATGAGAGAGTATTCTCGTTCGTGGCGTAGGTGGCATCCGCTAACCCTACTCCCTGGCTAAGTACGTCGTCATTGTTAAATCTTACGATGTTCACTTCACTAATTGTACTTAATTGCTTGTTCAACATCACGCGGACAGTAGACACGCCAGTATTATGTAATTATATTGTCAGTTTCTTTAAATATTACAATTCTTACGAATGTATGAAGATATTTAACATTTTATATCCTTTAACAAGATTCTATTTAAAATAGATACCTACTAATGTATACCCTTCGAAACAATGCGTTGTATAAATTATAAAATGTATATTTATAATTTTCATTTGTCTATCTGCTTATTGTGGAAAATATCTGTAAGACCTAAACCAATTATGATGAGAGTGTTACTAGAAGGTAGCTGGTAGAATACAAAATTGCTAAGGCTACTTTTATTTTATAATACATAATAGAATAAATATTCAGTGAGGATGAAGTCGCTGGTAATGCTAGTTTTAAATATGACGTCACATACTTCATTAAAAGCAGTTTAAACAACACAACTTTGTGTTTATGTATTTGGAAACATTGGTAGATGGATATTCCGTCCGTACGTTGTAATCGTAATCGTTCTTTAATTTTTTAATCAGCCTTATAAGAACATTTTACATTTATGTCTACAATGTTCAATGTTTTTTATTACTCAATAAACTTTTTTAACAATTTTCAAAAGATAGATATTATTTGCTTATCTGAACAAAAACCTTCAATAACTTCGTGTCTTCGTTAATTGAGTGGTTAACATTTTACATTTGCCTTAAAAACAATTACCTACGCTATCGATACCAAATCCTATGCTGATACTTCGGTTTCTTTCATTCCTTTCATTAATATCCTACTCCTTTCGAAAGAAATGTATCAAATATTTACCTTTAAAAATGTATTATAACGTTAATAATTATTTCAGGAGGTAATTTTTTTTAAATACTATTTTTCTTCTACCTGTATAGTGTATAGACCCATTTCAATACATTAACAGCATTCATTTTGTTCCATTTATAAATAATAAAATAAAAAAGAGATAAAACCGCGTTCATTAAAACGCTATCATAAAAATTATGCAGCGTACAATTTAGTAGTAACATGTATAACTTTTTTTTCTACTTCACTGTTACTCTATTGACTTTGACAACGTCATCGGGACAACTTTGAGGATTCGTATTTTTCATTTCTTTCACCTTCAACAGATTATATAAAAAGTAGTATAATAGACATGGAAAATAGGATTTTATTTCGAATTCGTGTAAAAGGTACATATATCTATGCCGCCTAGATAAGTGAAATATATGGCTTTTGCAAACAAATCCGATACTTCCCATAAGAAAACTTTAATTTTTTAGCATAATAAATATATATCTAATGATGGCCAATACAACATAAGAGCCTATTTCTATATACTTAAACAGGAAAATTACTTATTTAGCAAACACAGTACTAGAACTCAATTAAAGTTAGAGTATTGCAAATACAGAACCATTACGCCAAACTTCAAAACGCAACAGTTCCGAGAAGGCTTTAGGTGGTCTCAAATATGTATTGTTTGTACGTTTTAGTTAAACCGAGCTTATTTGTCGACAATCTTAAGCTGCAGCTCACTCTCATACTTTAAGCTCTATGTCTTCTAAAGTAAGACCATTACCTTCAAAGTTAAACCCTGCTCTTAAACTTAATTGCGGAATGCACGGCCCCATCAGTGTGTATTGCAAAATGTGCTAATTTGAAAATGTTTAGTTTACGTTTTAATACTTTCTTATATGGCGTGCAAATTCTCTTTTATGTACGGAACATCTATAGACAGATATTTCATTTGTTCTAAGTCTTCGAGTTGAATCATTAGCATGTAGACATGAAAACTATTTGAAAGAAAAAATTTAAGACACCTTTACCTCGTCATGGTCTTAAGAATTTTGACTGATAAGCCGTTAAAGGTTTATTAATATTGAGAACGGAAGAGAAATTAAGTATTATTAAAGGATAGCCAGACAGTTTTTATTAATAAAACTGATTAGTATAGCTCAGTGACGGAAAAAGAGAATTTAAGAAATATTACTATTAGCGTCTTATAGATACGGCAAAACTTTGCTCAGGAGAAGCAATGTAATCAAATAATTTTACCTGAATGACTTAGACATTTAAGATAATTTTTTAATGTTTACTTAATTCAAATAACCAATACGACTAATATTCAATATAACCTTCAGGGATAGCAAGCAATATCATAGAATACTATAAGCTTATCATTATAAACAATTAATCACGTAATTGAACGAACGTTCATAAAAAAATTGTATACATCTGAACATCATTAAAGGACCTGAATTCCCCTGAATTATTCATAAGTCAGCCCATTGGGTTAATTTAATAGTGTCAATTTCACTGTACTTAAATTAATTAGTATATTAAAAACAGTAAATACTGACTGTAGCACTATCTACCATCACTTTCCGTCACCAATTTCCTTTTCTGTTTATCGTTGAAGGTATAAAATAATTTCACTCAAACAATTACATATTAATATAAAGTATTAAGCCGAGTTGATAGTGAAATAAATATGAAAACTTATTGTATTATTTATTACTTAATCATCATTCACTTAAAAACTATAATCACGGACTCGGTACCTGTAACGTGACGATACCTCCATCCAAGACGTTTTGGTCCAGATCTCAAACGCTCGACAGTACAGATATATATTAATGGACTAAATCTCTTTATTAATAATAATTACGTCTGCGACTATACTTAAGTTAAAATTCAAGACAATTTACAGTAACACAGGCGATGACGTCATCACTCTGGTGATTTCGAGTAAGATTTGACATCGAAGCTAACAAAACGTGGAACTAAAACAAATAACTAGACACTATGAGCACAGAACGTCACTATCATTGTATAGTTAGGACGCGTCACTTGGGTTTGGTTTCCTGGTCAGTGACGTAACGTATGTAGAGCACGTCCTCGGGAGTATCGTCTGAATCATCTAGCTGGGAACAGGCTATGGCCAGCGCTGAACCATCGTGAGAGAACGACAGAGATGACACGGCTGTGTTGTATCTGGAATTATATAGAACATTAATATATACCATTCAGAATATAATTTGTATGTCTTTGCCATCCTACCTGTGTATGTATCTATTATACAGGGTGACTGGTGAATTACTATCGATATTTGAGGACGTGATTTGTGACGATCATATATGACAAAATAAAAATTAATATAACATAAATATTAATAAACTTCTAAGTAAAGTTAACCAAAAGTTATGTAATTAATTACGCATCGTATGAACACCCTACAGATTAGGTATACACATACACTCACACAGACGCGGCGGCGGCGTAGTGTTGTATCAGCACGCCGCCGCACACGTCCACGCTTGGAACACTTGGAACGTGTCAACACTTTATTTATTTATACGGAAATTTTGTCAAAAATTAAGTACCTATTTTTTTTTACATAATTCGAATGAGAATCATGTACCGAGTATCCTCCTTAAATATTGATAGTAATTCACCAGTCACCCTGTATAGATATAATACACTGTCTCACGTACCCCACTGGAGGGGGCGGCATGCGCTCGGCAGTCTAATGACTAGCGCGGAGCAGAACGGGGACGTGCGTCGCTTTAGGCGGGGTAGTAGTGAGACAGTGTCTAGTTATACTTACATGTAGGACCAGGGATCCTACACTACTAATATTATAATTGCGAAAGTTTGTGAGTGTGTGCGTATGTTTGTTACTTTTTCACGCTCAAACGTCTGAACCGATTTCGATAAAATTTTGTATAGGGGAAGCTGACGAAAAGGAATAACACATAGGCTACTTTACATCCCGGAAATCCGCGGGTAACACCGCGGGGCGCAGCTAGTAGGCCATATTTTAAACAACCAACTGCTATATATACTCATAAAATAACTGGAATATTAAAGTTATTAGTAATAATGAGACTTAGGACGTAAATAATATTAGAAATATATATTTAATGTGATATATGGAATACATAATATCTACAGATGAATTGAAAATAAAGTTAATTTATATTGTTTCTATTACAATTTTATATGCAAATTGACTAATATGTTTTGTATGACAAAGTAAAACATATTTATTACTAAGAATATGAATATGTATTCATGACAAAAATATCACCCGACCTTATTATAGTTTAGTAGTTTAAAGATATAAAAAAATATACTATTTATTGTGGCTGTTTAAAAATACATACAACTTTAAATAATTACTAATTTCATGGTACAATACTAAGCAATATATGTGTCTAAAACATTAGCATTAGTAAAAATAAATGAGTTCTAAAGAACTATTGTTCAACATATTCAACTTAAACTGTTACATAAGTAATTTTTTTAACATAAAACAATAAGTATATAATATATGTGATATATTTACCTATGGAACTGACACAGTCTCTTCTTGTTGAATCCATCCCATATATTGACATAGCCATCAGAGCCGCCCGTAGCAAAAGTATTGTACACAGAGTGGAAGCTGATAGCATTCACAGGATATATCTTCTCTAAACCTGTAAAATATCACATCATTTAGATATTATCTTTAAACAACAAAAACTATTACATTTTGTTAAATAGAAATGAAGGTGCAATGACAATTGATTAAATTTTAAGAACACTCACCTATCGATTTACATTTAAATTATACATTCTACTCATATTACAAATATGTATTATAAATGGAAAAAAATTCAAAATGCATGGATATTTATGCCACTTTGAATTAAAAATAATTAATGGATTTTGATAAAACTTTCAATAATCTAGCTTAGACAATAATTTACAAAGACTATAATTTATCTCTTCATTCCATTTTGTTTCCACAGAGATCAATAACAGTTAAATTTCGTATGAAATACAAAGATGGATACAATAGCTGTCTGACAGTTAGGTAACATAATAATATGTACTATATAAAGTGCACAATATTAATTTATCTCTAAATATATCATCTACAACAAAACAGAAAACACAGACTAAACCTAGTCAAATTATCAAAAATAAACAAAGTATTAACAGTAAAAGTATAAACTGACCACCATCCTTTATTCTGTGACATTTGAAGGCGTATTTCTTTTTCTGGACCTCTGGGTTGCTGTCTAAATACTCAACGGCCACTCGACCCTCTATTGAACTCAACACGTAGCCCTGCTTGTTGGGGAACACTCTGATGCATCGGGTCTGGTACTTGAGTGATGATTCCCGTCTTTGATTCACATGTCCCATGTTACGGACATCCCAAACAAAGATCTTGCGACCCGATGTGCCCACTACAAACTTCTCACCGACGATACTCATTGTGTAAACCTGAAGTTATAATGGGTTTCTTTTTAATATTGTCAATGACAATAATGAATGTGGTTTAAAATATTCATTTCCAGATTCATAAATACAATATAGATGTATAGGAGAAGAATAGGCTTAAAACAAAGACATTATACAACAGTTAATTATTATATTATATATCAGTGTAGTACTTTCTAATAATGCAGTATAATAATTGTAGAAAAGTACTACACAGATATCAATATAGTTTAACTAATTAGGGCAAAACAGTATACTATAAACAGAACCCCTTACTACGACTGATAATGGCAGTTTTAAAATCTAACAGACATATTCTGATAATAGTTGATTTGAATAGTGCATCATCGAACAGTTTTGTTATATGAACATAGAACATGTATTACTCTTTCATTCCCTTGATTGTAAGTGCCCACACAGTTTGGCACTCTGCTGTCCCACATCTTGACGGTACCATCCCAGCTCCCAGTCAGCACAGCATTCACTTCACTGGCAAACTCCACGCATCTTATAGCGCCTTTGTGATCTCCGAGAATCGTCTCGCTACCAGCATTCAGGTCGTACATCTTGAGCGTCTGATCCAAACCACCGCTGTATGAATGGACTCCATCCTGTAATTTGATATGTTTTCTTTGAATTTTGACGAGCAGAGCAGCATTTTCAACAAGTTCATTAATACTATAAGAATATGAAATAAACAATGACTGATATATTATCCTATGCTAGGTTATAAAAGCGCGGTAATATACGAAAACGTACTCTAAAGCAAACATCCAGAACTGGGAGTTCGTGATTATATTTATGTCTCTCGATATTAGCTGACACGTCGTACAGTCTCACAGAACAATCCCATGAAGACACTAATATGAATTGATTAGATTTAGGTGCGAATTTCACACTGGATATAGCGTCCTCAGGTAGACTTTTTAATTTAAATTCTGTGCGGGACTCCGCTACCCGCGTGACAGTCATTGTGGAAGCAATTTTGTTGGCTATCAAATAAACACTTTAGAAATAAAATAGTTTATGTTTTGAAATATTTTTTACAAATGATGTCAATAGCACTGCAGGCCATCACAATCGAAAATTTATAAATTACCATAGACTAAAGAGTATATTTATGAGAGAGGTATATAACCGTCAAAAATTATTAAGTAGGTAATAATTTAGGAATTTAACAAAAACTTGAAATAATGAATAAATCAGCAATATTATTACAAATCTTTAAACATGTCTTCATAACAATTTTATGGTACACTAGCTTTTGCCGCGACTTTGTCCGCGTGCAATAGTGACTTCCGACAGATTTTTGGTTCTTCCCACATAGTTCCCGTTCTTACGGGGTTTTCGGAATGGTCGAGTTCCCGTAGAGTTTTCAGGATAAAACCTATGTTTTTTTTTAAGTCACAATGAAGTACTCTTAACCAACAACATATTTATTTGTTTATTTGAATAAAGATTAATATTATTATGTTGATACAACTTAAACAAATTATTTCGACCAAATTAGGTACCATAAAAACGGTTTTTGTGAGTTAATCTTAAAAGATAGACATATACTGTCGCGGTCTGTTCTTTAGATCATTAAAAGAGCTATTATTCTTTAATACATATTTTTTGTATATCTTGAACCGTTTTCACGGCGCACGCAACGGAAGGCTTCAAAGATGAAATAATTTCTCCCGTTTTTTACACATTCACCACTATATCTTTGCTCTTATTGGTCGTAGCGTGATGTTATATAGCCTACAGCCTTCCTCGATAACTGGACTATCCAACACAAAAAGAATTATTCAATTCGAACCAGTAGTTTCGGAGATTAGCGCTTTCAAACAAACAAACAAACTCTTCAGCTTTATAATATTAGTATAGATTTCAGATATAAACATTTATTCACCTATAGTATAACTTCGCAAAAAGGAAGTTTATTTAATAATTATGTTGTTATTAATTTAATTTTATATTTATTATAATCTATCATATAATATTAAATGACTTTTAATTTTGTTATTTTTTATTTCTATCTAAAATCTTTATTTCATAAAATTATGAACGCATTCTTACGAGTTACGATTGACATGTTTGTGATGAGGTGTGAGTCGAAATATCCCCGTTTCGCTGAAATGAATTCACGCAAATCGCTAGTTGCATAGTTTTGTGATGTTACATTTACATTTTAATCGAAAGTGCAAATAAATCAATAATATTATCAGAATAGTGCCTCAATGTACATAGTATTTAATGTCTATGGAAAAACCTTATAATTAAGTCGATTCCGATCGGAACGAATGGAGTGATAAACATTATAACGATGCAAACCAATCCCAAAACTAAAGAAATGTTTATAGTCAGAGCTTTGGAAAAGATATTAGCAGATAAGGACATAAAAAGGTCCTATCACAGCCAGTTGAAAAAGTCATGCGAAGTAGCGCTAGGTAAGTCTCCATTTTGATACAATGAATAATATTATGGTGACATATTTATACTTTATAAGTAACATCTACGCTAATTGAATTAATACTTAGATGAATTTGTAATACGAATTGCAAGAGAATGTGAAATAATTGATGACCTTGGTGGGTTGTAGAGTAGTGGGGATAGTGTTCTTTATTATCATACTTTGAATAATAATAGCTTGCTAATCATTACAACTATTTTAAAGAGATAGTCACTCTAAATTCAAGTATCTTATATATCAACAATGACTAGCATATATTATTAAATTGAATGTAAGATAACTTTAGTATTGTATTTATAAAAAGAAAATAATTTTCATTTTAGAGGAAATAAAAACTGAGCTGAAAAATGGTGGTCAGCCAGAAACATCAGAGAGTCCAACATCAGGAACTTTACCACTACCCAAAAATGATGCATCAAATATCATCACTGCTGAAAAGTACTTTCTACCATTTGAACTGGCTTGTCAAAGCAAAGCAGCCAGGATAGTTGTGACTGCACTGGACTGCCTCCAGAAACTGATTGCATACGGCCATCTCACAGGAAATATACCAGATTCAACTACACCAAGGAAATTGTTAATAGATAGAATAGTTGAAACAATTTGTAGTTGTTTCAATGGCCCACAAACTGATGAGGGAGTGCAACTTCAAATAATCAAAGCTCTCCTCACTGTTATTACAAGCCAGCATGTTGAAGTGCATGAGGGTGCAGTACTTCTAGCTGTCAGAACATGTTACAATATTTATTTGGCTTCAAAAAATCTTATAAATCAAACAACGGCCAGAGCTACGCTAACACAAATGTTAAATGTGATATTCACTAAAATGGAAAATCAAGCTTTAGAGACAGAAGCTAGTAATGCTAACTTAGCAGCAGAGACGCAACATAAAATTCCTAATGGTAATATTCCAAGTGATAGTACCTCATGTGCAAAAAATGAGGATAATAAACAAGAATCTAGTGATAAGGAAGTTGATGATGTGCTAGAAGCTAAATTAATAGCTAGACAAATTGTGGATTCTGTCATAGATAATGCTATCTCAATAGCAACAAAGAAAACTGTTCAAGATGTGACCCAGAATGGACCTGAAAATAATGAAAACCCACCCGATGGTCAGGACAATGTCAGTATTAGCCAAGAGAGCAATGGGCACCTTCACCCTGATACAACAATAGCAAGGATTCCATCACAAGAAAGTGTTGATGTCGCTTCAGAGAATGACACATCAGTGACTGCTAAGTTCACTCATGTACTACAGAAAGATGCTTTCCTCGTATTCAGAGCTCTTTGTAAGCTGTCTATGAAACCTTTACCAGATGGTACACCGGATCCAAAATCCCATGAACTAAGATCAAAGATTCTTTCTCTTCATCTATTGCTGTCTATCCTTCAAAATGCCGGCCCTGTTTTTAGAAATAATGAGATGTTTATAACTGCTATTAAGCAATATTTATGTGTTGCCTTATCAAAAAATGGAGTCAGTTCTGTACCTGAGGTCTTTGAACTTTCACTGGCAATTTTCTTAGCCTTGCTACAGAATTTTAAAATTCATCTGAAAATGCAAATTGAAGTGTTCTTTAAAGAGATTTTTATGAATATATTGGAAACTTCAAGCTCCTCCTTTGAACATAAATGGATGGTGATTCAAGCCCTCACTAGAATATGTGGTGATGCTCAAAGTGTTGTCGACATTTATGTTAACTATGACTGTGATTTATCGGCTGCAAACCTGTTTCAAAGATTAGTTAATGATGTGTCTAAAATAGCACAAGGAAGACAAGCTTTGGAATTAGGTGCTACACCAAATCAAGAGAAGTCGATGAGAATTAGGGGCCTTGAATGCCTTGTATCAATATTAAAATGTATGGTGGAATGGAGCAAAGAGTTATACATCAATCCCAATATGCAAACAACACTGGGAGAGAGACTGGTTAAGGAAGAAACTGATCATCAAAGTATCAAATCTCATGGTGGATCAAGTCTTAGTTTAGTTTCAACTGGATCTAGTAATATTGGCAACAGAGAGACCTTGGATTCACCTGAACAGTTTGAAGTTTTGAAGCAGCAAAAGGAAGTTTGGGAAACTGGTATTGATTTGTTCAACAGGAAGCCAAAAAAAGGAGTTACATTCCTACAAGAACAATCTTTACTAGGAACATCAACTAAGGAGATCGCTGAATGGTTATTAACAGATGAAAGACTTGATAAAACTTTTATCGGGGAATATTTAGGTGAAAATGATGATCATTCTAAAGAAGTTATGTATGCTTATGTTGATTCTATGAAGTTTTCTAACATGGACATCGTAGCGGCTCTGAGACATTTCTTGGAAGGTTTTAGACTACCTGGAGAAGCACAAAAAATTGATAGACTTATGGAAAAGTTTGCAGCTCGTTATTGTGAATGCAATCCAAATAATACACTTTTTATGAGTGCTGACACAGTATATGTACTGGCATTTTCTATAATAATGCTAACAACAGATTTACACTCCCCACAAGTAAAGAATAAGATGACAAAAGAACAATATATAAAACTGAATAGTGGTATAAGCGACAACAACGACTTGCCACGCGAATATCTGTCTCAGATATATGACGAAATAGCAGGACATGAAATAAAAATGAAAAACGTCTCGCGACCGGGTAAGCATATGATAGCGAATGAGAAGAAACGGAAATTTATATGGAATATGGAAATGGAACAAATATCAACCGCTGCTAAAAATTTAATGGAATCTGTATCCCATGTCCAAACCCCATTCACTACCGCTAAGCACGTTGAACATGTTCGACCGATGTTTAAGATGGCCTGGACTCCTTTCCTGGCTGCATTCTCTGTCGGTCTTCAAGACTGTGATGATCCCGAGATCGCGTCTTTGTGTCTCGATGGAATAAGATGTGCAATACGTATTGCATGCATTTTCCATATGTCTTTAGAGAGAGATGCATACGTTCAGGCTTTAGCCAGGTTTACACTGTTGACAGCAAATTCACCTATAACGGAAATGAAGGCAAAAAATATCGATACCATCAAAACCCTTATAACAGTGGCTCATACCGACGGAAATTACTTGGGATCAAGTTGGCTCGACGTCGTTAAATGTATTTCACAACTCGAACTAGCTCAACTTATAGGCACAGGAGTTCGACCACAATTTTTGTCCGGGTCAGGTATTAAACCGCAACCAGATTCCTTAAAATTCAGCCTCATGTCTTTAGATCCTAGTGTTAAAGAACATATTGGTGAAACGAGTTCTCAAAGCGTAGTAGTCGCGGTGGACAGAATATTCACAGGATCTACGAGACTTGACGGTGACGCTATTGTTGATTTTGTCAAAGCCCTTTGCCAAGTGTCTCTTGACGAACTAAGTCATCCTACGAATCCTCGAATGTTCTCACTTCAAAAGATTGTGGAAATATCTTATTATAATATGGGGCGTATCCGTCTTCAATGGTCACGAATCTGGCAAGTGTTAGGTGACCACTTTAATAAAGTCGGTTGTAGTTACAATGAAGATATCGCATTTTTCGCAGTTGATTCATTACGACAGCTATCCATGAAATTTATTGAGAAAGGTGAATTTGCTAACTTCAAGTTCCAAAAAGACTTCTTGCGACCCTTTGAACACATCATGAAGAAAAATAGTTCACCAACTATTAGAGATATGGTAGTAAGGTGTATTGCCCAGATGGTTAACTCACAAGCACCAAACATTAAATCAGGATGGAAGAACATTTTTTCAGTATTTCATTTAGCTGCCAGCGATCAGGACGAAGCAATCGTCGACTTAGCGTTCCAAACTACTGGCAAAATAATAACAGAATTATATGAAAAACAATTTCCGGCTATGATAGACTCATTCCAAGACGCTGTTAAATGTCTATCTGAGTTTGCCTGCAACGCTAAGTTCCCTGATACGTCCATGGAAGCGATAAGACTCGTCCGATCTTGTGCGACGGCAGTGGGAACGTCTCCGCAGCTGTTCGCGGAGCATGCCGGCCTGGAAGGAGAGCCCGGTGCTCCTGAAGTAGACAGGGTGTGGCTACGAGGATGGTTTCCGTTATTATTTTCACTGTCGTGCGTCGTTAGCCGCTGCAAACTTGACGTTCGTACTAGAGGCCTGACGGTCCTCTTCGAGATTATAAAAACTCATGGCGATTCATTCCGTCCGCATTGGTGGAGAGATTTATTTAATATATTATTTAGAATTTTTGACAATATGAAGTTACCTGAACATCAATTAGAAAAGAATGAATGGATGACTACGACGTGCAATCACGCTTTGTACGCCATAGTAGACGTTTTCACGCAATTTTTTGATATTCTAGGATCCCTTTTACTTGAACAGCTTTACGCACAACTGCACTGGTGCGTGCAACAGGATAACGAACAACTCGCGAGATCTGGAACAAATTGCTTAGAAAATCTAGTCATATCAAACGGAACTAAATTTAACGAAGAAACGTGGAGCAAGACCTGTCAAATTATGTTGGATATATTTAATAGCACGTTGCCTACTACACTGCTCACGTGGAAACCTGACGACAACGAAGACAGCGAACACCAGAACGTGCGCCACGGTATATTGAAGAAACCACAAGGTGGTGACGAAGTGAAGTCTTCGAACCGTGTGTTCAACAGTCTGTTAATCAAATGCGTAGTTCAGTTAGAGTTGATTCAAACAATCGACAATATAGTTTTCTACCCGGCGACGTCTCGAAAAGAAGACGCTGAAACCTTAGCCTTGGCTGCTGCAGAGTTGACCGGAGGAACTCCTGGCACAGAACAAGAATGTCAACGTGAAGAACAAGGGATGTACCGGCTGCTCAGCTCACCACATTTATTACGACTAGTCGAATGCCTGATGTGTAGCCATCGATTCGCTAAGACTTTCAATACGAATAACGCGCAAAGGAATGTGCTCTGGAAAGCTAACTTCAAAGGTTCCGTGAAACCGAATATGTTGAAACAAGAAACGCAATCCCTCGCTTGCGTCCTTCGAATATTATTCAAGATGTATAGCGACGAAGCGCGGAGGAGTCACTGGCCCGCGGTCCAGAAAAGTCTCATCACGATATCCTGTGAGGCTCTAGAGTATTTCGGTTCGCTGACCAATGAGGCGCACCGGGATGCCTGGACTTCCATTCTTCTCCTCATTCTGACACGAATACTTAAAATGCCAGACGAACGAGTGAGTATAAAACCAATCATTAACTTTAATATTTATCAACTTCTACATTTTTCATAAATATTACGTTTTATTAGGCTTAAATGACATAGGAACTTGATTGCGATTACATTAATTTACGCCTTACGAATGATATATTTTAATTAATTAATTTGGTTAGCAGAAAGTATGATACATACATTATGCAGCTAGTACATTAAAAATATTCTTAATCTACTGTAGTTTATAGAAAGTCACTTAAATTTATTACCACTAAGGCAACGTTATCCTTTAATATATATTAAGATTGTTTCGCTTCATCAAAATGGTTTATGCGCTACACTCTACAGGATATACAAACGGCTTAGCGTAATTCTATCATTAGTTATGCAATATGCACCGCGTGTAAGGATCTCAGACGTATTATATTCCACACCACGTACAGACAGCGCTGTATATTCTAGTCACACATTAAATATATCCTAATTAATATATTCGCATCCATATATTACACCTTGCTCACAATCCATAGAATTATCGCTTGTTGTAAATAAAGCAGATAAGATGGCGGCCACGATGTTAGACGGATTGTTAGAATTACGACAGTTTAGATTCATATCTTGTTTATATTGAGATAAAGGATTAGATTTCGACTAGATTCTTATAACTGGTACATTAAAAATCCATTTCGATCACTTAAAGAAGTCATGGTATAACATTTTTTCAACAAATGACGAATTAACTGTGTGATATTATTTTAAACACTTTATTTTGCTTGCTTTTGGATTTTGTCCAAAAATTATAAAAAAGGCTTTATTTAATTTATATGAAACAACATTTTTCATATGACATCAGTTAACAATTCATTCATTTCATTTATACGAAACATGTACATGAAATTTCGTCCCAAAAGAATTCATTTTTTATTTATTAGCTAAGTTGTTGTTGTACTATAATAAAGCAAGTTAAATAAAAGCTTATAAAAATTAAGCCCCTCTCTAGTTGTCTCCATATTACTTTCCTATTATTTATATCATACATAATATTTTTATTATAAACTAGGTGTATTTATATATAATAAAACGTATTATATATTTCAGTTCGCTGCCCACGTGTCCAGCTACTACCCCATGTTATGCGAGATCACGTGCTTCGACCTCAAGCCGGAGCTACGCTCGGTGCTGAGGCGGGTTTTCATCCGTATAGGACCCGTCTTCAACATCGTCAACGTCAACACGCAATAAACCGCTTTATTCCTATGGCCTTATAGACTAGAATAACTTAAGATTAGATATAGTCTGCGGGGGAGCACGGAGGAATGAAAAATGTTTTGATTTAATAAATTTTATTGTAATGACAGCGTTCGGTACTTCAGTAGTATTAAAAGTGATCTATCATATAGGGTAGTGTTATTATCTAATTTATATAAATTATTATTGATTATCGAAGTTTAAAAATTTATTTGTATAAATCATAGATGTTGTACGTAAAATTATAGTTTATTCTGTATATTTGAGGTTTTTACAATAATGGGAACTGAATTCACTCACTGCTGCTCGCTTGTATTTCTTTTCCGGCTAGACTGATCAAACTGTGATTGTGATGTTGCTCACAGCTTTCCATATTTATTCCTTTAGTTAATGAGTGACTTCAGGACTCACAAGCAAAACTGATTATATTATCACTTATAAATAAATATAATAATACATTTAGAAAAATGCCTTTGATTAGAAAATCTTCAGGGATTCAATGGACTTCTCGAGGGAGACCAAATCCCAAACGACTAGCTGACCATCCAGACCAGAAGTACTAAACTTGACAGCATTAGCCTTGGTTCCCTCATACAAGTTAATACTAGTTATAGCATTTTGATGTATGGAGTCCAAATAGGTATCGTTGGTTTCAATACGAGCCTGTCTGTCCAATGACTGGAATTTCTTCATAGCAGATAAACCACCAGACTCTTTCCTCTGAGTATTGTCCAGCTTAGCAACAAACTTAATCTCTCCTCCATCATGGCAGTAGAGTAATGGAATGCAGCTATGGCCCGCCACTACCAAAGAATTATTTGAGATCCAAATGCATCCAAGGAATGGTAGATATTCAGTCCTATGTTTGATAACAGCCCTCCCATTAGAAGCATCGGCCACATTTATAGAGCTGTCATGACCAACCCAAGCGACTTTGTTGCCATCGGCAGAAAAGGAAACACTATGCACCCATCCATTTCCAGCAGATGGAAACTCAGCCAATAATTGACCCAAAGGCAACTTAGATCCCCAGACGTTAGGTCCAGGTTGATCCTCAATATCCTTAATATAGGCGGAAAAAACTCTTACTTTAAAATCAGTCGAGCCAGCAACCAAAAGAATGTTATTTGGATGCCAATCTAAGGTTGTGACGGTTGAGCGAATTGGTTTTTTAATATGTTTAGAGACCCACCAATTATTTTCCTTTTCAAAATAGCAAATGGATATCAGGCGAGCTCCGGAGCCAACAGCAAATTTGTTTTCCATCGGAGACCATTTAACACATGTGGCCGCTCTGTTAATACGCAACAACACCAGGGTAGTAGTCCACTTCCCATCTTCACTTTGGGTCCAGACATAAGCGTTGCGGTCCACAGAGCATGTAACGATCCTGTTAGTGTTTGGAGCCCAGTCTATTCCCATGACCCTCATATCATGTTCCACCAGATTGTTAGTCTGCTTCCAATCATTCCCCTCCTTCTGGTAAATATGCACTTCATTGTTATTTGGAGAAAAAGCAATTTCTGTAAAATAAACGAAAAGGAGACATGAATATAAATATGTAAATAATCAAAATTGTTATTAGATAAATATAATAGTAACGAAACGGCTACTATTTCAAACAAGTTCACAAATATTTTATTGATATTAGATGAAGTATTTAAAACACACTTCCAACAACTTAAGGACTAAGTTAACCACTGAACATACAACATACATTACTACTCTATTGCATGAGAGCTATTTCATAAAAATAAAGGTATCTGAATCTGTACAAAGTTTCTACTTTTGTTCTGCTCTTTTTAAGCTAGGATCGACTCTTGCATATTTTCTCAACATCAAACTTAAAAAATATTCACCAACATTTTCCTTCTAAATAACGTATAGCAATTAATAGTACTCACGATTTCTTTCCTTATTCCACGCATGACAAGTTATCGGGGCGCATGAGTCACCTAGTGTAAGCGTTTGTGCCATCCTGATAGTCTGAAAGTAAAAAACTTACATTTAAATTAAAATACGATAGAAGTAAACATTACGATTATTATTATTGTTACCTTTATTAAGTAATTTAACACGAAATAATAACGATTAGTAGAGTTGAACGGGAGTGATTCGCGGACTCTGGGCAGTCAACGCGAATATCTGCAAGACAAACATTTATTAATTATATAAAAGCATTAATGATAATTAAATGTCCATGACTACAACAAAATGGTCAATTAAGTATATATTCAAATCTAAATAGCTTTAAATATCAACTAACTTTTTCTTCAACTTCGGTAAGTAATAGTATACTGCTTGGCAGTTGACACTTGACAGATACCGAGACCTGAAAGTTGCAAGGCTCTAAAGTTACTCCCTATGAAGCTATAAGAACTTAAAATATACATTTAAAAAGAAAAAAATGTTATCAATAGAAAAACAAACATTTCTAATAAGGTTATTTCATTATTTAACTTTGACGCAGTTCAAACTGACATAAATAAAGTATATTATAAAGTCAAGAATTGTTGAGTATTTGTAGTCAGTCATTAATTGTCTTGTACATAACAGTTCGACAATATTCTAAAGTTTGTTGTTTGTTGAGATAGTTTGTTCTTTGTTATGGCGACCTAGCTTGTATTTCAAATAATATGTTTGCTTAAAGTTAATTTTAATATTTTGATGCTGTCAATCCCATCTGGATTCTCGTTTTACATATTGATTGTTGAGTGTTGACATTGACTACTACAAAACAAGCTTAGAAAACACATTTACTACTTTACTACCTTAAAACACTATTTTCAACAGAACTTAATAAATTTTTTTGGCATAATGTCAGGAAGAGGTAAATTAATTATGAAGTCAACACCAGAATCGTGAAATTTGAATATGATACGATTTTCATACTTTCAAACATATTTATTGTTTTTGTTTTAGGAAGACATCGCGGCTATCGGCAGCGAAATAATCATACTTTATCAAAAGTGGCCAAAGAAACAGCCAACTCACTGCCAGCGGATAGTCCAGTTCTGGCGATGTTTAAAGACATAGCTGTAAAGTTAACTGATCGCCAGGACAGACACGAGAGACTTGTAAAACTTTCAAGAGATATTACTATTGAAAGTAAAAGAATAATCTTCTTGTTGCATTCTGCTATCACGTAAGTTTAAATAAAATCTAGAAGTGAATTGTATTATATCATATACTGAATTTATTCATCTATCCTAGTACAGAATCTTCAGAGAAGGCTGTCAAAGAAGCAAATGAACGATTGGATAAATTAATAAAGGGACCAATCAAAAATATTGGAATTGAACTGGAAAATAGTCCAGCGTATTTGCATTCCCGAGCCGTCACAGCTGGTTTCCAGGAGTATATAGAAGCAAGGACTTTCTGCTCTATAATGGAGAGTAAAGTTATTATAAGCTGGCCAGAAGTGCAGAAGGAATTTACATATGTCATTAAAAATGAAGATTCAGAGAGGTCTTTGGTCACAATGTTACCACAAATTGACTACATGTTGGGACTTGCCGATCTCACAGGAGAGTTGATGCGTAAGGCTATTAACAGTATCTCAAGTGGCGACAGCCATGAATGCTTTAGTGCCTGTCAGTTTGTAAGGGATCTTTACACTGGTTATTTAGGTATGTTTATAACCAATAACTTCAAGTAAAAAACAATTTCAATGTGTGCAATTGTATGAGTCTCATAAAAATGAAATTAATGAAATATTTTCATTTTAATTGTCAATTATAATAAAAACATTTCGTATCATACTTAAGTAAAAAAGAAATGTTCACACATATTTTTTATATTGTTGTTTAAAATGATTCCTTTTAATTCAACTATTGTGTTCTAGGTCTTTTTGGTATGGGTAAGGAACTAGCTCGTAAGATGACAACAACTCGTAATAATGTTGACAAGGTAGAGGCAGCTGTGTATGCTTTACGTGTGAGAGGCGGAGAAGCGCCCCCGCTGCTCCTGATACAAAGCAAACCAGAGTGGGAACGTGAACACTCTGATGATGAAGGCTTCTATTAAAATTTAAAACTAATCTATTATCTACTTTTTTATTATTACCTAGTCACTTTTTTATTATGTATGCAGTTATGTTGGCTCTATAATAAAAAAATTGATAACTAACTCAAATATTTTGCTTAATTGGATTGATGATATTAGGTATAAATTATAATACAAAATAAAATAATAAAAGTATAGTCTTTACAAATAAATAACTATTGTTATTTGGATTAATTTTAGAATATTTGTACACTACATTAGTGATCATTAAAATTAATATCGAATTCCAAAAATAAAACAAAAATATATATTTTTTTAATAACAAAAATATAATTGGATTTAAAAGAATGAATGTTATATATAATCATCTGAATAATTTGTATTACTATCGGGTTCCCACTCATCGGATTCATCTGTTCCGTATGGATCTTCGGGCTCGGAGTCTGAACCAACCAAGTCAGGTCTAGGAACCGGTTTCCGAACCCTTTTGGCGGGCAGATCTTGTGGTACATCATCATTGGCAGATGTTTTCGACCTTGCCTGGCGCTTCCCTGTCCAATGAGTGAAAAGAAAACAAAATGTGCATATTTAATTTTATTATTTTCGTTACATGATTTCTCTTAAACACATATTGATCATTAGAACTCGTAATCGTGATCAACGCTGTCTCCATCATCGTCGACGACCTCGAAGTGATCGTCGTAGAAATTGACAGTATTCGCGTTCACATATATTACATTCCCAAACCGTTCAACCACTCGTATACCTGGAAAAGGTTATAACCTATACGATAAACATTAACTTGGAGGAGGCAAATATATCAAATTTTAGTTAATATTTTGTGTGCATAATATCGCCAAATGAAAATTTCTAGTGATTGAACAAAATATATGAATTATTTAAAATAGAAGAGACCTAAAGACAATATCGACCAACCGTGTTCTATGCGAAAGATACATTCTGTATAATTTACTCTGATGAAGTTACATATGTATATGATTCAGTGTCATTAATAAAAGTGAGTAATATAATCTGGAGATCTAAGATTTTCGCCATTTAAATGAAACTAATATTTTCGGATTTTACTTCGCGTTTTTATTTTTGATTATAAACTCCATACTCCCGACGTTTCGGCTACTTTTCAGCAACCGTGATCAAGGGCAGACGAGATGTGAGAGTCGACACTAAAATCCGAAAATATTAGTTTCATCTTTATATATATATATAGGTTGTCCCATAAGTTTCTTCCCTTTTTTTGATGCGAAATGAATACACGATATTTGTTGTTTGAGGTTGATTTATTGTATTATATATGAACCGTTCTGTTCTATAACCTTCTTTCATCTCTCAGGAAGCCTCTTTATGCCCTCTTTCCAAAATTGTTGAGGCTTACTTGCAAAATATTCGTCTGTGTGCGTTTTTATTTCGCTTATGGGTTTGAAAGATTTAAAAAGGAGATATTTTTTTAAGGAGAGGAACAAGTAATAATCGGAAGGAGCAAGGTCTAAGGAGTACGGAGGATGAGGTAGAACGTTCCAATCGAACTGTAATATTTTTTGTCTCACGACCATCACGACGACACGACGAAGAAGCAAATCGCCCGTAGAGACGCGGTTCATAAGGCCGGTCTCCGTCAATGGGTGTGGAATCCAAACTTCATACCGGTTTGCATATCCCATCTTGATGAAATGCTTATGTACCGTTGTCTTGGGAATGCTAATGTCATCCGCTATCTCGCGAATTTTCAGAGAGCACAGTCTTGATAAGGTCCGCATCCGTCGTTACTGGGTGGCCGCTGCGGTCTTCATCTTGCAAACCAAATTTGCCGGCTCTAAATTTCTTAAACCAATTGCGGACGGTCCTAATGGTCGTAGTACCACTCCCGTAAACGGTGCAAATCTCGTCTGCAGTGTTCTTTGCACTATTGCATTTTTAAAGCAATTTTGCCTAACATGCCGTAAATGCTTCTTTTGGTTCTCCATATTGAACGGGGCAGATTTTTTTTTGAAAGAGGCTTTGTCACCAACGAAACGTACTTTGAAAGAGCTCTGGGACGACTGAAACCTATGCCATAAACGGCTAAGAGATAAGCCTGCATGTTTATATAAGCATAGCCAGTCAGAGTCATTCATAGCGTAGCGCGGAAGAAACTTATGGGACACCCTAATATATCTAATATATAAAATTCTCGTGTCACAGTTTTCGTGCCCATACTCCTCCAAAACAACCTGACCGATTTTGATGAAATTTTTTGTGCTTATTCGGTAGCTATGAGAATCGGCCAACATCTATTTTTCATCCCCCTAAATGTTAGGGGTAGTCCACCCCTAATTTTTTTTTTTTTATTTTTTAGACAAAATTTTTAATTACTATTTTTTTATGATACAACGTACAAAAATACATACAATCCTAAATTTTCACCCTTCTACGATCAACCCTTATTTTTTAATAGCTATTTTAGTAATTTAATCATTTTTCATCTCCGGTCGATAACTGATCAATCGTCATTTAATAAGTTATCCCCGCCAGATATCTACAGGTGTCACTTCTGACCCAGTAAACAGCACGGAGTAGGGATGAGAACGAAGCCGGTCTTCTGTTTCTCTCACACAATTAGACTTCTCTCACTCCCTACACAGTTGTCGGCCATCGTTATTGTTTGTGCATCAAGTGTAGTAGTAACGTTGACAATTATTATTTTGCTAGCTCAGTGTAACTCTCATATTAACTATTAATCATTCCTAATCACTTCAAAACACGGAGATTTATGGCTTTAATAGGTAAACTCCAAAAATATAAATAAAAAAACGTAACAGATATTTCTTGATTATAGGGCGAAACGAAGTTCGCCGGGTCTTCTAGTATATATATATAATTCTTCTGTGAGTGTGTATGTCACTGAAATTCTCTCAAACGACTGGACCGATTTTGATGAAATCTTTTGTGTGTGTTCAAGGGGATCTGGGAATTGTTTAGATTCACAATTTTGTACGCTGGACAATGTTTTTAAATTTTTAATTTATTTGACAACTAACTAATATGTCAATTATTCTGTCGCACTTCAAAACACGGAAATTTATGGCTGTAATAGGTAAACTCCAAAAATAGAAATAAAAAAACGTAACAGATATTTCTTGATTATAGGGCGATACGAAGTTCGCCGGGTCTTCTAGTTTTATTATAATCTTGTTAAGCACACCTGGTCGTGGAGGTGGTAGGACACCTGGTGGGTGATCGTTCGTACTCCAGTGCATCAGATTTCGTCTCCTGCAGGACGCTCCATAAGGACACACTCCTCGTGGACCCACGCCCCAGTCGGCATCCTGAGGATGACTGTACTGCTCTAAATGGGTTGGATTCCGTCTGAAATATGATAGTTGTTATGAGTTATTAGTTTTCATGATGATATATTACATAAACAGTATTGTAATACAGTAGGTAAATACAAAATTTTAATCAAGTTAATTCAATTAATTTTACATTGTAATAAACCTTTATTATAATTCATAGTATTACTATTGGAGTAATATAAGCAGTGGCGGCGTAAGGCGTGGGCGACGTGGGCAACCGCCTACGGCCTCGCGGTACAAGGGGCCTCGCGCCTCAAAAAATTTTAAAGCGAGAATTAAAAAAAAATCTTGTTCTTCTTCTTCTTCCTGGCAATTTCCCAGCTATAGCCAGGGTCTGCCTTACATGTTGTGATTAGTTTTGGCTATTTGTTTTTACAACTGGTCGCCTGCCTGACATCAAACCTCTTTGGGAATCAGAATTAATTAAACCTATTTTAATAAGAATAGTGTGTTCAATGTTTTAATAATATATATTTAGCGAATAAATAGATAGTGTTAAAATATATTGATTGCCCCCGTAAACAGTGACGTTTTTTAATTGTTCTTGTTTTCTTTGTGGATTGTAATTACATTGGTACCTGTACTCGTCTATTTTACATAAAGTAAGAAAAATTTAATTGATAATAAGTATGTAACGTAGTAATTACTTGTATACAAAATACGCTTTATAATATCTTTTGAAGGAAACCAAAGCTTTAAGGTTAAAAAACGTATCCACGTTTAAGTTTTTAAAACTAACAGGTTGTAAGAGCTTCAAGTTGCCATAGAATAGGGCCTCGCGAAATCTGTCTTGCCTACATCAAATTTAAGTCTTGCCCCGCCACTGAATATAAGTTCTTCTTCCTGGCAATTTCCCAGCTTTAGCCAGGGTCTCCCTTCCAATGGAGTAATATAAGTTATTAGTAGTTGAAACAACTGTTCAGAAAATTGAAGTGGAATAATCTAGGAGTAATCAATCATAAAGGATTCGTGACTATGAACTTGTCTTTATGGACAAAAACTACCATGAAAGAGTTAAGATATTTTTTTGAAAATGAACATGAGCAATATAGAGTTATTGACAAACTCGATTTAAATGCAGATTTAATTAGTAATAAACAAAAACGAATTTTTCTAAATTTTGGATAGTTCTTGTCATTAATTCGTAAATAAATCTTTGATGATGAATGCTCTATCTGGAATTCAAATTATAATAAGAAACGACAAAAGACAGAGAAATACAGGTCCAATATCTTATTGCGGGCTGAATTTCGTCGAAAGTTTTGCCGAGGTGGTGAAGAAAGCTACAAGGATATTAAATGTGGATGATCAGAGAACCGATAGCCTGGATCTTTTACTGACAACAAAGCCAGACAGATACACCATCTTGGTCTCATAGTCTTATAGCCAAAGGGCACGAGATCAACTTCTGCAAATCGTAACCACCTCCTCTGGATAAACGTGATAACAGCTCATACAGCAAAAAAAAAAGCAACACAGCTCATTTCCCTTAAATTACTGTGGCTCCATTGAGTCTTATACCAACATTAACTATAAATAGGTTCAAAGAACTCTGCCACAGTCTTGATGTAGATAAACCTAGGACTCTGGAAGGAATTCTAGCCATAGTTATGGACACATATACACCTGAGTTCCTTACTGTTATATAAAAAATTATACCACCTTTCTTTAATGACTAAAATAGTGGCTAAATCTTGTCAATGTGGTAGAGAATTTAAAATTCACACTTTGGGTAATCTCTAAACAAATAGATACAAGGCAATTTTGTAAAATTTGACACCACCGAAACACAAGTGTTGCTATTTACCGCCAAAAGGAATCTTTTTGTCTTGATTTGAACCTCTCACAATGTATGCTTGGGATACTTCGACTCTCGAAAATTCATTTAAATACATGTGTACATATTTTAAATTTGAATTGAATTGTTATTATTATGTTATTATGCTTACTAAAACTGACAATAATAAATATATATATTTTCCGATTTCTATATAAATTATAAGTCATACCTATAACATTGTGCACCAAACATGCATCTCTCCCTCGGCTTTGCAGGTTTGACTAGATCTTGTTTAACATCACACTGAGCTGGTTGCTTGAAAACATTAAAAAAGTAGATTTAATAGGATGAACAACATTTATATCCAGGAATTTTGAGTATGGTTTCCAGATATACTATTCTTTTGATTACATTACATTTTTCTCAGCATTAAAATAACTTTAGAGTTACCATGATTTTGGGGAGACAATATAAGTATCTGTCAGTTAATCAAAAAGAACACATCTGTAAAACATAATAAGATGAGTCCAATTTTATATTCAAAAACACAGTTTCATTAAATGTGTCAATACAAAAATCTTACATATTATCCTACTAATATTATAATTCCGAAAGTTTGTGTTTATGTGTGTGAATGTTTGTTACTTCTTCACGCTCAAACGGCTGAACCGATTTTGATAACATTTTGTATACAGAAAGCTGACACCGCGGGGCGCAGCTAGTACATATATAAATTTAGTTAATTGTCACTTAAAACCCAATTGAGACAGATTTATCTTTTGACTGCAATAAGGTCATCTTTACAGCTACATTTAGTATTTAAATAGTTGAATACCTTTTTATCTGTACTGCAGCCTGGTTTGACCTCTGAATTATTATCTTCAGGAGTTGAGGGTTCATCTTTTACAGTTTGTTCAGTTTTGATAATTGGTTTACTTTCAGTAATTTCTTCAGTTTTAATTTTCTTTGCTTCACTACTATCCAGACTGTGTGGTCTTTTACTGGGTGATTGTTTAAAATCTTCCGCTTTCTGTGTATTATATTGTGTAACCAACTCTGTGTTTTCTAATCTTTGTGACTGCTCTGTTAATACACTCTCCTCATTTTTGGATGAGTCATTGTTAGGTGTACTTACTCCATTGTCTATGCTAGCTGTAAAAGGAACAACATCTCTTAAATTTTGTATTGATATTGAATGAGATAAGAGATATTATGAGAGATCGCTGTTTTAGCGATAAGGCCGCCTATAGTACATTTTTCTTTTCTTTGTTTAACTCATATTCTTTTTGTCTATATTGGTGTGCAATAAAGAGTATATAAAAAAATAAATGTAATTTAACTTTAAGAATCAACAAGTACGTCATTGACCTACCTAATAGAGATGGTGATTCAGGTCTAACATTAGCATCTCCATCGTCAGCACCATTCAAATTTACATTAGGCTGTACATTATTTATTAAACTCCTTGCTTCACAGTTACCTTGTTCCAAGCACAACTCTTCAGTGTCATTGTCCGAGTTAGTTTCTGTACAGTGTTTATTTTCATCGTGACACACAAGTATTTCAAACCAATATGAATCAGGTAATAAGCCAAATCTGTCACCATGGTTTAGAATTATGGTGTTATTTAGTTTGAGAATCTCGGTTTCTGTGGATTGCTTCTTTTGGAAAAAGCAAGGATTTAAGTGTAGCTGGAACAAAAAATAAGATGTAGTTATAAAATTTATGAATAGTGGGTAGAAAAATAAGAATTAATGTAATGTTTATTTGTATAAAATAACCAACATTGTTTTACTTACAGATTTAATTGTCAATGAGTCATCAGAAACAATTATCTGGCCGTGTTCTCGAGATATCCTTTTATCGGTACACTGGAATTAAATATTTTAAAGGGTGATATAATGTCATTGATATTTAAATATATTCGTATCTTAAATATGGCTCTTTTAATAAACATATAGATATCTTCGTAGTGTATTAACTCTTTAAACTTAACTTACTTCAAGTAGTTTCCCTCTACCGAAAACATGTTCACCTTTAGGAAGATTTATTTTGCAAGGAGATATTGTATCCGTACGAATTAATTTTATAGTCATAACTTTATTCTTTCTTGTCTGTATCCAGCACTAGCAAAGAAGAATCCGAGTAGGAACTAGGAAACAATATAAAGTATTTTGTAAATAATAATTTTCTTTTAAAATCGCAAAACTTCGTTTGACAGTTGAGTGTTTAAGTTACTATTGAATGTTTTACTATTACTGTTTTAAAAAATTTTTGTTTGCAAAATTATTTTTACAAATATTATTGTAAATATTTTAATTTTCATTATTTTATCGTTTATAAAATAAAAAATAAATCGTTACACAAACTCTATTTCTGCACGTTTTAAGTGTGTACCACTTGTCATATTTAATGATTTATTAAGTGTCATATATTCTAAATCCATCAATATTTTTAATTCTCATTAACAGTTGTCTGTTTTGTATTAAACATTATAATTTCAACAGACGATAATGTGTGAATATTAAAATTTGGCACCTTTTAGAGCAGTAGGCAAGGCTATGAAAATGATTAAAACTTCAAGCATAGGATCTAACCGGCCACTTTCCGGACAGTTGTATAAATACACAAACGTAGTCAAAGGCTGGCAGCAAAGATGGTTTGCTGTAGACCCCGAGACTGGGGTTCTATCTTATTATTTATTTGATGGCCCTGGAGACACGGTACAGCCGGGACAACCGGCGCGAGGGGAGGTTTGTTATTATAAATATAATATGTTCTTGAATACAATAAGGGTATTGACTTATTAAAACAAGCTTTCTTTTTAAGAAATAAATGTCTTTAAACCGAAGCTTGAATTTAATAAAGTCTGACATTTTGGAGCAATATTTAAGGATACTATTTAATAAAGAAAATAAAATAATTTTCTACTGATCAGGCTCATTTGGCAGCTGCTGTGATTTGTCCAAGTGATGAAGACTCTCGCACATTCACTATAAACTGTGCATCAGGAGACATGTTAAAGCTTAGAGCCACTGATGCTCGAGCTCGTCAGGAGTGGGTCAATGGACTTAGAGCAATTGCAGAAATACATACCAAGGTAGTTAAAATTTTAACATTTTATAGTTTAGATTAGAGAATAATTACATTTAGAGTATGTTTGTAAGGAAGCTCAATCAAATGTACAAAGTTCAAATATGTAACATTTTTCTATAGTTTGCATTTAAAAGTATTCATAGGTAAAAGAAATTTTGAAAAACCGATCTTTTTTATGCTATATTAGGCTATGGGTGCCAATCCTCCACTTCAACCAAGGGAGCAGCTGGCCGTTCATGATGCAATGGCTTCAGCGAGGCAGCAACTACAAGCCACTGAACTGAGGTAAAAATCCTTAATCCTTATAAAAATTGCACATTTCTAAATGATTGCTAATTATATTGAGTTTACTCATACAAAACTCAGTTAAAAAGTCACTGAGCCTGTTATTTAAAATATAATTGAATATCAAATTATTGTAAATTATTTCAGTGATGCAGCTTTAGCAAGAAGTATTGAATCATCTGACTCACCGTTCCCTCACACAGATCCAGATTTGTTGCTGTTAAAGGTATCAACTGATTACTGATAACATATATTAATCAATTCCTTCTATTTTCTTTCTACATTAATTGTATATTATAACATTATATATTTTTAATGAATATAATAGCTGTTAAATACTCATACAAAATACATAATTATGTACTTGTTTATAGAAACAAGTTAATTGGTGAGTTTTTATAATTTTTTACTGAGATAATACCTTATGTGGAAATATTGTTAAAGATAACAGTAACCCTTATACGAGTAATAACTTTTTACATGAAATTTTTAAGTTACCAGTAACAAAATTCACTATCAACATACCTCCCTAAGGCTATTACTTGAAAATTTGTAAACTAGTAATGTTTTATAAAGTAATTGACTAAAATTATTTCAGGCAACCTCAGCAGCCAGCATGCAATGCCTACTTCAGTGTCTTGGTATTTTAATGCGCCAACAACAGTATGCAACACTGAGCATCTCAAAAACATCCAATAGTGATCACTAGTCTTCTTGCTATTTGTAAATAATGTACTTTAATTAAATGATTATTTAAAAATAAATGTATTGTTTGCGATTAGATTTTTTTTAAGAAAAATAAACTTTTATCTAGAATGTATTTTCGAATTATGAAGTGACGTGGCGAAAAGAATTTAGGAACCTTAAAAAGTTGTTTCAGATAATAAATATTTTATTATACGATTAAAGCTTATTTTATTCCTTTATTGAAATCTTACGTTGTAATAATTACTTGGTAGTAATCAGTAGATACTGAAATATAATTGGATTAACGTAAAAAAAAATTGTTTTTCGAGTTTTTTTTTATATTTATGCACAACAATAATTGATACCTAAGATAAATATGTAATGTAATTCATTAAATATCTAAATGAAATTTGCTGAACGTTATATACGTTTGTAGCGTCGTTTTATTATCGTCATTTTTTTATAGTAAGAATCAAACTATACAATATTATATCAAACATATAAATAGGTTTTAATATATTCAATTTAAAAAAAAAACTTGATTAATATTTGACAGATACACCCTATTAGATTCGGAAAAGCAAATGTTTTAATACAGCCATTAAATTTTCTTTCGTTTTTTACTTGTATTTTTGGTATAATTTTACATATCAGATATGTGTGATCAGGAGTTCAGAACATTACGAATCGATCCTCGATACCCATTTCAAAACCAGACTAAGTGAGTATTATGCTTTTTATCCAACTAAAAAACTATTTTTCTTTTAGTGTATGTGCTATGAAAGAATCATTTGAAATTCTACACGTGTATACTTAGGTAAAAATCATCCTCATCATTCCTCATATACACATTAGACATAGACATTAGAAATCTTTATCTAATATAAAGTATCGAAATATTGATTAATAATATGGAAGTTATTTCCAGGGCTTGCTACGATAACTACTGCGACTATTATAAATGCATCCGTCTTCTGGGCGATGTAGACGATTGCAAGATATTCAAAAGATACTTCCAGACCATCTGCCCCAACTTTTGGATCGAACATTGGGATGATCTCCGGGAGAAGGGAGCTTTCCCTGGACCGATTTAAAACTGAACTTTTCATTAAAAAACTCTTTTAATTATCTATTTGTTTATTTATTTTCTCAACGTTTGCTATTCATATCCGTAAACAATAATGGAAAATAAAACATAATTAAATGTAACTCATTTAATCTATATCACGTCTATCTGAAATAAGAATTATAAATAAACATAGCTAAGCCAGCGCCATCTAGATCCTGCCGGGGAAGGTGCCCTCGGATCTTTGGGTGTCCCATTTATCAACCCATTCATTGGGGCAGAGTGATTTGTACACGCGCATGAAGTAGTTGCAGGGTTCGTAGTTCTCACCGCGGACCTTCTGGCACCGGTGGAAGTCCAGGTAGCTCTGGTAGCAGTGCCTGGAAGAAGCATTACACTCACTAACACACCTGACATAACTCATATAAAACTTAGAATATATATTATTGTGAAGCTTTAAGACAATAACAGTCATTAATATATACTGTCAATGTTAGTAGAAAATAATATAAATAAATATATATTTTATAACTGTTAAAATACTGAGATATTAAAGATATCAAAGGATATTTTAGTAATTAGATGAAAAATAAAAATATACAAGAAATTAAAGTAAGGTTCAGATTAAATTGAAAGTGTAGGATGTACTATTTGAACTTACTTTCGCTTTGTACTATTTTGAAAGATCTTTGTATGTAATGTTTACACTTTTAACAAATGATATGAAGTATAATTTTCGACGTATTCATTAATTGAAGTCCACTTTGGCCAATACAGCATTCTTCTTCTTCGGGTCGGTAAAAAAATTAAATAAATGGTTACCTTGTCTGATTCTGGTTTGGGAAGCGCGGATCAAAAGGTGCAGTTTTGATGTCGCTGGGCGATTTGATCATTTCAGGCATTTTACTGTAACCAAATACAAACCAAGTCATTTTAACAATTCTTTATTTTATGTCATTATAAAATATTCTAATGGGTTTAGATAGGCATACAAATTAACATAATACAGTAAATTAAATTACAATAAAAAACTGCATAGGCATGGAAGCCGCAACAAAATGTTAACCTCTGTCATTTGACGAGAGGCCTAGTCTTTCTCTCCTCTTGACATGAAGTTTCCCTATATTTCTTCACTTCTTGCATATAAAGAGACCAAGCATCTTTGGGCGTGTTGTCTACTGTTTGTTCATCTATAGCTTTAGCTTTTTTCACCAATCCTGTTTTAAGTACTCTCCCCCCTCGTCTTTTCCCTATAAACGGTAAAACGGGTTTCTTGACAGGAGGTTTTGTTTCTGTCGCTTCAATCTTCTTGGTTTCTTCTTGCATCTTCTTAAACATTTCCAGAAAACTTCCATCGTTCTTTATTGGTATCGGTACTGGCTTGGACTTCGAGGCTGACGGTAATTGCATTACTTGTTCTGGTGTTGGTAAAAGTTCAGCGAAATTCGGGCCTTCCACTTCTGGTGGGACTCCATACTCGATGTCGTCCAATGCCGTGGATTCAACTGCACCGGGCGGAGCTTTTATTTCCTTAGGCGGAGACTTCACCCGCTCCATTTGTCTACTTCTGTGCATCTTCCAAAATCTTTTTCTGTCTGCCACTGTAAATTGACCCCTGCGCTCATCTTCACTTCCAGTGCCACTACGACTACGAGTACGATTGCGACTGCGCGACCGGGAGCTCCGGGATCTGGATCTAGACTTAGACGTCTTAGAACTTCTTGATCGTCTCGATCTGTACCGAGAACTTGACCGACCTCGAGAGTGGGATCTTTTTTTACTTAGGGAACGTTCCCGTGACCCGCTGTGGCTCCGTGAGCCGTGTTTGGATTTACGTCTCGTGCGACGTTTTGAACGAGACCTATCAGATGAATCAGAAGAATGACTTGACGAAGATCTGCTTGGAGATGATTTCGGTGTGAGAGATCGCTTTCTTTTGCTACTAGGTGATAGGGATTCGGAATGCGATCTTGAACTAGGAGTAGCATCTCTTGCATAACTCCGAGGGGGTGTCACGGAGCTGTCTCTCGTTTTTTTCTGTTGAACTTTTGTTTTGGAACTTGATTTTTTTTGTGAAGATCGCTCAGACTTTTTATTTACCGGTGGGCTTTTGGAATATCTATCAGATTTCTTTCTTATTTTTGAAGAGTCCGTGGATTTATTTCTAGGCGGAGTAAAAACTTCACGCTCTCTCTTGTCTTTAGTCTTGGTGTCTTTTCTGGGCACCGAGGTCTTTTTACCTTTAGATTCCTTGTCATACTTATATTTCGGAGAGCGACTTTTTCCCTTTTCATAAGACTTTGACCTGTTCCGCGACTGTGAAGTTTTATTTCGCATTGGAGGAGTCTCTGAACGATCCTTTCTGCTCGTTCCGGCTTTCTTATAAGATCTATCGGACCTGGCCGATTCAGATGACCTGGACTTCCTTGATTTCATATCTTTTACAGGTGACCTAGAGTAGGATCTAGATCGATAGCTTGACCGGTCACTCGACGAATACCTTGAACGTTTAGGTTTGGAGGCACTACGTGATCTTCGCCGTCTCATATCCTCATAAGTGTCTCTTTTCTTCGAATACTCTCTGTCCCGTCTATCATAGGGCGATGCGCTTCGGGATTTCGATTTGTACGACGGACGTCGGCGGTCGTATCCACGAGTTTCAGGAGAAGGCCGAGACCTAGTCTTGTTGTATTCGTAACCGCTCTGGCCTTGGGATGGATAAGCACTACTAGAGTTGTAATAACCCCCATCGGGCTGGTAATAAGCGGAATCGTAACCATAACCGTAAGAGGGAGCACTGTAAGAGTGATAATCGTATTGAGGAGCGCCGTAATGAGAGTAGCTGGCCCCCGTCCAGGGGTCGGTGGTGGGCACGGGCGCGGCGAGCGGCGGGCCAGGCGGCGGTGCGTAGTCCGCCTCGGCGCCCGGAGGCCCGCCGTCCCAGGAATCCGCATCACCGCGGTACGAGGACATACTTATAAGAGCCTCTTCGCATAACCTGCGGCAGTTTGTAGGTATGCACACACCTACAAACAGAATAACTTTTCGGTGTAGAAAACAACTCTGCGATCTCCGTTTTAGATAATTCTCGCTTATTCGATTGATGTTTCGTTGTAAGTATATTTTGAAACAAATTACGTAATACGTAGCCGTAAATGAAAATAATGATTTGACAAAGCATGCGTTACATATAAAGCGTGCATTATTATACACATGGGAAGTACCTTAATACTTAGGCTTACCTTGTAATTCTTTAAAATTACGTTTAACTCAGAAATATGGATCTACGATTAGAAAATGGCAGCGAACACATTCGCTTCCAAAATGTAGAGTATAGACAACTTGACAATAGACAGTGGTATTCCAGATAACATGTTAAATATTATCTTTTGTTAGATATACGAAATTTTTTCGATATATATTGAATATTTAAAGTTATAAAACTATTTTTAATTAATTGTGAATATAATTTATTTTCATTAAATATTTTATAAATTATGTGCTAAACTGTGAAATTTATTTTATTTTAATTAGTTTCAATTGAAATTTGAATTGATCTGTTAAAACTTAAACGTCAACTGTTTTCTATAGCGATTAGCGGGAACGTGCCGTGAGCCGTCATTTATACGGCAAAAAGATTGTTTATTTGTAGTCCTTTGTAAAATAAAGTAAGCGAACTAAAGCAAATCATATAAATTTACCCTATGAGCAAATCTAAAGTATCAGCAGAATGGAAAAAGAGAGTGAAATCAGAATATATGCGGCTTCGGCAAGCAAAGGTAGACGCAAACCAAGTCTTTGTTCATTTTGAAATAGAGACATTGTTTATAGTGATAACATGAATAATTATGATAATAGAGATTCAAGCGGGCTGATGAGGTGAAGGTGGCATGGGCTCGGAACTTGAGGCTCATGTCGGAGTCCGTTGAAATGCGTGACAATGAATGCTTGGAGCGTGGGAGAAGACCTTTCTGGCCTCCACCAGCACCGACACCCAGCCACGAGAGCCTCATGAAACGTGCTGAAGTTTCTTGTACAGATGGTAAATTCACAACTGGTTTTTTTCTATATTTATATTCCGAAACTGTTCAATGAACTATGATATTGGAATTACGTAGTAACAACTATCTTTTATTAAAATATTTAATTCCACAGCATCCGGAGTAGTAACAACTCAGCAAGTACCGATTCGGATCATTAACTCTGTGAATCCGATCCCTACTATGTACACCTGGGCTCCGACACAGAAAAACTTTATGGTGGAGGACGAGACTGTGCTGCACAATATTCCCTACATGGGAGACGAAGTACTGGACCAGGATGGTACATTCATCGAGGAGCTCATAAAGAACTACGATGGGAAAGTGCATGGTACATCGGCTTTCATATCATATGTTGGTGGAACTTAACACACTTCTAGGTTGTCCACAGAGGTTGGCCTCTATACATGACCAAATCTTCGACATTGGTGTGAGGCTCTCATCTGTGCTTCTGATATTAAAGTTAATTGAATTGTCACGAGCTTTCCAGATATCATGCTTATAAGCTTATGAAAACTTTACCTGTATATAAAACATTTTTCAATATAAAACATAAACAAATGGTTTAAGCACTATTTTAAGTCACACATTTATATCATATTTGTATAATTTGTTTGGTATGTAATTACTGTTTACTTATATACTTAATTTCTTTTTATCCTAAGGAAATATTGTATATAATTAATATTAGATATTGATTTTTACTTCTTAACTGTTGCCAATAACATTTCAAATGATGATGTTCCAAATGAAATAACTGTGTACAGAGATATAAATGCTTATTTATTATTATTATTTAGGTGATAAAGAAGGTGGTTTTATTGACGACCAGCTGTTTGTGGACCTGGTGCATGCTTTGGTGGCCTTCCAGACTGGAGATGAGGTGGCCGAGGAGAGGAAGGAGAGGGAGTTGAGGAGATCTAAAGAAGATAAGGAGGTACTTACTGAAAGACTTTATTATATTAGTTAGTTTAATACATGAATGTTCTATGGTATTGTTATTTGGGAAGAAAATAATATTTAAATGAAACTACTATTTTTCGGATTTTACTTCGCGTTTTATTTTTGATTAAAAAACTACATACTCCCGACGTTTCGGCTACTTTTCAGTAACCGTGAAATAAAATAATATTTGTTTTATTTTAAACTAGCTTTCCGCCCGCAGCTCCTCCCACATGGAGTCCGGTTATATCGTGTTTCCAAGAGAACCTTTCAAAAGTCTGGAATAAAAACTATCCCATGTTCTTTCTCAAGGTCAACTCCATCTCTGTACCAAATTACTTACTACTACCAAATTATTTATTACTCATTAAAATCACTTCAGTGGTTTATGCGTCAAAGCGTATTTTTCATTGTCAACCCCCCCGCAACCTCTTTTGTGGGTGGATTTTCGTAAAATCCGTTCTTAGCTGACCTCTACTCGGCGAAAGGAATAATCATACCAAATTTCAAGTCGCTACGCCTTATGGTTCCAGAGATATCGTGATGAGTCAATATAGGTGGAAATCTCTTTTATATATATATATATATATGTATCTCTATCTATACAGGGTGACTGGTGAATTACTATCCATACTTGAGGACGTGATATTTGACGATCATATATGACAAAATAAAAATTAATATAACATACATATTAATAAACTTCTAAGTTAACCAAAAGTTATGTAATTAATTACGCATCGTGTGAACACCCTACAGATTAGGTTTACACACAACCACACACATACGCGTGCTGCGGCGTGGTGTTGTATCAGCACGTCGCCGCACGCGTCCACACTTGGAACACTTGGAACGTGTCCACACTTTATTTATTTATACGGAAATTTTGTCAAAAATTAAGTACCTATTTTTTTTACGTAATTCGAATGAGAATCATGTACCGAGTATTCTCCTTAAATATTGATAGTAATTCACCAGTCATCCTGTATAGATAGAGATACATATCCAATTTTGATCTTCAATTGGATAAAATCATATAATATTGATTGAGAAATTTAAAAAATAACAAATAAAAAAAATAATTACAGATAATTTGTGTTCTAAATCTTTTGCTATAATTATATATTATTTTAATGTATTTGTTAGTCATAAGTGATGTAATGTATTCCAGAAAGAATCATCGAGTGAGGTGAAAGATAAAGAAGAGTTCAAGGAAGGCGACAAGTCGCTGGTGTACAATGAGAAGCAGTTCCCAATCTTCACTATATTCCAGGCCATCAGTTCACACTTCCCCGACAAGGGCACAGCACAGGAACTCAGAGAAAAGTATTCACTTCATTCACTAGCATTATTTATTAATACTAGCTGCGCCCCGCGGTGTTACCCGCGGATTTCGGTGTTTTTCCTGGACGTCAGCTTCCTGTATACAAAATTTTATCAAAATCGGTTTAGCCGTTTGAGTGTGAAGAAGTAACAAACATACACACACACAAACTTTCGCAATTATAATATTAGTAGGATTATCAATACTTGAAGCCTTGTATAGGCCGAGTTAGATGTGTAAGAAACATTTTACAGCATAAAAAGTTATAATAATGAGTGAAAAACATCTTATATATAGTTATAGATAATTAATTAAAGCAATATATCTTAGTCATAATGATAGTGCACTATAGAAACCTCCTGTTTTTATCTTGAAATATTTTCTTTTATCTTGGAAGAGCTAATATTTTATCTTATTGAATAACTCATGTACTAAACTAACTTGTACTCTAAACTGATACTAATGACTATAAGTATACATATATAAAAATAGTCCAATTATTGATTAATTATAGTAGGTGAGCCCAAGCGGCGATTTCGCGATTTACTAAAGCGCGGCAGATTAATATACGGGGGGATACCTTGTACCCAGTTAAGTACCTCCACAAACCATGAGGCACATATATATAAGGCCGCCGGTGAAGGATACAGGATCAGATTAGTAAAGAAAAATGACCATCAGAAATTCTCGAGCGCGCCAGATTAAGGTAGGGTGAGTTAATTACACCCTAAAAAGTGTATATTCCACTAATCTGACAATTTTAGAGTGACGTAAAAAAAGGGGAGGGGAACAAAGTTGAAAAAAAAATGTCATCTCGACTTTCTCAAGCGTAGCTAAATTTTTTTTATTTTGAAGGAAATACTTCAAGAATAATGAAAAATATATAACCTGACGATTTCCACAAGCCGAAATAACAAAAATTCGTCGATAAAGTTAAATGCGTGCAGCTGCGTGATGCCTACATTTCCTTCTCCGCGTTTCTATTCCTCTCTCACTCTTTCTTCTATCTCTTACTCTCTCACTCCGACCCACTCTAGTTTCTGTTGCCATGACGCCATCACAGCTGATCATAAAGACTTATATACTGTCATAGACTGCCATACTGTTTACAACGTGATTCCAACGTTTTGTTTTTTTTTGCTATTTTAATATTATTTGAGTGAATTAAAGTTTATAAACATTTAATATGAGTGATATTAATTTGAAATGTGTGTTTTGTGGTGAAAGTACGTTACAAAAAACAATTAAATTTACGGTTGATACATTAAAAAAATGTGTGAATATTTTGGAATATCGTCGGAGCAAGCCGGTTATATTTAAAAAAATAAAAAATTAAAATTAATTTTTTTTTGAAAGTGTTGTTTTGGGAATCTTTTAACCGGCTTTATCGATCAGCTTCAAAAACCACGTCGATCGCCACCAAGATGGTCAAAAGCGGTTGATTCGTTCGAGAGATATCGTGAACGAAAGAAACCCGAAAAAGTGTTTTTTCGGGATTACTCTGAAATTTGTGGTTCAATCAATTAAAATTGCAAAATTACTTATGAGGATGATAAAACTGCGTCGAAAGCCGCTAACCGTGTGAAAATCGGTTGATCCATTCAAAAGTTATTGAAAATTCCAAAAATAGTGTTCTATGAAACTTCTATCAGACTTTCGAGCTGGGAGAGCTCAAATGCATAGAAATATTATTTCTTTGAACTCAGCGAGCTCAAAATATCACATAAATTATATTTTGAGCTCAAAAATATCATAAGTACCATTTTAAGCGCCCAGGAATGGAATAAGCGAGAAGTTACAGGGATGGTCTTTAAGGTGAACCGTTTTTCCAATTTTTTTTTTGTCAGATTAGGCGAATCCCTCTACATAATCGTTAGATTATGAGACAGTACGTTTAGAACATAAATATTATCCATATACGGGGTGACTGGTGAATTACTATCGATATTTGAGGACGTGATATTTGACGATCATATATGACGAAATAAAAATTAATATAACATAAATATTAATAAACTTCTAAGTAAAGTTAACCAAAAGTTGTGTAATTAATTACGTATCGTATGAACACCCTACAGATTACTCTACACTACACACTCACACATACGCGCGCGGCGGCGTGTTGTTGTATCAGCACGCCGCCGCACGCGTCCACACTAGGAACACTTGGAACGTGTACACACTTTATTTATTTGTACGGAAATTTGGTCAAAAATTAAGTACCCATTTTTTTTACATAATTCGAATGAGAATCATGTACCGAGTATGCTCCTTAAATATTGATAGTAATTCACCAGTCACTCTGTATATCTTAATCTGACGCGCTTGAGTATTTCAAAATGGCGATTTTTTTGCACATTATGAAAATGGCCGCGAGTTTGCATCCCATCGAAATCGTCAGATTAGTGAATGAGAGCTTTTTTTTTGGTGCACTTAACACTCCCTTAGAAAATCTGACGCGCTCGACTAATTTTTTTATTTTTTCATTTTCAACCCTTAAATACAACCACCCGCATCATGCAAACGGTCAGTATAACATACGCACATTATTAAAAATACGTAGGGCATTGATCCTATCAATATCTGACGCGCTCGAGGATGTCCACGCAACAGTTTTTTTTTTTACATATTTAAAAATCTATAGCCGCTTCCCCCACCGATGGAAAGGTAGATATCATATAACATTTTTTTCTTCTTATCATCTAAGCTTTGCATCCCAATAGGTCTTTGCGACGCTCGAGTAAATCCCCATTTAGCCTCGTGGGCTCCCCTACTATTAGTACTTCTATAAGTACATATTTATATATGTTTCAACACATTAAAGCTATGTGGAGGTAAAACATGTAAGAAATATAGAATAAAAAACTCATCAACATGAGCTGGCTTCAAACCAGTGGAACATTCCAGTGTCTGTGTCATTACCAGCTAAACTATAATTCTCTAACTTAACTCTATATTAAGTATTCTATGTTATTGCCATATAAATGTTTTGTATTAAGGAATGCTTGTGTGCAAAAGGTTACTATACATTATACAATTAATGAGTTTATGATCTATAGCACACCCTGGGAATGAAACAATCGCCTCCTGGCTATTTCATCTCAAATTGTGTATATAATAAATGAGACAGATATATATATAAAAAAGAAACCCGCTGAGTTTCTTTCGCCGGTTCTTCTCAGGTTAGGGTATTTTCTTTTCCGAACCGGTGGTAGTGTCTCAAGTGACCATCAATAAGAAAGTGTAAGGCTTCTATATTAAAGTTATATGAGTTTGTGTTGAGTTTGAGTTAAATGCAATAATTATCGTTCAGGTACGTGGAGTTAACGTCTCGCGCGGATCCGCTGGCTCTGCCCCCCTCTTGCACTCCGAACATAGATGGACCTCATGCGGAGTGTGTATCTCGAGATCAGACCATGCACTCCTTCCATACATTGTTCTGTCGACGGTGCTTCAAGTACGACTGCTTCCTGCACCGTGAGTACTCACACACACATACACACAGAGACAAAAACACACACACACACACATTGATAAAGACACACACAAGCAATTCAATCTACATCATTACTCTTAACGAAAGTGCAGTATCCTTATGATGAGTTTGTGTAAGCAAATAAAGCAATAAGAAACCAACAGGTTCAACATTTTTCATTCATAATACTAAAAGATGTTATTCATTAAATGAATGAATAACAAATCTACAAACTCATTCAAAGGACACTAACATTGAGGAACTATATAATTATCATTCATTCTTTAATTAGATAATACAAATTTTGAGAATATTTTTGACATAAATCAATATTTTTAGAATTTTTAATAACTATTTTAGTAATGTCATATAAAGCTTAATATTATATGAAATTATGTATACAGTATTTTTAATGCAGAGAGAGTTCTTTATAACAAATTAATTATTATTTGATAACATTTGATGATGATCAGCTGTAGTCTGATGCAGTATATATAGTGTTATGTATATGTTGTGTCTATATAATAATATTGTACTGTGTTTGAGTAAGCCTTACCGTTTGTCTGTTTGGCTGACAGGAAGTCAGGCCACAGGTAAGGTGTTACTATATCTGAAGCTCACCTCTTCACATCTTGTTTTCGCTATTTTGAAATCCCCAGATACAAAAAAATATATACTCATAATATTGGCAACAAAAAATATATACAAATTTCAACCCGAGGAGACCTCATGTTTAACATTACGAGTTTTTTTTGCTGATTATTTATTTATTTGTTTGTTACGTCATTAAATTTGTTTTTATCATGTAAATATGATTTATTTTATTTTGTGTATTTTTTTAATTTCCATACATCTAGTGTTTATTATAATCATAAGTAATAATTGTGTATTTGATATATTTTATTTAATTATATCAATGGAAAAAAATTTTCAAGTGTTTTTGCCAGGCATCTCCAGGTATGTGAGGGGTTAGAGGGGGCAGAAGATGTGTGACAAATAAATGTTCAAATTAAAATCTGTCTAAATTAATTGGTATGATCATGTACGACATTTCTTAAATATGTGAGTAAAACAAAGATTAAAGTCAAAATTATACAATAAATATTAAACTATAAGTAACTACCAAATATGTAAAGAAAAATTTAAGTAAAATTATTATATTATTGCTTATCTTAAATGATTTAATATTATTTCAAAAAGTTTACCTTTCATGATCCTACAGCCTCATAATACCATTAATAGAAACAGTGATTTATAACATGTCAAAGTATTTGGTGTTTGTATTTCAACATTTAATTATATATTTGTATGCTTTAAAATAACCTCACACTGCTCTAGGGTAGTAGTATCTTGTGGATTAGGAACTATCTGATTTGAAATATTGTATAAGGACTAGTTTAGTTACTGAGTGGTGTAGGGCTCCCCTCACATACCTCAGGAATGACCGGTTTGTCACATGACTGACTGAGTGTGACACATGAGTCGTAATTGTATACATGATGACATCTCAGACTGTCGCGAGTATTCATTGAAATAAAACTCATATTCTTTCTCTTTACTGCGCGTTTATAATATTTTTTTAACAACATACTCCCGATGTTTCGATAACTTTGCTGAAACCGTGATATGAACGAGATATGATAACGGTTGCTGCAAAAAACCGAAACTGGGGGAGTATGTAGTTAAAAATAATTAATTATTAACTCGCAGTAAGCCGACAAATATTATTTTTATTACCGTATATATGTTTATAGTGTAATGTGTGTGTGTGTGTGTTGTATAGGGCTGCAGGCGTGTCACCCTCGACCCAACCTGTCCAAGAGGAAGGGCCCCGACCTCAAGCCCTTCTCGGAGCCCTGTGGAGCCAGCTGCTATATGTTACTGGTGAGATACACACATCCTGTTGTAATAGGGATAATATAAATTATAATCCTACTAGCTTTCCGCCCGCAGCTTCGCCCGCGTGGAGTTCGGTTATATCGCGTTTCCACGAGAACCTTTCAAAAGTCTGGGATAAAAACTATCCTATGTTCTTTCTCAAGGTCAACTCTATGTCTGTACCAAATTTCATTAAAATCAGTTCAGTGGTTTAGGCGTGAAAGCGTAACAGACAGACAGACAGAGTTACTTTCGCATTTATAATATTAGTAGGGATAAGGGAAAGTTAACTATAAAAAATTCCTGATATTCAGTTACCGCTGAAATAGCTGAATAAAGAATGCCCTAGACAGTACATCAGGGATGACCTTATCTATTTCCTGGTAGGAGTACTGAAACAAAACTTTATCAAATCAGTTGATTTAACTTGATGATCTGTATTTTGAATGTATAAATATTCTCCTAACTGTGTAATGTTTTGTATACAAACATCAATAACTGTTTTAGAAGAAAACGAATTTATATAGATTTTTGCCACTATTTTCAGTGATATCTATATATATAAAAGAAAGTCGTGTTAGTGACTGCACTTATAACTCAAGAACGGCTGAACCGATTTAGCTGAAAATTGGCAGGGAGGTATTTTAGAACCAGGAAATCGCAATAGGATACTTTTTATCCCGTTCAACAGCATTCCCGTGGGACTTGACATGAAACGTCAGTCACTATAAAACGTGGAATAACGAAACACAATTGACAGCTATGCAATTGACGTATAATGACAGATATGTAATTTAGTATTTGCGGGATAAATTTAGAAAATCATTGTTTTTCACATGGGCAGTTATAGTTTGTGTGTTCACGAGTTAGGAAACCATCCGCTTTATTTGTGTTAAAGTTAGACCAAAAAACAAAAAATGTGGTTTACAAAGGAGCACTTCAATGAAACGGATAATTTGCGGACACGTATAACGCTTCGATTCGGTATCTACTTTGGATTTACTTTCATTTACTTAGAGAAGGTCAACTAAATAACACTTCATTTTTGTAATCGAAATGAATTCATTACTGTTGTGAAATGAAATAAATATTTTCCTTTTCTAATATAAAACAAAAAAAAAAATCTTCATTTTTAATCACCAAATCAAATGTTACATCAAACAAAGCCTTCTGGAGGCGAAACGGAGTTCGCCAGGTTTACTAGTATCTAATATTTAGAATACAATTCTATTCTTACCGAGTTTTGCTATTAGAAATAACAGTTTTTATATTCGAGTCTGTCGTTATTTACAATCTTGTATCCAAGATATCAGAGAAAATTCTTGTTATACGTATTTCAGGAGGGGATGAAGGAGAAGTTAGCTCGCGAGCAGGCAGCGGCCGGCGGGGAGGGGAGGGAGGGGAGGGACCGCGCGCTCGACTCACCCAACGACGCCTCCTCCGAGGACAGCAACGACAGCAACCGGTACCAGAAAGGTTAGTACACACACACACACACACACACACACACACACACACACACACACACACACACACACACACACACAAATTCATACTTGAGAAAAATCCATTATTATTTTAATTATTTTTGTCACCTAATGACAAATATCTGCTTACCGAGCTTTGGTATTTAGGAAATTTTAGTATTTATTTTGTGTTTTTAAGTGAACACGTTAAGAAGACACAAAACAATATAAATCAACAATAATTATAGTGCGTTTGATTTAAGCTGAGCTTTGCATTTGTCCCACACAAATACATATACACGGATAGTGTACGTGTCTTGTCAAATTTTTGAATGCCACGTTCTTTTCTAGTTTTGAACTGGTTTATTCTGCTTTTACTCCGCCCCGCACCTTCCTCACTTCACCTTTTGTACCGGTAGCAAAATCAAATATTGTAAACGCATTGTCAAGTGATTAAAAATTTGTATAGTTTTTTCAAAATTTTTAGTAATCAATTTTTTTCCCATAATAATCATAATATTTCCATCTAGCCTTTTACAAGTTTTCCTTATTTTATAGTACTTATGTTATGTATCTATTTAAAATATAATAAATTTTAATTCTAAAAGTTTTTTACTTTCACTCTCACAAATGCAAAGCTCAGCTTAAGTCTAACTGACTATAATTTCTTAGTCTACGGTCAAAACAAACACTCGATGACTTCCTGTTACTTAGCAACATCATCTGCTGTTGTGTCGTTTAACCCTTAACCACCTACCACCTATTTTTGTCATAAATTTCTGCGATTATATTGGGATCTATGATAAGAAAGTAAAGTTTAGTTAAATAAAATACATGGTTAAACTTTATTGCTTTATTTATGCGTCACAAACAAAAGTAATTAAAAGTTTTATAAAAATGGAATAATATCTATGATATTAGGAATATGGCACCATAAATAACTAAACTAAGCAAATGAGATCTTTATTCTAAAATACTAAAATTTTACATTTTTTTCTTATTTCTATTAATTTGAATAAACTTAAAATAAAATGAAATAAAAAAAAACAATAAAAAAATAAACAAAATTGCAACGCCTCAACTATTACATTTTTTCGCAGCAGTAACAACACCTTTTTTACAAAAATTCCAAAAAAAAAAAAATAGGTACTTTACATACAAAAAATAGGAAAGCAGTTTTGTGTTTTTTTTTTATATCATACGTTTTGTATTTTGATTTCATTAGTCTTATTTCATTACTTGTGTGTAGTAAAATTTTGTCCAAAATCTAATCCGTAAATAAGAGAGAAATTCAAAATATCAAGTGGTCTAGTAGAATTATTAAGAATACTTTGAATATTGGTTTTACACCAGGGGTTTGGTGTATTTTATAATTATAAAAAAAGTCCATCAACCGGGGCCATGTCACATTACAACCTATGTGCGGTCATGGAGACCGCTGGCGAATTTATTTTACTTACCCTGGCCGAACGCGACCACGTACACACTTGCCTAGCGCTGACGACACCGTAAGCGATTTTTAGAAAAGGTACATGAACGCGCTTTAATGCACGCCACTAACATGCGGAAGTATTTGAATTTGAAAAATCGTTGCGGTCTCTGAGACTGCAGGTAGGTGGTAAAGGGTTTAACAACTATTAAAAGCAATTATCAAAAAGTATGTAGTATTACTATTCGCCAATAGATGTCAGGAAGAGTCATATTTTAAACGACTCCTTTTTGTATTTTTTTTTAAATAAAACAACATTTTCTAAAAATTATTCGTAGCTAGATCGATTCATCGCCCCCGAAATCCCCTAAATACTAAATTTCATGAAAATCGTTGGAGCGGACTCTGAGATTGCAATAAATATGTATATATACAAGAATTGCTCGTTTAAATATATAAGATGCTAGAAGACCCGGCGAACTTCGTATCGCCAGTGGCGGCTGTACCTTAAGTGCACTCGTGCGCTGAACCACCAATTCAAAAGATTTAAAAATTGCAAAATATTAATTCATCTTTATTTTCAAAACATCATTTTAATATTTATTTTTTTAAACATATAAAAACGTATAAACAATTAAATTTCCTAATTATGGTCAAAAAGTTTGAGCGCTACACTAAACTAATATCTCGTGCGCTTCGGCGAGTGCACGAGGACTGCTAATACATCTTGTATGAGATACGTATTAATACGCCTGACGCGTGAAACAAAAGATCGTTCATAGAAATGTACCGAGTAATGAGTCGGTTCTCGAGCGCCGCACGAGCGGCCGAAGATTACCGAGAGCACCCGATATATGACGAATTGGAATTGAAAAGAATCAAAACTTTTCTCCGAAATACCTCGCACTTGCTAAATGCACTTTCTGTGCTTAGTATTGAATAAAAAAATATACAAACAATAACCGATTTTAATAAATAAATGATTGAACATTTCGCTTCGGAAAAATGTCGTTGCATTAATTAATGTATAAAAAATAAACATATTTTGTTTTGTTGAATTTTCTAATTTTAATATCTTAGTAAAGTGCACCACCAGTTCGATAACCCACCAGCCGCCACTGCGTATCGCCCTATATTACCAAGAAATATCAGTTACGTCTGTTTATTTATATTTTTGGAGTTTACCTATTAAAGCCATAAATCTCCGTGTTTTGAAGTGTGACATAATGATTGACATATTAGTTAGTTGTCAAACCTAATGTAAAAAAAAAGTTTGTAGCAACAACTACTAATAAATTAAAAATTAATTAAAAAAACATTGTCCAGCGGACAAAATTGTGAATCCAAACAATTCCCAGATCCCCTTGAACACACCCAAAAAATTTCATCAAAACCGGTCCAGTCGTTTGAGAGAAGTTCAGTGACATACACACTCACAAAAGAATTATGTATATAAAGAATTGCTCATTAAAATATATAAGATATGTTCGGTTGTTTTCGTGAAAGTAAGAATTGGAAGGCACCTTCAATTCCTCTCTTAATGAAAACTCAGTCCAAGTGCAAATCATATGGACCATCCATGCTCGTGTATAATTTCTTTCTGGACTGCAAACCGGGGTACAACACAAGTAAACATGCACTTACTGAAAATTCTTCAGTGTCCAGGCTCTAAAAAGCTTTTAACTTGTCAATAGGTGACCGTTCACTGGTGTACAACCTGTTTACGACCTTTTCCCTTTTTATATATGAGGGTCAAACTGAAAGTTCTTAGAACTGGCCACTTATAAACAATATAATAAAAAAATAATTCTAAAATTTGAAAATAGAACTCTTTGCCAATATTACTGAGTATATATTTCATATATTTGTCATCTGTTTTACGATTTGGCGGCAAATTGAAAATTGTCTGTGTCACGTCAACATGAATTTAACATGAGAAAATTTTCGTGCAATGATTTTTTATGACTTTAGATGTCATTTAAGTCAACAAGAAAGTTATAATAGACTACTATAATCTGTGTTGTGCGGCGTATGATAGAGACTGACAAAAGAGTGACCTATCAGCAGATTCGGACAAGCTTAGGCATCGGTATGAGTCAAGTGCACAAAATCCTCCACGAACATTTAGCGGTCAGGAAGCTTTGCGCCAATTACCTCATAATTTGACTGAGACTCCAAAACTCCATCGTGTGGATTGGTGCCGTAAAATGATTGAAAAATTTAATGGAGGTGACTCAAATGCTGTGTTCGACATACTAACAGGTGACGAAAGCTGGATTTACTGTTATGATCCTGAATCCAAAAGACAATTTGCTCATTGGGTGTGTCCTTTTGAGGAGTTGCCAACTAAAGTGAAGAGAGATCGAAGCGCGGGAAAAAAAATGGTGGCCTCGTTCTTTGGAAGGAAAGGTCATTTCGCAACAATTGTGTTAGAAGATCAAAAAACAGTTTCTGCAAAATGGTACACTACCAATTTTTTGCCACTTGTCTTGGAAAAAGTTCGAGAGAAACGACCTCGCAGTAGGATCCTCCTTCACCACGATAACTATTTGGCGATATCAAACGTTGAATTACTGGGTCATCCGCCGTATAGCCCCGACCTCGCGCCTTGTGATTTTTATTTATTTCCAAAAATTAAAGAAAAACTTAAAGGAAAGCGGTTTATGAATGCTGAAGAAGCGGTGGCTGCGTACGGCGATGCCATTGAAGAGACCCCTAAAGTCGAATGGGCAAAGTGCTTTTCCCAGTGGTTCCATCGCATGCAGCGGTGTATTGACGTGAATGGACAATATTTTGAAAAGTTATAATAAAACTAATAACTGGCTAATGTAATCAGTTTTTGATTTTCTAAAAACTTTCAGTTTGACGTTTTGACCCTCGTACAAAATAATATGTAAGCTGATGACCTAAAACATAAACTTAATACGTGTTAGGAGTTTCAAAATGATTGTATTGTGATGGAATTCTCAATAAAATCATATAACAGTTGTTGTTTGTGTTCCAGGCAGCAACAGTAACTCTAGCAACAGCAACTGGAGCGCCCTCTGCAGCAAGCAGCCGCAGGACCACACGGACGCGCCCTACAACGTACTGGGTGAGGCACATACACTTGAAATGTTACACTAATACTATTGAAATCTACTTAACTACATATAAACACACCATATTAATATTAATAAAAGTTTCTCATATAGTCGGTCTTTGTAACAAAATGTGAAGGAAAATTGATTCAAAAAATTAAGGGAATTTCACTACGTCTCTTGCTTATGGAAGTTGCTGATGGACTATTTACATAATATGAATTTATTTCAATTCCAATGATGTTATAATTACCGTATTCGATGAAATTATTATCGAAAGAATTTACACTAGGATTAATAACTTGTCCGTGATCAACCGTGACTCACATCTCGTCTGCCCGTGATCACAGTTGCTGAAAAGTAGTAGAAACGTCGGGAGTATGTAGTTTCTAATCAAAAATAAAAACCCGAAGTAAAATCCGAAAATATTAGTTTCATTTTAATTTTTAAACTTCAAGGAGGTAAAACGAATATGTTATAACAAAAAATATACAGGGTGACTGGTGAATTACTATCAATATTTAAGGAGAATACTCGGTACATGATTCTCATTCGAATTATGTAAAAAAAATAGGTACTTAATTTTTGACCAAATTTCCGTATAAATAAATAAAGTGTGGACACGTTCCAAGTGTTCCAAGTGTGGACGCGTGCGGCGGCGTGCTGATACAACACCACGCCGCCGCACGCGTGTGTCTGTGTGTGTGTCTACCTAATCTGTAGGGTGTTCAAACGATGCGTAATTAATTACATAACTTTTGGTTAACTTTACTTAGAAGTTTATTAATATTTATGTTATATTAATTTTTATTTTGTCATATATGATCGTCAAATATCACGTCCTCAAGTATCGATAGTAATTCACCAGTCACCCTGTATATATGAAGCCTTCGTGTTTATTTGTTATGATAATGTATGTATACGACGAGTTTAACTAAATAAAATTAATAAAACGACACGATTAATAAAAATGCAGAAGCATAATCTCGGATCTTAATTGAATAAAAATAAAATGTCACTAATCGTTACAATTTTTCCTTGTTTAGATCAATTATAAACCATAATACATATATATATTTCGTGTTTCCAGGTCTAACAGTAGGCGACATAGAGTCGGAGTGGACGGGGTCGGACCAGTCTCTGTTCCGCGCGCTCCACAAGGTGTTTCCCTCCAACTACTGCGCCATCGCTCAGCTCATGCTGTCCAAGACTTGCCAACAGGTACACGGGGTTGTTGTTATGTATATTACATACTACACGACCTCATACCCTTCTATTACTGTAAGGTTTAGCCACTAGTATACATAAAAGTATATACGTAGATAAATGAATTTTTGTGATTTTTAATTTCTATTACAAAAAGTCAAGAGATGTGTATGACTTGTCTGTTCATCTGATAATAACATCTGCCTATAAGTGGCGGCTGTTCTTTAAGTGCACTCGTGCGCTGAACCACCAATTCAAAAGATTTAAAAATTACAAAATATTACTTCATCTTTATTTTAAAATTAGTAATTACCATTTTAATATTTATTTTCTAAACATACAAAAACGTATAATAATTTTAATTTCCAATTATGGTCAAAAAGTTTGAGCGCTTTACTAAACTAATATCTCGTGAGCTTCGGCGAGTGCACGAGGACTGCTAATACATTTTGTATAAGAAACGAATTAATACGCCTGACACGTGAAACAAAAGATAGTTCATAGAAATGTACCGAGTAATGAGTCGGTTCTCGAGCGCCGCACGAGCGGCCGAAGACTATCGAGAGCACCCGATGTATGACGAATTGGAATTGAAAAGAATCAAAACATTTCCCCGAAATATCATGCACTTGCTAAATGCACTTTCTGTGCTTAGTATTGAAAAAAATAATTATACAAACAATACTCGATTTTAATAAGAAGGTGATTGAACATTTCGCTTAAGAAAAATAAATGGTTGCATTTTCTAATTTTAATATTTAAGTAAAGTGCACCACCAGTTCGATAACCCACCAGCCGCCACTGCTGCCTATTAACTTGCTCATATATATCTGTGTTCATATAATATCTGTGTGTAGGTGTACACGTACTGGATCCGCACCGGCCAGGAACAGTGTCGCGTGGAGGCCGAGCTGACCCCGCCCAGGAAGAAGAAGAAGAAACACCGGCTGTGGTCCGTGCACTGCCGCAAGATACAGCTCAAGAAGGACTCCGCCTCGCACCACGTGTATGTACACACACGCGCGCACACACACACACACACGCACACGCACACGCACAGGCACGCGCACACACACACACACACACACACACACACACACATACACACACGCACAGGCACGCGCACGCGCACACACACACACACACAAGTATTGGAGACTAGGCGGGGGTAGACACATGCCATACAATAACGCTAACAAAACTGCGATCATTTGAAAGATAAAACTTAAACATAATTGTAAGTCGATCGAAACTAACTATATTATAGAAATAAACTAAACACTGAGTGAAACTAAGAGGCAGATCATTAAGGCGTTTTAAATTGTTTTAACATATAGTGCAAGTAAATTAATGTCAAATAGTATCATATTAGTATATAGAGTTAATCGTGTATCTATTGTCCAGCTACAACTACACTCCGTGTGACCACCCCAACCAGCCGTGTGACAGCTTGTGTCCGTGTCTACAGTCACAAAACTTCTGCGAGAAATTCTGTCAATGTAGCAGCGACTGTGAGTGACGTGAACCATTTTTAAAAATAAACCATACTCATACAATTTTAAAATATTCATGACAGTTTTAAATACATGATACAAAATGTAAACCCGACTTCGCCCTGAAATATAGTTTGTTTTTAAAATGAACATCAGTGATGTTTCTCAGTTTATTAGAGGAACATCCGATATGGTGACTGCGATTTGACAGAGCAATATTTATTGAAATTTATTACAAAAAACCTACTGGACTATTGTAATGATAGGCATATATTATGTCGCTTAGAAATGCTTATTATTCAGGTAAAGACGCGGTGGTGTGTACAGTCTACTATACCATTGCCAAAATTATTAATATTGATATAAAACAATTATAAGATATTTATAAATATATAACTCTTTCTATTGGTGTGTAGGTCAGAACCGTTTCCCCGGTTGTCGCTGCAAGGCCCAGTGTAACACCAAGCAGTGTCCGTGCTACCTCGGCGTAAGGGAGTGTGACCCCGACCTGTGCACGGCGTGCGGCGCCGACGCCCCCTCGCCCGCCGCCCCGCGCGCGCCCCTCTACTGCAGGAACGTGTCCGTGCAGCGGTACGAGACACACACACACACAAACATGAGTAACATACAGACACGCATTATAAGTGAATATGTTGTACAGAGGTCTCCACAAGCACTTGCTGTTGGCTCCGTCGGATGTGGCGGGCTGGGGCATCTTCTTGAAGGAGGCCGCTCACAAGAATGAGTTCATCTCGGAGTACTGCGGCGAGGTGATCTCTCAAGACGAGGCCGACCGCCGCGGGAAGGTCTACGACAAATACATGTGCTCCTTCCTCTTCAATCTCAACAACGGTGAGTCCATAATGTATTTAATAACCGTGACATTGAAACTGTCCACATATGTTTAGTGATTGGTGCTCATATCAAATCGATAACTCCCACGTAAATTGTTGTACCTCCAAAACTGTAAATTTACAGTAAAGTTTCAAAGATGCAAATTAAACCAAAATATGCAAAATTTGAAAATTACAACATTAGGTATGTGTCTGATAAATCCTTTAGAAGTAATGTTTTTGTTATTTTTTTACTATGAATGGATATATTGATCCATAATAGGATATTTTTCAGAACAAAAGCAAAGTAGCATTTTTGTGGCATACAACCACGTATGTGGGAGGTATAGGAATATATATTGACATATCACTTAATAATCCGTGTCTAAGTCTGTGTCTGTGTTACTAAGTCACTACTTTCATCAAATTTCCATTTATTTCTTTTACAGGAAACAAATCCAAAAAGTGTTTCTTATGAATTTGGAACATTACTCAATCTCATTAGGTTTCTTATGTAATTCCAGACTTCGTAGTGGACGCGACTCGTAAGGGTAATAAGATAAGGTTCGCGAACCACTCTATAAACCCGAACTGCTACGCCAAGGTCATGATGGTGAACGGAGACCATCGCATCGGCATCTTCGCCAAGAGAGCCATACAACCTGGAGAGGAACTGTTCTTTGACTACAGGTACACACACACATACATACATACATGCACACACATACACACTCACACACTTGAAGACGAATAAACCATCTCATATTTAGATATGAGATTAGATTAGTCTAATATTGAAAAGGTGTAGCCTCTATATAACATAAAACTTGGATAATTTGCATACTATTACTAACTGTTTAAAGTATTACTAGAAACTAAGCCACATATTTAAGTACATTACAAATTGTAAATATATGTTTTTGTTTCAGATATGGACCAACTGAACAATTGAAGTTTGTAGGAATTGAAAGGGAGATGGAGTTTTTATGAGAACAAACTAAACAAAACTCTGACCAGTCCTAGTGTTGGTTATAATGACGAAATAAGGGACTCATTGACACTTCTTAACTCGGACTATGGAAATAGTATTAAAAAATGAGCTTTCTTAATATTATGTATGTATTCAAAACATATAGTTGTTTAATAACTCATTGGTGTAAATCAGTTATGTATTGTTTCTGATTCAAATGTTATTTTTTGTATGTACAAATTCTTCACTTGAATCTTAACCATACCTGTATGTTCTTGACAAATAAGAAATTAATTGGTCCATTTATTATATAAATATACTTTAGTTTTACCAAATCAATGTCACGTGGTAATTATTAGGCTGATGTCTAGAATGTGAAAAAAATATTACATATTAGATATATGTATGAAAAATGAATTTAAAAAACATCGTGTTTTGTATGGGATTAATGAATGTTAGCTATTGCTCTTAATCATTAAGTCTTTATCAATAAAAATTGAATTTCATGTGAAGTTTTAATAACTTAATTAAGTAACCCGTCCAATATCTTATATCTTTAAACGAGCAATTCTTGTATATATATAAAGATATAATTGGAATCTCGGAATTGGCTCCACCGATTTTCATGAAATTTAGTGTCTAGGAGGTTTCGGGGCGATAAATCGATCTAGCTAGGAAACATTTTTAAAAAACGTTAAGTTTATGAAAAAAATAAAAAGAAGGCGTTTAAAATATGACTCTTCCTGACATCTATTAGCGAATAGTAATACTACTTTTTGCTAATTGCTTTTAATAATTGCTTTAATGACACAACAGCAGATGGCGTTGTTAAGCAACAGGAAGTCAAGGACTGTGTTTTAAGGTTAGACTAAGAAATTAATTATTGATATATGGGTGAATATACGCTATTTGAATTGCATTGGTCTATAGACAAATTTTATTTAAAACTTATTATATCTCTCTCTTTAGTTTAAACAATGAAGAATATGCGATTTTAATCTGGCCAACAAAGACTATTCACGATAATTATATAATTTAAAATAGTTAACAATTTATACTTCTCTGGCCTTCCCATTTATGAATTAAAAGGAACTTAAGGCTAAATACTTTCAAAAAGTACACAATTACGTTTTTTAATTTATGTGGTCATACGCTTTATTAAACATCGAAACATATTTTAAGAAAATTAAGAGTAAAAAAATGATTCATATAAAATAATATAACTTATTTTCGAGTCACGTTACAATACTGTTACTTCATCTGACGGAATGCAAAGACTTAAAAAAATATTTAAAAAGAGACAAGCTAAATAATTTGAGCAAAATTAAAAAACAAATTGGATCAGTTTTCGATAAACTTTCGGAAAGGAATTTTGTGCCAGTCGTTGTATTTCCTTTTTATTATATTTCCTTAGGTAAGCATATAGGTATATGTATTTGTATTTTATCGTCACGAAATTGATAATTTCTATAATCAATGTTTATTGTCCGTAGATGTCATGGTTTAAGATCCCGATATAAGGCGACCTTCACCGAGATGCTTATTTGATGAAACATATTTTATATTCAATTTAATATGTCAATATATTACATATGGGTTGCCTCATAAATTTTAGTCCAGGATAAGATTAATTAACAATTAAAAATAGTTTTTTTTTCAAATATTTCACCGGTTTTTAAATTAGATAAATTCCACACCCATAGCCATAGAATATGAAAACGTTAGGTTGCCAATTCTTTTCCAGTCACAACTCTCGGGTTGCCAGGGATAAACAGGTTCATCGATAATAGAATTTTGCACCGGTCAGATAATTTAATCAAATTTAAATGAAAACAAAGAATATGTAATTACGTACAAGGTAGTGCAGACTGCAGAGTTGCCGCCGAAAAATCAGCCCTAAATGAGGGTTGTCGATTTTTAAAGTTTAATATTTCTGCTATTGAAAATGTGTGACTTAGAGGTCCCAAGCAAAAAGAATTTAAAAAAAACTCTGTTTATTGTTTAAATTTATAAAAACATATATATTTTTTAAATTATTCAGCTTCTGAGTCATCGGATATAAAACTGAGATCTTCACATCTGCACCTTCTTCGTCATCACTCTTTGTTTCGGTTCTTTCGACAATATCAGTTATTCTTAAAGGTGTATGATCCCCAAGGAACCCTCGTGGTTTGAAATATTCATCTAAGTACCACCCGCAGCTCTCAGGTTCAAGTTTGATGCATATTGGATCTGTTGCATTCGGCCACATCGAATTTACCAAAATAGTTCAAGAATTTACAGGTTGTATTTATGGAATTAAGAGTTGCACTAATGTGAATGATGCAAGGTATCGTATTTTCATGAAAAATTACTCTGTTAAAGAAGACAGTGATCAGTTTCTAAAAAAATCAAAGACAAGGATGACAAGGCTTTGACTGCAGACCTCCGTGGTGGATATCATTAACACAAAAAGTTTTACAAACTTTTGTATATGTTTTTATAACTTTGAACAATAAACAGAGTTTTATTTAAATTGTTTTTGCTTGGGACCTTTTAGTCGCACATTTTCAATCGCAGAAATATTAAACTTTAAGAATCGACAACTCTAACTTAGGACTGATTTTCGGGAGGCAACCCTGTACTACCTTTTTCGTAATTAAATATTCTTTGTTTTCATTTAAATTTGATTAAATTATCAGACGGGTGCAAAATGCTACTATCGATGTACCTGTTTATCCCTGGCAACCCGAGAGAAGTGACTGGAAAAGAATAGGCAACCTAACGTTTTCATATTCTATGGGCTCCGTAGTTTCGATTGGTGTGGAATTTATTTAATAATCAAACCGGTGAAATGTTTTAAAAAAAAACTATTTTTGTTAATTAATCATATCCTGGACAAAAATTTATGAGGCAACCCATATGTAATATAATTATTGACATATTAAATTGAATATAAAATATTTTTCATCAAATAAGCATCTCGGTGAAGGTCGCCTTATATCGGGATCCTCTACTATCATATATCAACTTAAACTAGAGAAAGAAAAGCGAGTGATGTTAATTTTAAAACATTATGTGTGATTTTGTCATTTACTTCTGGGACATGAAAAAAATAAATAGCGTATATTCACTCTTATATTGTTTTGTGTCTTCTTAAAGTGATCACTTAAAAATGCCTAAATGAAATTTAAAAAAAAAACACAAAATAAATACTAATAGTACCTGAATACCGAGCAAAGCTCGGTAACCAGTTGTTAAGTCTATAATTTTTAAGTAGGAAAAAATAAAATAATTTATTAACCATAAATATAACAAATCTTTAATAGTATTTACTCCACAAGTGCAATTATAATAAACAAAATAACTTATTTTTGTATACACAGTAAAAATATAATTAATAGATCAAACACCACAATGTTAGTTCAAAGTTATTAATATATTTTACTATATCTGGAACAAATCTTCATGTTTCTTTATAAATTGTCTATGGTAGTTATACTCGTATTATTGTCTTGTGAGTACATTAATCGCAGGAACCATCTAACCAGCCATCCTTCCACCTCTCGTTAGCTTTGCTGCAGTCAAACACGGGCTTTCCTAGTTTTATATTGACCGTGTTGTGTCGCTCACAAAGCCACTTAACAAGGTCCTTCCTAGATTTTGTTTTTGGTGGATGTTTTGCTATACTGAAAAGCAATGCAAATTTATTGTATATGCTTTATATACTGCTATGATAAGTATAAGAAATGGTTATAATAATCTTTTCTTGGTTGGTAGTAAATTTTTCAAGCTTGTTTGGTGAATATTTCAAACAAAAGTTAAGGATCAGATAAGATATTTAGATTAAATCTGAACATACAATTCCAAAAACTTTCAGATAAAAAAGAAAATTTTAAAACTAGTTACATAATACCTTTGCTTGAGTAATTTATTTGTACTTTAATATTATAGAATCACTACTATTTTAACATTTTCACTCTAATTACTTCAATATATGAAAAAATTGCATAACAATAATATAAAATTGACTCACTCTTCTTTAAAATCCAGTGCACACGGTTCACATGGGTAAAATTGAGCAAATATATTAAAAAACTTGCTCATATCATTAGATTGTGTATGAGTTGGTTTTTCTGGAAAATATGACGCCATAGAGTGAAGGAAGCCCCAAGTATGTCGACCCAATTCATCCTTGTCTAAGGGACATTCCTTTTTTTCTGTTACAGGCTGCAATTATAACTTAATTACATCATTGGATTTGTTTGAGATACATGAAAATTGCATCATTATTTTCCTACATCTTAAAAATGTTTCAAAGAATGAAATCATCTATTACATAGACTTTTCTAGAAGTAAGCGGTTATGAAAACCTAACCTCACCGGTGGTTTCACGTCTTGCGGTTTGGATTTGTTTTGTTTTTTTGCCCAAGTCTTGAAGTCCGAACAAGCTCTGCAGGGCTTGTCCTCCTCCTCATTTAGATGCGAAGGCATTTTTACTTATTTATCCTGAAGTGTTATTGTTTTGTAAAACATATCAATAATTCCTCGGAATCCACTGTTATTCTTTATGAACATGGCACAAAATTCATTTTAAAATAAATGGTAATTATTTCAGTATTTTCACAGAATGTAAATACTTCGATAGAGCTTAGATATTTTTAGTTTTACATTAAAAATCTTGTAATAAATATCAGTAAAATTGATAATAACAACTGTCAGTGATTTGACATATGGAGCTGATAACTATTTTATCTCATCTGAAATATTATGTAACTTGTATGTAACTCAGTGTTATACTTGTTTTTCTCATTTTACTGAAATGCACAATTCATCGCATTAAATTTAGTTAAAATTTAATAATGTCAAAAAGACAATAAATTTCGTGTCAAACTTTTTATTTTGGTTGTCTAGCCAGAGACAAATATTTAAAAACCGGCTTTGTTCTGCTTGTATCATAAGCATACTCATATGCAATTATTTTGTAAAAAAAAGTGCATTCTATGTATACGGAGTCTCTTAATTTAAATATTAAAAAAAATAACTTAGTATTTGGGGACGTAACAGTAGTACATTCATTAGAAATACAATAAGGATAAACTGAATAATGGCTTCGAAACCTGATGTAGGAGTCTTTATCAAAATCTTGTATATTTCTATCACAGAATCGTAACATTAGTAAGCTATATATAGCTATATATAGCTTATAAGCTTCCGCCGGAATATGCATGTTTTAACGTTAATGTACAATGTGTTCAAACATTCCTCTCCCCCGTATCTACTTGAACGTTTTAAATTTTCCTCCCCCAGAATCCTTCCTCATCGCTCCTGTGTTGCACAAAATCCTCTTGATATCCCCTCCTTTAATACTAAATTTTATCGTAAATCCTTCTCCGTCCAAGGTGCAAAACTTTGGAACTCTCTCCCACCTTCTGTTTACAAAGAGAGTCCAAGTGCATTAGCCTTTAAATATCGACTTAAGAGACATCTTCTATCACTTTTACCTTAATATAATACATATGTAATGTTTATGTACATATTTATATATATATTGTATTTATTTGTATATATTTATGTATATTCTATGTATGTATTTATGTATATATATTTATGTATATTCCTTCTCTCATTTTATTGTACCTATGCCACATTTCTCTTCTCATTTCCTCTATCAAAAGGGTTTCTGGTAGAGATCTCTTTTAAGAGATAAGTTATCCTTGTACATCACATTTCTTTTATAATACTTTTATTGTAACTATTTTTTTCTGTTTGGTACATAAATAAATAAATAAATAAATAAATAAATAAGTACTGCGTCTTAGTTGACTATTTCCATGGAAAGGAATTTTTCAGTATTTTAGTCTACAGTATTAATGATATGTATGTAGCACTTAAACTGCATATATTTTGAGGGTAATCAAAACAAGTATTAAGTACATGAATATATATTTATTTTATATAATATATTTGATTCTTAATTTTACATTTAACACAGACTAGGTGTCAGCTCGGTACACTTAAAACTATAATATGTATATAACAAAAACGCTTGTGTCATCAAACATTTAAGGTTCACAGGCCGCCGTAATTTCTGAAAGAAAAAGGAAAAGATTTCAATAACAGTAATATCTAATTTATATTATCTGTGGTAATAGATTTGAATAACAGTAATAAGTTATGTTATCTGTGGTTATGTATTTCGTCTCACTCTTGACTATTTCAGTGAGCGCACTAACGGCGGGCGATGTGGGTCGGTCCGCTATGAAGTCTTCTCCCCGGTCAGCGGCGCGCGCCAGCAGCGGCTCGAGGGGCAGAGCGCCCAGCAGCCTCACGCCCAGCTCCGAACACATCTGACTCGAGCCGCCCGTCGACGCCGGGAAGATTTCACTCTGAGCCTACAACATACATATAATATGATAATACAACTCTGCGATAATAGATCTAGCACGAAGATATTTTAGAATTTCAAATTGTATATCAAAGTAGTTTTGGTCCCCGACTGTGTCTACGTTAATTTTGACTTTAGTAATATATGTACAGCCGACCGGACGAACTGGGCGGACGAACAAAAAAAAAATACTAAATAAATTTAAATATTTGGAATTTATTAAGTTTTTTGTTTCCTTTTAGGTATATAGCACAAAATTAAATATCCTATGTCCGTCTCCTGAATCCTGATACTTAGCTATCTCCCCACTAATTTTATTTATTTATTTATTTTGTTTGGTACAGTTACAGATAACAGATTAAAACATTTAGATATATGAGATAGTACTTAACATATTTAACAATAAATCTGCTTTCCAATTACAAGAGTACACAGCACTTCAGTGTGTAAGAGATGTAATTTATGTAATTCAGTGTGTAATTTTCAATCATATTCCTTCAACTAACACAACTTACTTTTATGTATATATATATATATATATATATATATATATATATATATATATATATAAGATGATTTTTATATTACATTAAAACGAATCAATATGTCTATCAAGTTGTTCATTATAGTATACCTGACAGTTAGGACACACGAACAGAGCCATGTTCTCGATCACTCCAAGTATCGGTAGACCAACTTTCTTACAGAAGGCGAGCTCCTTCCTCACGTCCAGTAAGGACAGCTCCTGAGGTGTGCTGACCACAATACATTGAGCTCCCTCACTTAGGTACTGCACCAACGATAGATGCTCGTCTGACGTACCTGGGATAAACAGAAGCAGAGACGGGTATTCAATATAGTAATACACTTAGAAGATTATCATTTAAGTTAGGTCCTAAGAATGAGATCTAAGACTTTCGAGGATTTAGATGAAACTAATATGTTTCGGATATATTACGTATGCTTTTTTTTATAAAACTATATAATTACGACGTTTCGGTTACTCTTCAGCAACCGTGATCACGAAGACGAGATGTGGACCGAACTAGTAGTTTAAGAATCATCAGTTTAGTTTATTATGCATCTGCAATCTCAATCGAACTATATAGGCGAGCCTTATATCTATTAGTTTTTTTTTAATACATTCATCCGTCAATATCAAATCTATTTCATTCAAAGAAATAGTTAATGTATATTTTGTTACCTGGTGGCGTGTCGATGAGCAAGTAATCCAGGTCTCCCCAGTCTACTTCACTCAGGAACTGCTTGATCATACCTGAAACGAGTAGCTGTTAGTGAGACCTAGAAAAAATGATACCTACATATATACATATTATTATTAATATGAACGTGTATTATTTTTTACCATTTTTCTTGGGCCCTCTCCATATAACCGCGTCATCCGGACTGCCCAGTAGGAAACCGATGGACATCAGCGAGAGATTGTCTGTAACATACTGTCACCAAGTATAAATATATCAGATCATTATTTAATTAATCACTTTATGAGGGTATAAACAAAGCAATGATTGTACTACTTCAAAAAACTTCGTAATCTCACAAAATAATGACTATCAGCAATAGCAAACAATAATATTCCTTATTTGAGTGTTTTTGTAATATATAGTAACTCACAACAGGCGACCAGCCGGAGCCTGAGTTGTGTACTTGTTCTCCTCGGACGCCGAGCACGCGCGGCTGGCTCGGACCACAGATGTCCGCGTCTAAGATACCCACCTGATACATATATTAATATATACATTATATATGAACATTAAATTGAGATCGTCACATAATAGGAACCCGAGAAATAACAGAAATATTGTTCAAACCCGCCACCATTTTCCCGCTCTATTTCGAAAGATAAATTTTATCGAGACATGGATGAAAGATATGCTGAAGGTTCAGACTATCGACATAATGAGTTATTTACGTACTCAAAGTATATGTTTTACACGTTTCAATTCTATAGGTATGTATCCTTTTTTAATGGTTACTATTGATACCGTGCTATAAAGATATAATATTTTTTATTTGATTTCACAGTCGACACACTTTGAGCGATTGCTTTTCAATGACTGCTCTTCAATGCCAAGGGATTATTAGCAAAAAACATGAGAATATATCATATAGTATATGTATATTTCAAAGTTTTAGGGTATTGTGAATTTGTTGTCCAACGAGGAATATAACGTTCAGTTGAAGTAAATATTCTGTCTCGTATGTAGACTTATAACATAATATAAAGTCTCAAACTAGTTTAAAAGATTATAATTTATTCTAAATACATCTATACATATATCTATAAATATACAGAATTTAATGAATTATAATTTATTCAAAATATATATCTCCATATAAGTCTTGACAGATGGCTTTGATAAGATCAACTGTTATATAAGGATTATTTTTATATAAAGAATAAGAGAACTAAAGAAATGCATTGTAATGTATTATTTACCTAATGTTGCAAGGTTAGAGTTTAGATGAACTGAACTGTCGAAGGAAACGCGTAATAAATAACTTGGACTGTTATTATTCATAGAATTTTTATAATGGTTTACAGAATACGAGTACCTAGGTTTATGTGTTTTAAGGAAAAGATTTTATATTCTATACCTACTAATTTATATATTAGTTTCTTCATACTTCTAGGTCAACGATAGAAACATGTTTAACAAATTTAAAACTACCTCGACGACCTTGCTAGTTCACTTCCATTTCAATACAAAACTACAGAATGTCAATAAATTTCCGCATTATAAATTAAGGAAATACCGTATCAATACATTCTATTTATTTTATACAGGGTGACTGATGAATTACTATCGATACTTGAGGACGTGATATTTGACGATCATATATAACAAAATAAAAATTAATATAACATAAATATTAATAAACTTCTAAGTAAAATTAACCAAAAGTTATGTAATTAATTACGCATCGTGTGAACACCCTACAGATTAGGTATACACACACACACACACATACGCGTTTGGCGGCGTGGTGTTGTATCAGCACGCCGCCGCACGCGTCCACACTTGGAACACTTGGAACGTGTCCTCACTTTATTTATTTATACGGAAATTTGGTCAAAAATTAAGTACCTATTTTTTTACATAATTCGAATGAGAATCATGTACCGAGTATTCTCCTTAAATATTGATAGTAATTCACCAGTCACCCTGTATATAATAATTAATAATTATAAAACACGCCTTCTTATTCAACGACATTTATTGATGAATACAAAAGACTTTAATATTTTTGCAAGTTAAACCCTGCATATTATGGTATGTTAGTATATCCTTATCGGGAGTGACCTATATGTATGTACAAGGTCACCTGTACCAGGCGGAACCGTCTCCAAGTTAGCTGCCGCATTGAACACCGACAGTCGCTTTCCATGGCCGATAAGAATTAGTTACGTGAACATGGAATTCGGAAGTTCTCAAGAGAGACGCTCGAGATACAACAGGGTAAATTACTAATAGACAATACGCACATATTTTAAACCCCTTTATAACTTATTATATTACTAGCTGCGCCCCGCGGTGTTACCCGCGGATTTTCGGGATGTAATGTAGCCTATGTGTTAATCCTGGACGTCAGCTTCCTGTATACAATTTTTTATCAAAATCGGTTCAGCCGTTAGAGCTTGAAGAAGTAACAAACATACACACATACTCACAAACTTTCGCAATTATAATATTAATAGGATATTATAAGATGTACCCATGAAATGTGATCACTTAAATCGTGTAATAATTTCTGTCTTAAAAAATTGCTCATAATGATCTAGAAGTATTCTATCAAACAAGATTAATGGTCTATTGTTTCTTTGGATGTCAAAAAGATTGTGATTTTTAATTAACGTCTTTAATGAATCCCTCTTGTACGATTAATAATAAAGAATCTCCTCTACATTTACGACACTTCGAATAATGAATGCACGTTTTGAAATACAAATCAAAAATATTTGGACATCTGTGGAAAATACAAATGTCACACCACACGTATGGCTAACATGTAAATAAAACTAAACTTTATATTTTTATAACAATGTAAGGGACATTATAATGAACGTAAATACAAACGAAAAAAATCGAAAAGATTGTGATATTTAAAAGACCTTAACTTGCTGTTCCCGCAATAAGACCTTGATTTAAAGGAGGGGCTGTGGAAACAAGGCTACCGTAAGTTAAAAACCATATAAATAACTGTCAGAAAAAAAATGGCTAATAAGTTGTAAATTTCACGAGAGTTAGATCAAAATATTCCAGGAAGAAATAGTATGTGCAAATAACAGTAATATATACATATTATACATATGTATTAAATAAATAAATTTCCTGAACAGCATACTGTATTACAATACTGATAATTTGATATGTATTGTTGAAAGCAATCAAGGAGATTTCTCAGGATTTCGATCCTATAAAATGATTTAATTTAACTCCAATAAGTATATTATTAACAAATATTGAAAGAGAAAACACTCCTGAAAAAATATTTCAAATTAACACAGAAAAGTGACCATTAAATTTCCTTAAATATGTATTAATATCAGTTCAAACCTCAATTTATGGTCACAGTGTTATATCTTATCAAGTGAGACAGTAATCTCTGGCTGGATTCAAACATTAACTGTTAAAGTTCACAGCTCTTAATTTAATTAATTTGATTACTGTGTCTTCAAAATATTTAGTGCTGATGTATTATCTACATAAAAGTTGTAAATAACTAACATTTGACTTTGTGATCTGTTAAGATTATTTCTTTTATATATAGAACAATAATTCAATTTTATTACATACACATTTCATAACATTTTTCGTTCTGAAGTGGTATTATCTCACAAGTGAATGAGATTGCAGAGAAAATGAAGTATAAGTTTAAAATATAAAAATATAAACTTCTTATAAATTTCTTAAATTAATTCTGTATATAGATATAATGTCAAAAGTCTGTTATTGTGACATCAGAAATTATGTCATAGTAAAGTTATCAGTTGAGGTCATTCAATTCACTAACAGAAGCAAATAAGTGAATGAGGTTATTGAGGATGAACTATTAACGGGGCAATCACCTCACCACGTTACAACAGACAGAAACATTAATATAACAGGTGCCTTCAGCCTCATACAATAAAGAATATAAACATTACTATACTTTACCACTACATAGTTTTTTTACATACAATTTCTTTATCAGTTCACTTTAGATATTGAAATAATTTAAATAACTTTGATAGTAGTGTTACTACATACACGACACATAATTTAAATTTTACATAATTATAATTCTGTATATCTGTAGAAAGTAGAACTAATGATGGGTGTTGTTTTTTATTCTAGGCAATAATTATATTTGTAGTCAGTACTTAATATTAAGTATTTAAAAGTTTTTGCACAAACTTTTACATAATTGTTAATAACATAATGTTACTTACGTTCATATTAGGGTTCTGTTTGGCCAGCATGTGTCCCAGAAGTGATGTGACAGTACTTTTTCCGACACCCCCCTTGCCGGAGAGAACCAAAATCTTATGTTTGACATTGGAAAGACGACTTTTTATTAATTCAATTGCTGGATCAGGACCAGCTGCTACACCTGAAAGAAAGTGCAATCATTAGTCTCAATGGTTATAATAAAAACTGTTAAAATAAATATATTTTTAATTTACCTGAAGCACAAATATTCTGGTTCGGGCAGCCGGCACAAGCTGAGGCTTTCCCCGCATCTTCACTACCAGTACCAGGGCAATCTGTATCCAATATTTTATTAACATTCATTCTTAACTTAAAATATTTAACAAGTAAAATAACATACGATTTGGTGCGTTTTCTGGAACTGTACTCATTGTATTCAATAACTCATAACAGTTTTACTTTAAAAGAGATTAATGTTTAACGTAAATAATTCGTAGTAATGTGCAAAAACAAGTCACAAAGCGCAGTACGATATCAATTTCATAAATACGTTCTGTCCATATCATTGATAAACCGCAAGTGACAAGTTGACAGTTGTCGCCGTCAAGAAAACGGCATTGAGCCTATGTTTTGAAATAAAACCACCAAAAAATTTTTGGTTCATTTTTTAATTAATATTCAATATTATCACCTATAGTAATATTATTAAAATTGTAGTTAAAAATAATAATAATTTATCATCATTTTTACATAGTGTAAAAAGATATATTTTTTATTTTATGAAATAATAATGACTGACATCGATATTCAAATATTTTTTAATCATTATATGTAGGCTTAAATATAGTGTACTTAGATATTTTTGGATTAATTTGTCTAAATTTATTATAAAAATGGCCAAGGAAGTAACCATGTGTACGGTAATATAAATATTTCAAAGTAAACACTTAAAACATATTTAAAAAATGCTTTGAACAATTTTAAATTACTTATTTTAGCAACTACAACAATGGAGCCCCGTGAAAGAAACCGCGGGTGCTCCGAGCATTCCGCCTCAAGTTGGCTACTGCTTTCACTCGCCAAAGAAGCATCCTTGGAGACCGATCATGGGTTACGAAGAAATTGAAGTAACACCAATGTAAATACTGCTATCGGACCGTCTATAATTAATTTATAGTACATATTATACAGTCTCACACATTAACATTTGGAAACAAAGAATTGTAATACTCATCTATACGAATTAGAATATAAATTATAATTTTTATATGTATAGTAATAAAATGAGGTATCAATTCTATGAAATATTAATAATAATAATGAATACTTATATCCGTCATCCAGGCCGTCTCAGCCCATCACTAACACTATGGTGGATCCGTGCTACACACCGGCGGGTATGGCCACGGAGCCTCTACGTTTTCCCAACCTGGTGACCGGGTTCGAACGCAGCCCCGAGCACGCCGCCCGCGCCGCGCTCTACACGCGCTACACACACTACGAGTGGAACCAGAACAGCATCAAGAACTACAACGAGTCTGACGCCAAGAGGAACTACTCCGAGCGAGTCAGGAACGATATCATGAGGATGCTCAGGTTGAATGGATATACAGTCGAACATATGTAGGGGATGACCAAATATAATGTATGTATAATACTCCTAGGGAGACCGACGAAATCGGCACACAGGGACAGCGGGACTCCGGCAGACGGATCGGGGAACGGATTACGGACACGACGTTCTGGAGGAACGAGGTGAGATATACAGCGGAGACGGTGATACAGAGAGATATACTAACGAGTGTGTTTGAAGGTGTCCATAGAGATGGAGCGGCTCGTGGCCACGTGTGAGAAGCTGAACGACACGAGGAGACAACTGGAACGAGCCGTGGCCGGCATCGAGGGGCCGCTACACATTGTACAGGAGTGTCTCTACCATCGAGAGAAGCGACAAGGTTATATATCAATGAGAACGATTATCAGAAGCGAGTATCCGTTGACTTATCCCTTATATCACCAGGTTTGGAACAGGTCCACGACACCGTGGAACAATCTCTGCTCAAAGAAGTCGCTATTCTACGTGAATGCCAGGACAAGTTCCGGAACATGCTCGAAAAGGTGAATCGAATACTCTTGCAACTTAGAGGTTTCAGTAGAAACAAATCTGAGTAATGTTCTGTTGAGCCAGGTCCGTCAACAGTCAAAGAATTGTCGCGCCACCCAGCACGAGCTGGAGACGGACATGCGGAACAAGGAGTACGCGCTGGGAATAGACTCGATGTGTCACCAGCTCAACAACTTCTCTAAGGGGCTGCAGTTCTACGCGGGCATAGAGCGGTACGACCCCACCGTGTGTGACGCGGCGCGCTGGTCGGCCGCTAGCGCTGCTACGCTGCAACGATCACAGTCCGAGCGCGCCAAGGCCGTGCAGATGTTGTCCGGTCAGTGTGAACACACACACGCACACACACACACACGCACACACACACATATGATCTGCATCGAACACGTCTTCACGGTTAAAATCTGTTGAACAGACGCAGAGAACTTGATAAACGTGTCCGCGACCGAGATTTGGGATCAATGGAGCAACACCAACAGCGCCTTCACTCGCCGCATCGCAGAGACGATTGAGATTAAAAATAAACTACAGCTACATCTGCATAAGGTAATGATATACTTAGTTATACGAGGATGCTTCCAGGATCCATACATCACGAGCATGATGAATGTTTCTAGATACAACAAGAGATGTTCGACGTCGAGAAAACGCTGGAGCTGTTGAACAAAGCGATCGAGGACAAGTTGCAGCCCATGAAGGTCGCTCACACGAGGCTGCAAGCGCGGACCAACAGGCCTCACCTGGAGAAGTGTCGCGACGAGGCGCAGCACAGGTCACATTAACAAAATACCTCATTATTAATATCGTTAATCTATTGGTTATAGGTATCCTTGGACCACGAGTATGAGGTTAACACTATCAGAGTATATCAGCCAATAACCACCAATGGGTTCCAGACTGGTGAAGGAGGTGTGCGATCTACAGGAGACGATGGAGACGTTACGGTCCAAAATCGCTACGGCGGAGGGCACGCACCAGACCTTACTGGGAGTACGCGCGGGGCTCGAGGCTGACCTCAGGAACAAGAGCACCGCGCTGTTCATAGACCGCGATCAATGTATGGGGCTGCGGCGAGGGTACCCCGTCACCGCCGCTATCAAAGCCTGATTGATGTCAACGACCTTCGTCATTCGCTTTATAAAAGTAGAAATATAAACGAGCCCTATTATACATTCTTTCATTTCCATTTAGCCCCTTTAATAGTTAACCAGAAACAACACAATATGATCAGATACTAATCAAGAAAAAAGAAAATGCCATTGTTAAACAAAATATTTTATTAATAACAATTAACATAACACTACTTTTTGTACAGCACATAAATCTACCTATTGACTACGATTTTAAAAATGTGTCATCATTCCTCCTAGACTTGTGAAATCTTTATTCAACAAAGAAGGGAAGCTAAAAGTTTAAAACATCAATGTTGGTGTACATCTTGTTCATTACTTGGCATATGCAGGCATTGGTAATTTCAAGCCTTCTTTAGCTTCAAAGAATGTGTAGGACAACACAATTTCATCAACAAATTCCATCTTAGGATCTTCCATGAACTCTGGATCTATGTAGAAGAACACAGGCATGTCCACCTGTAACATCACACATACATTTAATATGTAGAATTTTTGAATTTGTTCAAAGATATCCAATTAATTACTTGTTTTTCATGTCCTATACATATTGCAATACTACTATAAACTCAAACTCAAATAACTTTATTCAATATAGAAGCATTACACTATCTTACTGATGGTCACTTGAGACACTACCACCGGTTCGGAAAAGAAAATACCCTGACCTGAGAAGAACCGGCGAAAGAAAGTCAGCGGGTTTTTTTTGTTATTTGTCTCATATATTAATTATAATAATTTGTCTCATATATTAATTATAAGCAATTTAATATGAGATGAAATAGCCAGGAGGCGATTGTTTCATTCCCAAGGTGTGCTATCGATCATAATTACACTAATAGATCTGGCAACATGAATTTTTGTATACCCAATATAACAGTAAATTGTCTTGAACTCTTCTTTTTAAATGAAAAATTTAAACAATATTAAAATTTTATATTCATTGAGTTGATATGTTACTTAATATTAAATGTTAGATAATTCATATTTAAATGGATATAAAATCTTTATATAATTGCAATTTAAAACTATACAATTTTATAATATAAATATAGCCTTCTATTCAATGATTAAGCCTCCTTTCCAAATGAGAAACAGATATGTTCAGTGATGTTTTTTCACTGTCAGTCAGAACAATTTTATCATCTGGCCAACATTTTCTAAGCATTGAGTGTAGAAATGACTGTTGAGTACTTGACAATATTTAAGAAATTTAATTAAAAGTTTTACCTGTTCATGAGGATTCAACTGTTGTTCCTCGAAGCAGAAGCACTGTATTTTATTGAAATACTGTCCAGCATCAAAGGGGATCACATTGTATGTGCTAATTCCAATCACTGGTTTGTCTGTGGGATTGCGAGCTGTGTAGAATGCTAAAGCCGTCTCACCTGGAACTACCTGTGGATTATAATCATTTATATTTATTTTACATTAGAATCATGTCTTTGTGCAGATGTATGAGGTAAATGACTATTGTTTTTTACCGTTATGTCAACTTGTTGTGGCTTAAAGTTCCACTGCATGGATGAAGCTACATCCGCATTAAATCTTATCTTAATGGGTCTTTCTTTGACGGCATTCATTTTGCTTATTGTCTCGTTGGCCTCGGCTTGAGCTGTTGTGCCACCATAACTGTAGGCCTGTGAATATATTAATGTTCCACATAAACCGGCAAATTATTGATGATACTTTTATTAGTGGCATGTAGGACGTTGATTTAAATTTGCGAGTTATGCTTTAATGTAAGATGGCCAAAACTTGTTTTTCTTAAAGAATATTTTTACTAATAAATATAATTGTAAATGTAACTATCAAAATTTGAAACTGAAACCCTATTTACGCATTTTTTTTTTAAATTAATCTTCAAATAGATCTTTATTTGATTTCAAATTGCACGCTTCATTTGAAATAGTTGCTAAGATAACACTGTTTCTATCAGGATTATTAACACGTACCTGACAAAATATCCTATATAACGGTACTGCGGCGTAACTTAAACCTACAGTCATAACACCCAGCGCTATCATATAATTAAGAGTAGACCTAATTTTCTTCTGTTCGTGGGCACCGCGAATAGTAAATACATTTGGTAAAGTGTTCTTTGGAACTAGTATGTGGGCTGGCGTTCTATAAACACTATTTCTATACGTGGTGAGATAACACCTAGTCATACAAGCTAATCTATTCATAATTATTTAAATCCTTATTTTATAACATTCTCAAATAGTTATCCTTTTGTAATTTGATGGTGAAAATATTGATACTGACAAAAGAAAGCGAAGAGTGACGTGCGCTGTCAACTGTCAAAAATTGTAAATATTACCAGGCACAAGAATGTTTTAACATACTCATATACAGATTAGTAAATTTGTTACATATTAGAAAATAATTTTAAATAAAGATATAACCTAAACAAAGAAATAAGAAAAAAATTAAAAGAAATTATAAAAAAAATCATGATTACAATTCTACTTGAAAAGTTTAATTTTGAGTATTCTGTGGTAGATAATAGCAGCGCGATTTGTTAAATTTTCGCGCCGTTTTTTCAATATCGTATAGTAGTCAATTTATAGTTTAGATTATTCTTTGAATTTGCTCTAATTTTAATTTTTAAGTGAGTGTTACTTTTTATTAAAACTAAACTACACTATAAAATAAAATTACCATCTTTACCTTAACTTTAATTATATTTTAAATTAGTATCACATTTGAAAGTTTTAAACTTCGAACTACTTATCATCCCTTGTATTCTATAGTCATTATTTTGTGTTTCGTCTTGATATGAGCGTCCGTGTGCGTCTTTTGATAGGCTTTGTAAGAACAATCTAAGAATGGACAACGGAACATGGGCTCCTTTCCACATTCATAAGTAACATGCCTCCTATATGTACTTTTATGTCTGTACTTCCTTTTGCATTTTTCACACTCGTAGCTGGAATCAAACTGTGACCAGTAATTTTTCGTTTTCATCGCCGCATTAGGTAAAATATTTTGCATCATGCGCTTAAAGAAATCCACTTCACCTGCAACAACAGAAAAGAACACTAACAGGTTTATAAGACTATTAATATTATTTCTATGTTTTAAATATTGTTTACTATTATTATTATTGCTATCTTATAGAACATGGAATACAGGTGTGGGATGTGGACATTATAAGACAAACGAGTTTGTACCAAATTAAGAACATTTATTCCATGCTTATCAATGAAAACAAACCAAACACTCTTTACATTTTGAAATAAAACAAACGCGACCGATATATGTATGACCCAGTAAATTATGTATAGAGAAACAATTTTTCATGGTTTTCTGAATTTGACACGTTTATATTAGTGTTAAAAATAATATTAAGTTACACCATAGAATATCCGGATAGCGATGTTTTTAAGTTTTTCACAATATAAAAAAGTACATAATCAATGTGTTAAATCAAGACGTTTTAAAAATTATTTTAATAACTTACAAAAGAAAACAAATTAACTATAAAAAGTTAGCAAATAACACTTGTAAACCTAATACTGTACGACGCAAGAGACATTTCAGATTGAAATGTTGTCCATATAATTGTTCTTACATTTTAATTTGGCGATCGTTCTATATCTATTATTTGTGCGATGACACCGAGTCCGTCAAAAGAACAAACACCTTCAATACATTTTAAATAAAAATGGTTTTAATTGGCTTGTATAGAGCTTCGTTGCATTATATTATTTTGAAATTATTTCGACTATAAGAGCTGCATGATACATCTTAAAACTGTTTGTTATATAGTAACACGTGTAGAGCAAAACAACCTCCTGAAGAAACAACATTTAATACCTCATCTGTTAATGAGATAAATAACACTCTAGAGTAAGTCACTCTGAAGAGTCAAGACGATAAAATAACAAGACAAAAATATTCCTAAAACATCTTACCTATATAAAATAACTTAGACCCCTATCATAATATTACATACATTTTTCGTCAAGGCACTTATTTAGGCTAGAACCGACTGGAAGATTCTTTGGTTATAAATATTGCGCGATTCATTTGAACTCTCGAGATAACTTATAAAATAGTAACAAATGCAAAATATCATATACATTTTAACATAAATACTGAAACTATAATACAATTATTTGTTTTGATTTATCTAAATTTCTTTGGCAACAAGGAACACACGAAATAAATATTAATAACAAGAACAAGAAAAAATAATAACAATCTATAAGTATATTATTGAAAACATGTCTTACGTATAATTATAATCTACAAATGAGTCGAATAATTAACATAGCTACCGTTCGAGTCGTCCTCTCCGTAGCTTTCCTCGGTGGTAACTATAATTCACTAAAATATTATGCGTATATTATTGCTGCCCTCTCTCTGGTAACTACTCGCTTACTTTTCCTAGTTTGTTTAAATAGACATCAAAAATGCTGTTACGTACCTCATCATAAAATTATATATTTTTATTATTTGGTAACAAAAGTCATTAACTGTTAGAAGTTGCGTCATTGCATCGAAAACTGAAAAATAATAAACATTACACTATAAGGACACCTCCGACAGATCCATGTCGAGCGACTTCAGGGTTATTTAGTCCAAAGTATTCGATGACACATCTGTCTTCAATGCATAGTTTAGTCTTCAGCTGTAATGGAATAAAACGCCATTAATATTATAGGTACCAAATAATAGCATGGAACATTTGAAATCGCTAACTTTACAATTGCTCGAACTAAATAAATTGAACCAAGCAGTGCACATATATACATATTACCACATAAATTTGTTAGTATGATCGATATCCCCAAGAAGCCCCTGTAAAGTCCCAGACCGTAGCCTGTTAGTATTTGTATCAAATTGTTACTGACATTTGGCACCTCGAGCTGGGGTCATTCGGACACGAAGTCCACTTTTTCTGGCAAGTCTTTATGCAGATGACGCTCGTGGAGGAGTAAGTTGTGTTTCTGGTACGCGCGGTACACACAGTAGGGACACTTGAAACTCGGTTGCTTCCTACACTCGTACTTAATGTGTCGCTGTAGCGAGCCTTTGTGCTTGTATTTGTTGCCGCAGTCGACACACTCGTACAGAGTCCAACCGGCCTTACCCCCGCTGAGGCCCGGCGTCCCGTAACCCAAAATATAAGGCGTGTACAACTGTGCAACTGAAATTGAAACGCAAATAAAAATAAATACGTGCAAATCATAACAAGCTACCACCACTGTATACGTAAGCAAAGCCACCTCGAGAAAGTCGAGCCCTCGACTCAAGCATAGGATAATGCACCATGTCTCCCATTTACTTGTTCCTCTAACCTTGTCGTTCCACTACAACGCTACTATGAATCTTCACCCTTATGTATAGTGTCATGCAAACCGTCTACATACAACCATCGACGTCCACCCGAAACGGAAATAACGAGCCATCCGCTTCGAGTGGACGCCAGAGAAGACTTAGAATAACATGCAGTGTTGTTAATAATTATACATTGTTATTGACACAAGTGAAGCATATCGGTGTTCGCCTCGAAGCGAAGGTAGTACGGATCCAAAATAAAAACGAGTAAATATCAAGAATAGCAACTTTATTTAAAATACAAAAAGTTTATAAAATACAATCAAATGCGTATAATCACTGTAACTGCTATCGTCGCGTTACATGCTACAGTAGAGAGACACTCTCGGCAGAGACCGATAGTTTACAGCAACTAGATCCTACCCTCGTATCACTCGGATGGACAGTTACGTCCCCGTCTCGTTTGTGTCGTTGAGTAATTTAATATTTTGAGAAATGCTTATCACAGGTTCGTTGTACTTAGTATTAACTATTGATTTCATCTGTTATGACTTTCCGTTTCAGTATTGTCAGATCACAACCTCGACGTTCCAAACGACAACTGGCTGTCGTCTGTTTGAAAAAGATTTTGTAAAATATTTAAAATTCTAATGACTAAATTTGTGAAGGCACTTAGTGTTATAGTGAAATGACTTGTATCGTACTTGTACTAAACGCTCGCTACGTATTGATCGTATGATGGTAACTGCTGCAGCTAATCTAACCGGGTATGACGAAAGCAAAATCACTCGAGCGTCGATCACGAGCCCTAACCGGGGTATGGAAACGAGGAACGACAGAGACGCGAATCATTTTGCTAACCGTGATATCGTCGCTTACTTATAATTTCTAAATGGTAATGTATAGAAAATACTTACAAACTACGTGGAAGATATACATTCATTCCGTACAAAAGTGACATGATTCTAAAGGATCGTACGTGCCTGGGCTTGTAACCCCTCGACGGCAGTACACAATATGTGAGTAACATTTTAACAATCGTTTCGTACTTAATAAGGCACTCGATTCCACTGGTCAGTCCTAACAATCTAAACAACTATTGGCCCCATCATCTCCAGGAACGCACACGTTACTACCACCTAGACATAATCTGATCTCTTCCTACCACAGACCACTAAGATCGGAATTAATATAAAAATAAATGCATTACACGTAAAGAGATCTAAAAATAATTGAAAATAAAAAAATTAACTTATATGAGTATTACAAAATAATGGAACATGCATTATGGCAAATACCTACAACTTGAAAACTAAGCGACAAATAGCTTCATTTCAATTAACGACTACCGAACTACATATAATAATAGAACAATGAACGCGATCACTTCTCACTACTGTATGTATGACATACGTCTAACGTCAATCTCGTCAAAACTATTAGTTAACCGAACTCAATAAACACGAATGACAAGCCGTCAACATTTCATAATCAACGTTAAAATTTAGTCAATAGTAACTGTAACTGGTAACAAGAGTTAAACTTTCTTAAAGAACAATCTAGCGAAGCTAAACGACCGACCTCGTCCGCAACCGGAATGATGAATCGATTCAAAACGTCCTACGTAAGAAGTATAAGAAGCGTAACTACACCAAGATCACTCTCATATACTGAATAAATGCAAGGGTCGCCACCAGCCACCGACCACCCGGGCGGCGGCCGCGGACTATACTATGACGGAGTGGCGATATTAAAGTATGGGGCGTCTAGAGCGAGGCGGAGCAGGCGACGGCCGGGGCACGTCACTATCACAAGGCTGAGAGATCGTGCGGACACTACGTGCAGGCGTCCACGTTGTCCTGCTTGATGTACTGCTCCGGCTTGAGGTGCACCTCGCGGTGCATGCGCTCCATGTGGCGCGCGATGTGCATCTTCTGCTTGGCGCGGTACACGCAGTACGGGCACTGGAACTGGGGCTCCTTGCCGCACTCCCACTTCTGGTGGTTGCGCAGCGACGACTTGAGCTTGTACACGCGGCCGCAGTCCGGGCACGTGAAGCTGGGCTCGCCGAGGGAGGGCGAGGGCGGCACGCGCGCGCCCGGCCCCCCTCCCGCCAGCGGCAGCGCCAGGCGCGCCGACCACTGCTCCCACGACAGCCCGCCCAGCCGCACCAGCGCCTCCTCGCCCGCAGCACCTGCAACACCCGCACCGTCACTGTCGCCGCTGACACGCGCCGCACACACAAGCACAGATACGGATACGTGTTATAATACCTACGGATATACTACATACATACATACATACATAATGTTATAGACGATACATAGATAACGTGATATACGTGAACGAACACTGAAGGTATGCTACTGTGAGTGTCCACCGAGTGCTGTGATCAAAGCTTTGCGAAGGAAAGTAAAAAAAAGAACAAAAAACAAATATAACGTTTATTTCGGTCATCGGAATGGTTCCCTGCAATACACTCCCTGTTAGGTTCCCCACGGGGAGGGGCTCGTGTACCGAGGAGGCATATGGCCTAAACAGTTTTAGTCACTTTAAAAACTTTGTTAATTATAATGTAGTCTCCCGACCCGGGGGCTTTCTTGTCTACCTGAAATTATTAATTATATTAGTATGAACGAAAGAGGAAAGAAAACAATTGTAGATGCGCAAGTCCAAGTGAGCGGTGAAACGTGCAGGCATGCTTGGTTATACAAGTATGACGGAAAATAAAACGGAACGGACTTACCTAACACCTAGGGGAGGAAAAACAAAATAAAACAAGGTGAGGGATAATATACAGATGAAAAGAAAAAAATTAACAAAGTATACGATATTTATATTTTATTAAACTTTTCTACCAAGTAAACCCCAATATATTCATATAAAAATCACGCTAATTAATTAACTAATTCCAATAACATTAACAAACAATGAACTTAGAAACATCCAAAACGTTTATCTAATTCATACATTAGTACCTAATACCTCTCCTCTAACATGATATGATGGAACATTGCATTCGGAACAGTTATTCAATGCTTAGCAATGACTCGACTCAATAACAATAACATCATTTTAAGTTAAACCAACTTTAAACTAATACTGACTTTGGTCAAATAGCTTTGTTATCCTAAATTAACAACAAAAAAATATCAACAGTCAATATGCTAAACGAAATTTGAATATGTATTGCGAATAAAAATATCATTTAACATCAAAAACAATTTTTTTTAATAATTTTGAACACATTTTTTCCCAGTAAACCGAAGGTAAACCATAATATATTATAATAAATATAAATATTTCGTATTATCTACAGGTAACATCGTAGGCACATAATCGATGAGCTTTTTGCTTACCTAAACCTAGATCGCCTCGAGTACAAATGCGTTTTTAACTCTTCGCTATTCGAGGCGACCGCGGGCCGAGAACTTCACCGTTCCGACTATAAATTTATGTCTAACAAATAATAATAATACAACTATTAAATAAAACTTTGGATCGTCTATTAACGGGAAGACAGAGAGTGGTCCCTGGAGAGGCCACGACACTACGACAGACGAGGCAGAAGAAACAACACTTTACCCGTCAATAGAAAATAACACTACTGAGACTTGAAGCGATTCAAAACAAATATCAACAGTTATAATATCATTGCACAAGTTTCTTTCTATTGGAATTATTCCGTGTGAGGAATGTTAGGGTACTACAAACTAGACGAAATTCGAGTTAACTTCCTCTATATCATTATACTATATAATATAATATTCTTTCATAAAAATAAAATCCCTCCTTCCGGAGAGACGATAACCTCTCGTGTGTAAATTTATTTGGAAGAGGACTCCGCGGCGGAGAGTGTTCTATCGAACGGAATACTTAGGGTCAGTCTCAACTACGACGATAAACTCTAAACAAAGTAACGAAAACAACAAAGCGACGCTAATGCCGTCAGGGAATGTGCACATTACGTCTATAGTCTCCGGTGTATATCAAAAACTCGTATAACAAAATAAATATGAATATAGTCGCGGCGGCGCGGCTGTCTACTTTGGTCTAGTTGCGTGACGTCACACGGAGGTCTTCTTGTTGCGGCGCACCTTGCTGGTGGCGTAGATGTACCACTCCGTGTTGTGGTGCTTGCGGATGTGCACGCCCAGGTTGCCGCGCTGCTTGGCGCGGTAGGCGCAGTAGGGACACTGGTGCGCGGGCGGCTTGCCGCCGCACTCCACGTTCTCGTGCCTCCGCAGCGTGGACTTCCAGCGGTACCTCTTGCCGCAGTGCCGGCACTCGAACTGGCGGCTGGCGTCGTCGTCGTCGCGGCGCGGCTTCTGGTCGTGCTCGGGCCCGGGCCCCGCGAACGCCGCGTCCGCCTCGTCGGGCAGCACGATGTCGTCGGTGTCGTCCGCCTCGGCCTCGGACTCCGGCTCCTCTTTGTTGAAGAGCGCGTGCGCGTGCGCGTGGTGCAACAGGGCGGGCAGCGCGGGCAGAGCCAGCGAGCCCTGCGCGCGCTGGGCCGACAGCAGGGACAGCAGGGACGGGAGGCTATCCTTGTGGACCTCTGGAATGCGACACATTACCGTATTGCAAATAATAAGTGAAGCGGATCTACGCACGCTCTTGTTAATGCTACCGGAGCTGAATAAAATTAAGGAACCAAAGAAATGCGTTATGGTAATAATGACGATATAAAAAATAATCTCTGTTAGGAATCATAAGAGGCGAAGCTTTCTAATTCATGCGGACATGCACGGACCGAACTCGTCGGTCTCCGAGTCGTCTTCCCACAAGGACGGAAACGGGGCGCGGAGAGGGAGCAAATCAAAGGCCGGTGACGCGATTACATCGTTTAATATCTAAAAATATATCCAACGTGGAGTCCGGGCGCTCGGACTAGTATAAGGCACTGGCAGACGGATGCGGGGGCGGAGGGCGCGGGACAGCGTCAGGCCCGCAGGGCGGCGGGCGTGGCGGCGGGCGCCAGCTCGGGGTGCTTCTTCTCTATGTGCTTCTTGAGCTCGTTGCGGCGGTGCTTGCTGTAGGAGCAGTGCGGACACTTGTACTGCGGCTCCTGGCCACACTCCAGCGTCACGTGCCGCACGAGGTTCTTGCGCGCGTTGTAGCAGCGCTGGCAGTTCGGACAGCGGTAGCCCTTGTCGGTCTTGTACTGGGCGCACGGCAGCTGCTGCGGTCCGCGGGGGAACACGTGGTAGCGCGCTTCAGGCTCCGCCTTGTGCTCGGGCTCGGGCTCGGGCTCGGCCTTGGGCGCGGTCTCTGCGGCGGGCGCGGGCTGTGCTCCGAGCGGCCGGCGGTCGTTCTCCTTCACGTCGTCGCCCGCCACGTCCGCGGCGCTCACGTTCTTGAGGATGGCCAGCGTGGTGGCGAACGACGTCTCCTCGCTCACTTTTTTACTCCTCGTCATAATACTATGCCTGGGGGTCGTCCTTCGACCTGAAATGAGGAAAAGCGTACAGTCCGATTTTCGGTCGGTCTTCTGGTTTTGTTATAGCGAATGAATGAAAACAATGTCAAGCTTAAAAAAACACAAAACGTATAAGAAAACGATATATTTAAGAAACTACAAATTCAACAAAAAAAAAACGCTCTTAAACGCAAATAATTGAAAACGAAACAAAAAATATGTATACTTCTAAACGATTCAAAACAATCAACAAAATAACTAAAGGTCCTACAAAATAATCAACTTGAAAAATAAATGGCACTTTCGAAGATCGATAACAAAAATATATAATATAACATGATAATTTACGTTAGAAAGTCTTTTCGCAACAATTCATGTTTTAACAAAAAATAAACATATATATAAACAGCGAAAAAATGTATAAAAACAAAAAAATAAAGATCTATAAATGCTCGGTGGTATCATGTTTAAGTGGCGTGTCTGTAAGCGCGTCATGTTTCTGAGCTATATGCATGGTCAATGTTTTTTTCTGTGAATATTTTTTCCCGCATACTTGGCAGCCGAACTGCGGCCCCGTGACGCACTCGTACTTCTCGTGGCGCAGCTTGTTCCTCCTGTACTTGTACTGTTTCTTCTTACATATTGAACACAGATACCGCCTCTCGTTCCCCCCGCCCGAGCCGTCCTCCCTCTTCTTCTTATACTTCCTGTTCCCGGGCATCCTCTTTCTATAAGCTCTCTTAACCCTCGCCTCCCCTCTCTCGGCCGGGCGTCTCTCGTGATCCTCTACGCTACCATGTTTTAGATACCCGCGGGTTAATGGAAAGGGGCTTTTAGTGTAACTCGAGTTACTTGTTAGAATGGTGGATGGTTCTGGAAGGCGAAAACAATGAAAAGCGAGAATGAGGTAAAGAAAGCATAGATATTAGTTGCAGAGGTACAGCACAGAAAGGTCAAATATATACACATAATACGTCACACAGCCTATGCAGTACAGATCGATAAGCGTTAATGGCATGATTAAAGAATTAGTCGAATGCGGGGAAAACAGAGTGAGAGGAAATGATTAATGGATCACCCTAAGTTCGGCCCCGTCGAGTACACGTCTTATACATTAACATAGTCCGAGTGTCGTCAATAACATTATGTGATAAATGAAATGCGCATCCACTCGCCACGGAGTCGTCGCGAGCCGTCCGTCCACAGAACACGGTCGGTACAGAGAACATGCACGACAATATACAAAGTACTTAAAACATGAATCGCTCGAAAAAGACATCTGCAGTGAAATCACATGTGAATGCAAAATAAAGAGAAATAAATAAGCCACACAACCAAAAAACCACTAGGATCATGATATAAGAACGTTCGTTTACCTGAGGCACGCGAGAGGGCGCTCCACACGGCGCGCGGCGCGGGCTCCGGCGGGCCGACTGCACACTAGCACACACTGAACGGCGACCAACGGCACGGACGGTCGAACGGACCGAGGAAACACGCGGCTCACGGACAGTAAACAACGACAAGGGTCAGGTTATAGGCACTGGCGTACGATAGCATTGGATTAGATGGCGCGTGCGACAAGTACGGTCAGTCAACTACACTACCGACTACATACAAGTAATGGGAACATACTCACCTCCCGCCGGACACACGCACACGCACACACACACAGCACTCGACCGACTACGGGTGTAATACATGAACCGCACTTACCTCGACCACTAGGGTTACCTCGCCACGAGGGCTACATCATAAAAACCATACCTTCTACCCATACCTTTACCTGTGGCTCTGAAATGTCCTAAAATGTATTCATTATATATAGGAGGATATAAGATTGCAATAATATTAGTAGTTTATAATATTAATATTAGATAGAATCTATTAAGGGTTGAAAGTTTCACATGTGAAAACACTAGCACTCTCGTATCCGCTGTTGTGGTATATCATTTCTAAATATATAACTAGATATATATTATTTTAAGCAATGACTGTCTGTCTGTTTACAAATTATGGGAAGACATTGCGCATTTCATCCGTTCCTTGTACGTCTGGAGCAATCAACTTTCTGGGCAGGACCCGTCGGCACTCGGACGGACCGGCGACAAAAGTTCATTGTTCCAGAGATGACCATCTCAAATCCCACACATCTTGTATTGTAATAGACTAATATTATATAGTGACAATTAACGATACATACACTGCAATACAAGATGTTCATTATTACAACACAACTGTCACGGACACCGCCCGGCAGCTCTGCCCGTGACAGCTGCTGCACTATGTTTCAGCTTACCTTGATTCTCTCGGATGCTGTCATTTGAATTCATAATTTCATCTTGAGATCTTTCCATATGCCATTGAAAATCTGTAACAGAGGATTTCATTATAACATCACTCTCTTTCATTCACTACACAAGAATATCTTAAATATCTCCTAAAATTGTTTTTAATATTTTTTGTTTTTTAAATATTTTTAACTTTAAATATTGATTAGTCTAAAATTGTATAATATGTATCTTTTGTTGGGGATCCTCAAATAAATAAATAAAACATTTAACTATATAACATGCTCATGATCTGATCAATTTAATATATTTCTCCATTAAATACTACAACTCAAAGTTTCAAACAGATAACTGTTTGCAAGTTTATTTATTTGCTAGGTTCTAATCATTAAAAGTAAGTTATTGACTAGTTTGAGATGTATATCATGTATATATGGTGCATGTATTGAGTGTTACTGACTGCGCACGACATCGTTGTGGTCAGCGGGCGGCGTGTGCGCGTCGTCCAGCGTGAGGTCCTCCACGTCCCGCGCCAGCTCCTCCTTGCAGGTGGGCTCGGGGCTGGCGGCGGGCGCCGGTGCTGCGGCCGCTACGGGGCTTGACGTGCGCCGAGCTTTCTTACGACGTCTGGATGGACTGAGGGACCCCGAGCGACTGTCCGAGCTGCCATCTCTCGTCTGGATAATACAAACACACACATTTGAATATGATTTTATTGGAGAAAAAAACAGAGCACAGGAATGTAATAAAAAATATAAACAATAATTTAAAGACAAATAATAGCAGAATCCTTACACATTTCTCACTAAGAAATGTAGATAAATTAAAAAGAGAGGCTGCTTGGGCATGCATCTCTAATAATACACTTGATAAAAGCGATGTGTACAAATAAAGTGTGTAAATTTAATTTAAGGATGTGAAGGGAGTGATGGTAAATGTGCAGAGAATATTTAGCGATTAAACTAAACTAAACTCTTAATCACGTCAAGTTAATGTTTTTTGTCATTCTAACATAGTCAGAGTTTAAAAACATTGCCTTGATATTCAGGGTTCAAACTGAACAAAAACCATACTACACACTCGTCTCAGATTTTATGTCATATGAATTATTCGACTGTTATTCATACTTAATACAAAAACTCCCAAATACAAAACAAATTGAAGAAGAAAATTAATATCTTTAGAATTAGATATAATTATCTCAAAATAAGGAGGAACCATACTAAAAATATGTCTAGTCATAACTACATTCTACATACATATCTACATTCAGTTCCTTATTATACATTGTTCTGACAGAACATCTTGACAGTAAAAGGATTTCATTTAGCCAACAAAATTTACTTTATTTTGCCTAAATAATGTTAAGACACTGTTAGTTCTAGCATATATATATACTATCAACATATAGTGTATAAGGCATAAGCTGAGCTTTGCATTTGTGTGAGTGCACATGATAGTGTAGGGGTGATGGTGGTTTATACTGCTTTTACTCTGCCCTGCACCTTTCGTACTTTACCCTTTGTACTGGGTAGCAGCGTCAAATATTGAAATTGCAAAGTCAAGTGAAGAAAAATTTGTATAGTTTCTAGCATTAGAATAGCTCTAAACCTTATGTTATTTATCTATTTAAATATACCTAATAAAATTTAATTCCAAAAGTTATTTGTCTAACTCTACTTTTACTTTCACTCACACAAATTCAAAGCTCAGCTCAAGTTTAATGGACTATACCAAATTATAAATTTTGACAAAATAAATAAATTCCAAGATTTATACTAAATTTAAAACTATCTAAACAATAAATATAACCTCTGTTCCTTATAATAAAAAAAAAAAATGACACACATTCATGATAGACCCTCATTAAATCAAGTTCAGTGATAAAACATATTATAATTTTACAAAATATTAAAATAGTTTTAGCATTTCAACAGTTCAGTTCTGTTATTGTATTCCATATAATATTTCTCTTAATTATTACTTGGAAATCTTATTTGCAGTAGACAAAGGTTCATCATGTATGTGAAACAAATGAACCTCCTAATACAGTAGAAACTCGATTAACCGGACTAATTGTTGTCGATAGGCATTTGGATAATCAAAAATCTGGATAATCAAATGTATGAAGAAAAGCCGGTTTTGTGCATATGTAGTACTTAGTTTATTAAAAAAGAACATGTATGTACTAAAAACTGCAGATTTTAATCATGAAATAAAATAATAAGTTTAATTTGGTTTAGAATATTTGGTAATTGTTATTTGACATACGCCACTCTCAATAACACTGCTCTCTTATAATTTACATTCCTTTCTTGTCCGGACTTGTCTGTAGTCCGGATAATCGCAAATAAGTATAACTGAGGGCTGGATAATTGTGTTTCTACTGTACATACGATATATAAACTTACTTGTGGTGGTGGAGAGGGCGCGCGGGGCGGGTGTGCGGGCGCGGGGGGAGGGCGCGACGGTGGCCGGGATGGCTTGTTATCTGAGAGGCCCTTTATCTGAAGTGACTCCGCTGCCTTCAGCAGGGCAGCCAGTTGATCCTGAGAGATGTTCACCTCTCCGCGGTACATATAATCCATCATAGCTCTCAGTTCAGCAAATTTGACATCTTTTAAAATGATTATTGGATGTTTGTCAAACTGTTCGGATAATACACTCTGAAAATAAACATATTGTTGTAGCAATATTTATTTTTTTTAGGTAACATCAAATAACAAGTCATAATGACATTTCTGAGTATCTTAATAATTAGCATATTACAAAATACCAGTTAATTAATGTATTATTATCTAATTAAACAAATGATTTTGACGGTTTGTCCAAAATTTAATGGTCCTAGTTAAAAACGAGTATCTATAAAAGTAGTTGTAACAACTTTCAATTGCCAACTCATCTATACATTAATATAAACTAATTGCTAGCATTTGAAAGCTAGAATGAAACAACTGAATGTTTATTAGAGCAAGACTATGCTGCTTTGTAACTAAGTTATATACGAAACCAATTGACCTAGATAAAGAATTAACATGATACCAACCTCGAAATATGGACTGCACGCAGACAACACCACTTTGTGTGCCTTTAGTGTTCTCCCTTCGGCAGCTAATGTGCAGTCCACGTGAATTTCTTTCACTAACAAAGTATCAAACACTGAAACCAGCGTCGACTGGTGGTTATTCCACCGCAGACAGAACTGCTGGTCATCATCCATGGTGATCTCGTGCCACGCGCCGCGCCCCTAGTCCTACGATAGCGAACACTTAATTAACACTATTTAGGTATCTACGTCTAAACACCTCGCAATAATAAGGCCGTCATGAAAATTTTTGTGGCCTCCTAAATGATTAAAGTTATTAATTTATCACTATACAGGCCGAATTGTCTCACCGTGTTATTTCATAGAATGAGATCACGCCTCAACTTAACTAAATTAACTTTCTGGACCACATACGGGCAGTCGTAAGCGACGCGGCACAAAGAAAATGGCCGCTTTTCCAGCGCGACAAAAAATAAAATGGCGACGAAAATTCTAAGTTTTACTATTTCCTGAACAAAGTTTCTATTCCACGCAATACAAACTCAAAATAATGATAACAAAGCCTCAATAAAACAACAACTAACTTTGTTACTTGTTAAAAACTTTTTCAAACTTTAGTTCGAAAGTTCACAAGTGGAAATTTTTAAGATGAAAAGTCGTAACAGGAAGGTAAGCACTTGTCGGATTCATTATGTTTAACCAAACATCACAAAAAACACTTACCTCAACTATAACATTCACTATCTTATAATAAAATAATACTTCGTTTTTTAATTACTTTAACACTTAATATAGACGTATTTGCTTTGCACACCCGCCAGCTTTCTTAGAAAGAAAATACTAAACTATGCTATGTTGCAAGTTTAGCAAAGCGAAAGGCACCTCTACTAAAACCAAACGAAGTACAAGTTGGAAACGGGCAACCGAGTGACCCAAAATAAGCTCTAGTAATGTTGCCACTATGAATAAAAAAGAAAGCTTGTTAACATACTAAATCTATTCAAAATAAGTAATGAATCCTTTATTTATATATGATTTTAACCTTACTGTGAAAAATTATAAATAAATATATAGGTATTATTGTCAAAACTGATGTAATACTTACTTAAACCTTAAAGTAATTATATTTAACCTTGACCTAATTTATAAAAACTTTGTCTCGTGATTTATGTCATCAATTTAGTTTTGATATGGTGTTAAATATTTTTTTTGAAACTTGTACAAACTGTTAAATACATTTTTTTTTGTTAAGTGACCACATTTTATATTTAAAACAGTGTTGTATCAAAATTAACAGAAGCATCTTTTAACTGCACCGCCATCTGTCAAGTGACAAGTGAATTATTTGATGTTTTAAATTGCTCAAGAGACAAGTTTGCTGTTTACTGTTTAGTTGTCTAGTTTTTTGGTCGACGCTTTTGAGATGTTCAATGATTAAATTTTTACTGAGTCTGCATAATTTATAATGTTTGTTTATGGTATTACCAGTGAGTGAAATAATTTCCGCTCATAAATGAATATTTTTTTATTATTCCGTGACTGAATACTACTTATTTCGTTTTAAGTTTTTTCTGGAGATGGAGTTACATGATCTTCGTTATTTTCAAAATGTTTCCCTTAGGTGAAATGTATTTTTTGTGACTATCGTAATTCTGTAAATTGATTGGTTATACATGCCACATAAATTTATTTTATTTAGAAATAAAGTATTTCATTCTTATTAAGTCCATTTATTGCATGTATATTGTTTTATTTGTTATGCATCTGTACCAAGTTATTTAACGTTAATTACGTACGTAAGTACTTTGTAATGACATATTTTAAAAATATTCGAAATTTCTTTAATTAATTATTGTTGTTTTTTAAATATGAGCGGTATATGGTTTTGTAAGTGTCATTATTTTATATTGATGAAAATATTTTCTTTTTAGATACAGCTAAAGATTATAGTTAGTCCTATTTTTTTCTACGGCTATTAGTTATTTATTAAATATGTATATGTATAATTAGTTATTTATATTATGTATATAATAAATAACTAATTGACTTCTTATTCCCTAAGCTTAGTTTAAAACGGAAATTGTGTTATGTATAAGGCATTGTAATAAATAAATATGAGTTTTTTAAATACTCGTTTTATTTAAAATATTTCACTGTCAAATTTTATTATAAACCTACCTACTAATAACGGTTGGCTAATACAAATTAATTATTTAATTTAATGGATTGAACAATTGTTAATGGATGTGTTTGTAATTTTGAAAACTTTTATGAAATAAAACATTGTCTATATGTTCTTGATTTAAATGGATTTTTTTGTGTTTTAATTCGGTCGTATAAGACTATAATATATCTTTTGCCTCAAGTTTTATCGGATAACATTCAATTTCTTACTAAATGTAGGTAGTAGGTACATGTATCATAATATGACACACGTTATAACTACTCGACGTGCTTCAACACTTTTTTATTACTTGTATAAAGTAACTTTGAAGTATATAAATAAGGTTTTATTGATAATTGTCTCCGATCTCGTGTGCTTAAGTATTTTATTATATAATTGCCAAAAGAAAAATATTCACACTATAAAACTCGTTTAATATTAATTAGGAAAAATGCAACATTAAAAAAGAATTTTCTGTATAGGCATCATTACTCAGAAAGAACTATTCTGCAAATGTTTCAAAGGATGCGACTTCGTTATAAAAATCAATAGCATTAGGAAGCCCGTACAAATGAATTATACAGTTCTTGGCTGTGTGCGCTCCGAGCATCGCTGTGTGAGAAACAAAAAAAATACAAGTGAAATTCTTGTAATAAAAATCAATCGGAGCGGAGAGAAGGCGCCGAGCGGGGCCCCGGCCCGGCCCGGGTCGCAGGGTACACCCCGCCCGCCTCCTTCTGCATACCTACATAGGATATAGTGCATCTACCCTCCACTTTCACGAGCATAATACACTATACCTTTTTATTTTGAATTTCTTTTAATATAGTCAAATAAACCGTCTCTATTCTAGAATTTCGCTCTAAGAACTAAACTATTTTCGATTCAATTATACTCCAGACACAATAAGTATGCGAGCGAGGAGTGCGCCGGCCCGCTCAGCCGGTTCGCGGCAAAAAGGCGTTTGTTTTTATTTCTTTGGCGCGGAAAAAAATCAGCACGCGCCGCCCTGCACCTCCTAAACATGCGCCACGCAGCGACGCAGACTCGGCCGGGTGTGTGCCCAATTCACTTTCATTTGTGAGATCCCATCGTCTCCCGAAGGTCACGGTGCAGCGCGGTCATCGTTTGTGTGGCGCTGCATGTGATCTCGGCGGTCGACGGCGGCCCGCGCTGACCGACTGCCCCAGGTGAGTACGGCGAGCTCCCTCGCGCCTTCCTTCGGGCAGAAGCTGGAAGGGAATGTTTTCATATCTGGCGGTAATAGTACGCGCAGACGTGTCGTGTGTCCGTGTGCTGGAGCGATGTGAGGTGGACTGCGAGAGGGTTATTCGCGCAACTTTGCTTTCACTACTCCTCTCCTCCTCCGACCGCTGAACGTACTCGAAAGTCTACGTTAACACTCCCATCCTAGAGTCCTTTTATAGTTATAGGGTTGTCGATTCTTAACGACTATAAAGTTTTGAATTCTCGCCACTTACAATTTCTTGTTTTCGTAGATGCTAGATATAACTCTAATTTTAAATTCTGTCTGTCGTGTCATTTGGACTGTGCGATTCTAAATAAGGAAAAATAAAAAAAATCTTACTAGAGGGTTCGCGTTACCGAGGAGGGAGCGAGAGAGGACAACGGGTTCTCTCTGTTCGTTTGTGCACCAATCGAGAAAAAATTCAATAAAGCTCGCTTCCTTTTGTCTAATTGCCTATGTAAACCTACTTATAATACGCCGACTGTTCGGTGTCCGCGACATTTACACACAAAAATGGAACATTGCTTTGTTTCACGGACCGGCCAGCGCATACTCATAGCTCATTGGAAACCAAGTGTGTATAAAGTTTGTAAACTTTGGAAGATACGTCTGAGGAAACTAAATATATAATTTAGAAATACAGAATCACAGTTGAAGTTAATTTTAGGAAATGCCGGGAACAGACAGATTCAATGTTAAATGTGAGCCGCCTTCAGACGATGAGGATGTTAGTTCACAATACGTTACAACATACTTACACACAGAGGTACGCTCTTTAATGGTTATTTATAATTCCAATTATATAATATCTTATAAGTTAAATATAATAATATTTACTTTTTATTCGAACTTTCTGTAATTAATTTAATCGGAGGAAGGTTATAGTTTTAAAACCCTCCTCCGATTTTTATGTTTATAAAAAAACACTTTTTATCGAATCAAATATTTTGATGATATTTTGAATATTTTCGGTTGTTTGGTTAATAAATTGAGGCGTGAATCATAGTTTTACCTTTGATTTATGTTGTTTAGTGATATATTGTAATGTAATATTATATTAACTTATTACAGAGATCGGAATATTATCCAATTAAATTGGAAAACGTCCATTGTGAAGATCGGTCGTCGGATCTATTACATCAATTGCAGGTTTGTTTATACTTTGAGGTGTTTCTTTATATCAAATAGATCGAAGCATTCATGTTAGTTTAAGAAGTTTTGAACGAATATTTTGTATACAAGTCTCATTTTCAATATTTAGAAATAAAATAAGAAATTCCTTATTGAAAGTTTATTGGTATTTGGTATGACTCATACTAGCCGTGTTATGAACTTAACAGGATGGTTTTTGCCAGACAAACATGTGTGGAAGGAATTTAGTTGACGCATTGAATACGCACGTGTGTTCCGCACATATTAGTTTTTATTTATTTTGATGTGTGTATAGAAAATAACAACTATTGATTATCATTACAACTTTATTGCTTACGTCATTACTTTCTACGTTTCACTATCAAAAAGTGAATGAACTAGATTTGACTTCTAATACATTGTAAAAGTTCTTTCGTATCATTAGTTTGTATTAGTGGATTAATAAAGTAATTTAACATGTATCCATCATCGTAGAAACACTTGTTTGTTTCGCTACTACTTTTATTTATTTGATTTTATATTTAGTTCAGTTCATTATTTGCAAACAAATTTTAAATAAGTTATCATCGTTGCAGATGTTCTTGAAGGTAAATAGTTTACTGAATTTGAAGCAAAATGCAAAAGTAGATAAATAACGTCTTTATAAATATGTTATGCAGAACAAAACTACGGACGCCCCAAGATAGCTCACAAGTTATTGTTACCACTTTCATGATAACAGAACTTATAATTTTAAAAGGTTTTCTTTTAAATATACAAAAAAATATACATCAATTTCGGCATGAATCCCACGTAGCAGACAAACTAGGATAGATTTGAATTTAACTTATGAGTTATGACAAATATCAAATTGAAAGGATAGCTGGGACTGACGGACGGGGTGACGAAACGATGTATTGAAAGTTAATAAAAAACATACAATAATCTGTCAAAGATAGAAATAAAATGATAACAATTAGGTACGTTATAATAAATAACAAAATTTGTAATATTTAAAACTTACAAAAAATTATTAGTTTAGCGACACAAAATATCGCTAAAGGCTTTTATCATTTATGTGATCTAAATAACATCGTGTATTTAATACATATTTGTTTTTATATAATTTTTTTTGCAAAATGATTTTTGTTAATATGGTGGTTATTATCAAAGGGCTAAATATCTTTTTCTCCATAACTTTTTAGCATCAGCAGATCTTATCATTCTCTAAATAAATAACAGTGACCAAGAACCACATTTGATGAATTTTATCAATATGAATTGTATGACTCAGGGTTCGTTGGAGGAGTTGGCGCCGGCGCCGGCGGGTCCTGCCGCCACCCCGGTCAGCGCGGCCCTACCAGCACCCTCACGGACCTCGCTGGCCACGCTCGAACCCGCACAACACCATGAGGTAGGTACACTACTACTATACAACACTAATACTGTACTACACTCTTATACCCAACGGGATACCTGAGCATCCTATGGTATGAAAGGAAAGTATTGTAAGGGGTGTAGATTGAATTAAACTTTCAAACAAATAAAGAGATCTAAGATTTTCGCGAGAATTTTTAAAGTACTTACGTGTTTTTATTGTTTTTATGTTTGACGAGACGTCTGCTGTCGGGAGTATGTAGTTTATAGTCAGAAATAAAAACGCGTAGTAAATCCGAAAATACTAGTTTCATTTCAAACAAATATTTGAGGAAGGTTAAGGTCTGATGGTTGCCACATCGATGTCATTGATTTACTAGCTCGCTTCTTCACGGCAAAAGAAACATGAGATAATTGCTGCTAGCAAACCTCCGTTTTGCCATATACCTCGTTTTTGAAGATACTTCAACAATAATGGTTAAGGTGTTATAACTTATAACCGAACTAGCAACAGAGTGGCTCTAAATATGTGCCATCTTTGGGTAGATATTATCCTAGCTTGGGAACAATATTAGTCGTTTTTGAGATGAGATTGACCGTGTGGCTCGTCTAGGACTAAGTAATTTTGATTTATATAAAGGATTTAGCCTTCGGCTACGGCTACGGCCTTCTGTGGGTTTCAGCAGACAGACCGTTCCTTTTATGACATGTTATTTCAACTGAAATAAATTTACTACTAACTTTTTGAATAGGTTTCTAAATCTGGAGGCAGCAGTCCTTCTTCTTTAAGCTCTAGAGGAAATCGTGATATCCCTCAATGCGAAAATCATCTAGTGGGTTTTGGAGTGTTGTCAACACGAATAGACTAAAATATTTAAACGAATAAATACGTATACGTAAAATAAATTTTGACTTTTGTGAACTCGAAAATAAACTATCTGGGATTCATTTAACCAGAATATGCTCTATATTGAAATCAAGTCAGATAAACTTTGGTATACTTAATAAATGGGGCAAATGTGTAATGAATTGTATTCGTATAGTATTGCAATTGGACAAGACTGCCTTTCAAAAAGTGATCGGAAGAAAATAATATTTCTAACGTCCGAACATTAAAGCAAAGATTTATTTATTTATTTTATTTGATTTATTCGTTCATTCATTCATTCATTCGTTCGTTCGTTCATTCGTTCGTTCATTCATTCATTAATTCATTAATTCATCCATCCATTCATTCATTCATTCATTCATTCATTCATTTATTTATTATTTTTATAGGATCACCAACAGAATCACCAGTCACCCTGTATAGTTAACAATTGAACACACTTGATAATTGTATTTCATTTTATAGGTAATCACAGCACGCACTAAATACATATATTAAATATTAGTAATTATCACAAGATTGTATTCTTTGGATTAATCATATAATTAAAAAGAAATTGAATTATTTAACAGTTTTATGTCAATATCAATAGATTTTTATTCAAATGAACATATTAAAGATGATATTAATTGTTCGTCGAACGAGCTGCTTTGCAAGCTCACTTATAAATCGGTTAGGGACTGACTGTAAATGTCTCGTATGTATTTATGTATGCATGTGTATGTTTCTCGGAGTGACAGTATACTATAAACAAAAGTTTTGTCGAGGCAGATTGTCACTATACCCAGAAAATGCTGAGTTAGTTTAATTTCTACAAGTGCCGTATCGTGATTCGAAATATCGGTCTTCGCGGTTACTGTTCTAGAGTTAATGGCCTCCACCGTACATTCACATTTACACTGTTCGAAGTGTTACCATTTTTCAGTCTACAATTTTTTACCTCATTTAACCGTAACCTCATATTACACCATAAAAAATAAAATACATTTATTTTTAATACTTATTATTTTCAGGGGTCCTCACTTATAGACAGGCACATACAAATGATGACAGCAAATGAAGTTGCCGACTCAGCAGAATTCGTGCCTCTCATGGCTATCAAAGACGAGCCCACTTCTGAAGCAGGTAAGCCATTAATAGTTTGTAATCGTAATTCTACTTAACATTTGACTATCAGTAGTAGTATGTTTGTAGAACAGCATCATCTCAGTGGTGACGACACCAGTGATTCAAGTGGCCCGGCGCCGGAGCCCGTCCGCGGCAGCCCAAAGACTTGGACCCAACAAGACATGGACAAAGCATTAGAGGCCCTCCGGAAACATAACATGAGCCTCACTAAGGTTTGCGATCAACTTTAAATATGATTTTTTGTAATTTGTGTAGGCACACTTAATTTATACGCTAATTTTTGTTATTCTACACTTTGCACCTTTGTTCAGGCGTCCGCGACTTACGGGATTCCGTCCACAACCTTATGGCAACGAGCCCATCGCCTCGGCATCGACACTCCCAAGAAAGAAGGCAGTTCGAAGTCTTGGAGCGAAGAGGACCTACGGGGGGCCTTACACGCGTTACGCGCCGGCGCCATCTCTGCTAATAAGGCTAGCAAAGCATACGGTGACTTTATATTTTTCAGCTTTTTATTACATCATCAAACAAGTGAGATGTCTCATCCCCGTGTTTGTATCACCAGGTATTCCCAGCAGCACGTTGTATAAGATAGCTCGTCGCGAGGGTATCCGTCTGGCCGCTCCATTCAACGCGGCGCCCACCGCCTGGCGGAGGGACGACCTGGCGCGGGCCCTGGCTGCCATCAGGGCCGGCGCCGCCTCCGTACAGCGAGCCGCCGCGACGTACGGCATACCCACAGGTAAGAAGACGCCTGCCCGGGGATACCACTTAACTATGGAAAAAGAGCACCTTCAAGCACCTTATATTTCAAGTTCATCAAAGTTTCTTGACTATTCCCAGGTACTCTATACGGAAGGTGTAAAAGAGAAGGCATCGAGCTGTCTCGCTCTAACCCGACGCCGTGGTCGGAGGACGCCATGGGCGAGGCGTTAGAAGCCGTGCGGTTAGTGTTACTGTAATGAACATAAACATATTATACAATATTAATTAAACATTCATATATATATTAACTATTCCAGAGTGGGTCAGATGTCCATCAACCAGGCAGCCATACATTATAACCTGCCGTACTCGTCCCTGTACGGTCGCTTCAAACGATGCAAATATCAAACACTACAGGTATATACATATGTATACATAGAAATAATTCTAAAAAAGCACATCTATTGTTCACACAATGAAGTAAATAATACTAGGACTAATAGACCAGTGCCTATAGCTTTTAAAACATAATTAAATTATAGTAGAATGAAACTCATTAGAAAAGGAGGGGAATATTATAAAAATTTAAGGGAAAAATTATTTACGGGCGATTTGAGGTCGGGAAGGGTCGGGAAGGGAATAGGTATTTAAGGGTAAAAAATGGGTTTTCTCGATTTGCGGCAAATCTAAAAGTCCTACGGAAAAATGTTATATGGCAAAGTTGTAGGCAATAAAAAGATCTAAAACTTTTGTCTACATATTTTTTTCACATAACCACAAAATTTGTGAAAATTCGAAAAACAAAGTTTTTTGTTTTTTATTTTTATCTCTTACAAAAAACAATTTTTTGTCACGAAATTTGGTGAAAACTTTCCTTTTGATGTTTCAAATGCACTGTAATTTATTTGATTCCTCAGATCGCCCGTAAATTATTTTTCCTTTAATTTTATTAATATTCCCCTCCTTTTCTAATGAGTTTCATTCTACTATAATTTATTTTCATTTTTAATTAATTTTAAAGGCTTCTGCACTGGCCTATATTTTCATTAATTTTAAAGGCTTCTGCACTGGCCTATAATCTATTATATATTGTTTCCAGAGCCAGCAGCCGCAGGAGCTACCGAAGTATGAAGGAGAGTTCCATCAACAGGGACTGTACTGTCAACACACGGACACACACACAGACGTACACAACACGCACACACACATACACAACCTGAACGACATAGACACATACACACACATGTACTACTCGCACTGTAATGTTACCAGCTGAGAAAACTCCCGCCACAGATTATAACAAGTGTTCTGCATCACTTACACATAGATTATATAGAAATACGTCAAAATTGTCTTGGCTGTTCAACAAAATCTTGTAGCATACTGAATATGTTTATAATCTAAGTTCGTTTTTATTATCTGATTTATTACTGTTGTTATTTTATTTAACAATGCGTTGTTAATGTCAATATATTAAAATACTTTTATATTGTAACGTAAGTTTGAATCATGATTACTTTATGTCAGCGTTACGTTTTATGGAAGTGTGAACAAATACACGTTTCAAATCTCTTTCATACTTAATATTTTTAAGAATTGGAAAGCGACGCCCTTGTAAATGTAGACTATACTTACTGCTGTATTTGGAAATGATCCCTCGGAGTAATTTAGATTGTTAAGTATTTATTTAAGTCAGATATAAAACATAAAAGAAATGCCTAATAGTTTTAATAATTATATAGTAATTATACAATAAGATAATTGCTTTAAAACGCCGTCACTCAACAAACATTTGTTCTCTTTGTATGTTAATTAAAAAAAAAACATCAACAGCTGTAGTTTAAAGTTAGTAATGACGCATTAATTTAAATATTTTAATTTAGATCAAGTATCGTTTGAATAAATTGTATATGAATAATATATTAAGGAACAGTTACATAGTTTAGATTATTTTGACTGTAATGTAAGTGTATGTATAAACTTATCTGTCCATTATTGGTAAGCAATATACGTAATGTATTGTGATATAAGTCAGTCGGTTGTTAAATAATATAGTCTGCTTACTGCTCTGGATCCTGGATTGATAGAAGCGAGAGGAGTTTCAATAATATTAATTTAATATTAATATTTTGCTACACGTAACGCCATCTAGCTGTTAAACTAGAAAGTTTATTTTATAATGTTTAAAGATACTCATTAACGATAATATGTAATATGAATATAATGATTCTTTTGTCGTCGTTTCCTTTTTATATCAAATAGATATTTTGTAAATAGCCTATACACCTTTTAATAAAATTTTACAGACTGAATTTTCTTTAATTTAAAAAAATCATCGTCGCATCATACTAAATATTCTCATCTAGGTATGTGAAATAAAAATTTTTTATTGAAAAAATAAAATACCTTAGATATTAAATATCTTTTAACTGATGTACGGAATATATGTTAATCTAATGATATATTCGGTCCAAAACATACCGAACGAAACTTGCGGTCAAATAATTCGATAATTTAGGGCATTATACTGTAAGTTTTGTACAAGTGTGTGACTTCTGGAATAAAAACAGGAGGCGCCACTATAGATATAGACCAGTGCCGATAGCTTTTAAAACATAATTAAATTACAGTAGAATAAAACTCATTAAAAAAGGAGGGGAATATTATAAAAATTAAAGGAAAAATAATTTACGCGCGATCTGAGGTCGGGAAGGGTATGGGGTTGGGTATTTAAGGGTAAAATATCGGTTTTCTCGATTTCCGGCAAAACTAAAAGTCCTACGGAACAAAATTTATGGCAAAGTTGTAGGTAATAAAAAGATCAAAAACTTTTGTACTAACATTCTTTTCACATAACCTCAAAATTTATGTGAAAAATTTGAAAAACCAAGTTTTAGGTTTTTTATTTTTATCTCTTACAAAAAATAATATTTTGTCACGAAATTTGGTAAAAACTTTCCTCTTGATGTTATAAATACACTGTAATTTATTTGATTATTAATATTTATTTTTTCAGCTTATTTTGATTAAATATCGAAAACTCAGTCTCATTTTCAATCGAAAAATCACCCGTCAAAATATCAGCTATTTTCAAAAATTTTGTACGATTTCAATTTTTTGGAATCTCTTCTTTCCGATGGTCAAGAAAAAAATATGAGTTTCTTACTTACAGTACCATTTTTGGATAAAATAATCATGTCTCTTTTAATGAAATGACACTCGACATTGTTTTGAAAATGCTCTTTCTAATTTATTTTTAATACTTGTGTACTCTGGAAGTTCTCCAGATAGTCCCTCTTTTAGGTAATTTACACAAAATTGACATTAAGCTGCTAAAACTATTAAAAATAAATTAGAAAGAGCATTTTCAAAACAATGTCGAGTGTCATTTCATTAAAAGAGACATGATTATTTTATCCAAAAATGGTACTATAAGTAAGAAACTTATTTTTTTTTTCATCACCATTGGAAAAAAGAGATTTCAACAAACAAAAAACACACTAAATTTTCGTAAAAAACTGATATTTTGACGGGTGATTTTTCCATTGAAAATGAGGCTGATTTTTCGGTATTTATTCAAAATAAGCTGTAAAACTAAATATTTCTTATCAAATAAATTACAGTGCATTTGGAACATCAAAAGGAAAGTTTTCACCAAAAATCGTGACAAAAAATTGTTTTTTGGAAGACATAAAAATATAAAACCAAAAATTTGGTTTTTCAAATTTTTCACATAAAATAATACGTACAACTTTGCCACATAACTTTTTTTAGTAGGACTATTAGTTTTATCGGAAATCGAGAAAACCCATTTTTTACCCTTAAATACCCATCCCCATACCCTTCCCGACCTCAAATCGGCCGTAAATTATTTTTCTTTTAATTTTTATAATATTCCCCTCCTTTTCTAATGAGTTTCTTTCTACTATAATTTATTTTTACTTTTCATTGTTTTTAAAGGCACTGGGCTAATATCTGATCCAATCACTACTTATTGTTAATCTTCAAAATCTAACAGATATTACAAACTTTTACAAAGTTCTAAAGCGGACTTGTGATCCCAAACGGATAAGTAATAATATTGATTAAATACGAAAACCATAACATAAAGAAGTAAATTTGAATTATTTTTAGAAAACTCTACATTGGCTACATTATTGCTAATCGCTTTTGATTTTAGATTAATTTCTTATTAACATTTTTTAAGAAAAATATTAGAACTCATTATCTAAAGAGCTTCACCACTCCCGTGGGACCAGTGTGTAAGCAGTGACTCCCATTTGGATTTCTATAAGTAGTTGTTGTGGAGAGACGGTTCTCCCCAAGCAGACAGAGGTGTTCCAATAAAAGCAAAGCTTTAGTCTTGTTTTCCTGCTTTGCAATTTACCACTTTCAGATTTCAAATATTTAGTGTATTCAAGTATATTAAGCTTTAAAAAAATTGTCGTAGGGTAATAAAAAAAACTAAGTTAGTGTTTGTATCATAAACAAATGTTCTGATCCTGCGGTACTCTGTATAAAGTCTGTCATTACAAAGCTATGTTGTATTTGTATTCGGTTAACTAAGTAAACTAAGCAAATATTCAGTCAAATATGAAGAAAGAAATATACGATGATTACAAATATAGCAAATATGAATATTCGGCTTAACATTGGGCTCGTCGCCTCTTTTAACGTTCATACTGACATGAGGAGCTACTTCATCGAGTTTTCATACATCATTTTAACATAACCTAATGGATATCTTAATACCTATTAGACGACTAGGGATGTTGATGTTAAGGAGGTGAGCAATGTAATCAAAGTTGAAGTAGAACTAATATTTTCAGATTTACTAGCGTTTTTAATTATTTTAACTACATACTCCCGACGTATCGAATACTTTGCAGCAGCCCTGAGTCGTGACTGAATCTCATCTCCTCTGCCTGTGATTACGGGAGATGCAAAGTAACCGACACGACATAGTTTCCAGTCTACGAAAACATATTGACATCACTCTGAGCAAGGTTGTTTTCTGCATGGCTCTTCTGTATTTCATTTAAATAAGCACTGATATAAGAATAAATAAATAAAAGCTTGTATGCTTGGTTTAATTTTCATCACCACACTCCACATGGAACGTTGACAGTTTTTATCCACAAATCTTCGTACATGATAGTATTAAAGTACATAGGTTATTGTATCTTATATATTTAAATGAGCCATTAAAATATATACCTATATGTATATATCGACTGACGTTATGTATATAACATATTTATTGGAATATCGGAATCCGCTCCAACGATTTTCATGAAATTCAGTATGTAGGGATGTCGGGGATGATAAAAAGATCTAGCTAGGAATCACTTTTAGAAAATGTTATTTTATTACTGATATTTTATTGAAAAAAAAAATACAAAAATTTATGTATTATTAATTTTTTTTTTTAATTAACAATCTATATATTATTTTTTAAATGAGTCATTGTTACTTGAAAATAGAAATAAATAAACAAAATAAAAAGGAGTCTTTTCAAAATATGACTCTTCCTGACATCAATTGGCAAATAGTAATACTACTTTTTGCTAATTGATTTAACGACACAACAGCAGATGGCGTTTTTAAGTACCAGGAAGTCAACGAGTTTTTGTTTTGAGGTTAGAGAGAAATTAATTATTGATTTATGGGTGAATATACGCTATTTGAATTCCATTGGTCTATAGACAAATTTTTATGTGAAACTTATTATATTATAGTCTCTCCATGCCTAAACAATAAAGAATGTGGCATTTTATCCGGCCCACAAACACTATTCACGATAATTATTTAATTTATATTTTTAAGGTATACTCCTCTGGCTTTCCTATTTATGATCTAAAATGAACTTATGGCTGAATACTTTCAAAAAGTACACAATTATGTTTTTTATTTATACGCTTTATTAAACATCGAAACATATTTGAACAAAATTATGAGTAAAATATGTATTTATTAATATAAAATAATATAACTTATTAATTTCGAGTCATGTTACAATTCCGTCACTTTATCTGGCGGAAATCAAAGACTTAAAAATTTATTAAAAATCACAACTTTGTGCTTTTGATCTTAAAGAATAAATCCTTAATAATTTGAGCAAAATTAAAAAGAAAATTGATCAGTTTTCGATAAACTTTCGGAAAGTAATTTTGTGCCAGTTGTAGGAGTATTTCCTTTGGTAAACATATATATTTGTATTTTATAGTTACGAAATTAAATTTCGTAACGATAAAATACAAAATATTAACTTAAACTGATGTAAGAAAAGCGAGTGATGTTAATTTTAATACATTATGAGTGATTTTGTCACTTTTCTAGCGTCACTCCTCTGGCATATTACATACTTGATAGCCAGAGGAGTGACAATTTTTTTTAATAAATAAATGGAAGTATATAGAAGTTTCATTTAATATAAGTCAACTTTCTTAGCTAATAATTAATGGTATGACAATATCCTTCTTTGATTTATTACTATACTCTGGCAACAGTGTCACTCTTCTGATAACACATTTCCCTCTGGTGCTTATAAAACTAAAAAAAAAAAATAATCATCTGGCCTCTGGGATTACTAGTTTTAAAATAGTGTCAAATAAATAAATTGTAAATATTGAATAGAACCGATAACATTTCCTTCTGGGGACATGAAAAAACCAAATAGCTTATATTCACGCTTGTATTGTTTTGTGTCTTCTAAACGTGTTCACTTAAAAATGCCTAAACGAAATTAAAAAAAAAAAACACAAAATAAATACTATTAATTTTTAAATACCGAGTGAAGCTCGGTAACCAGATATTTACATTAGAATGTGACAAATTATTTCTCCTGTCTTGCGCCACTCACAATTGTGTTTGGTTCTGTTACAGTTTTCTTATGTCTTTAGGTTAATAGCTTAATTGAGAATGCGGGGTTTTTTAATACTGACCAATTGTGGTTATCCTCCTAGTCTTAAATTATTTCTTAAATATGCTATGAACGATTTTTCCCCCAGGACTAGGTCGGACTTAAAACCATAAAGCGACTGCCTAGTCAATGTTGCTTTTGGTTGCAAATTAAATACAAATTTCCTTTAGATAGGAGTTTAAAAGTAAAATAACAAATTCTTACATTTCCAACCTGAGACTCCACGTGCAGTCCTGATAAAAGATAATAACGATTCGAATCTACAATTATTCACCCTACAAATGCGATATAGACCTTATTTCAAAAATCTTTCATAGGACAAACTGTTTTATGTTAGCCTCACCTTTTTCCAACACAATTTAATAATGTTAATTTATATATTTCAAATATTTTAATTCATTTTATTCATGCTTTAAGTTTTTGTGATTTAAATTAGAATTTCTTTTTTATATTTACGGAACGTATGTTCTTTTATCAATTTACAATTTCTCGTTCTTGTGCAAAGACTTATTAAACTATAAGAGGTTTGGTAAGTGTTCTATGGATAGTTGGGTAATTTTAATTGTGGTGTGGTGTTTTATATCAGTAGAACCAAAACTTCGTGTACTAAGTACTGCATTCCCCTTTATTTGTAAGACATAAAACTACTTGTTGTATGTTTGGATTTACTTGTAAGGTATGATCACGGTTGTTGTGGCTCTTGATGGCATTTAAATTTGACAACTCCAATTATAATTTGTTATTAGGACTAACACTTTGTCCGGTACAAGAAGACAAAAATAGCATTTATATATTTTTATAAACAACCAAAGAAATTTTACTTAATCGATTCTTTAGATGAACGTCATTTTTAAAACAGGATGGCTGGCAAATAAATAAAAAAATACATTAAAAAAGTCACTTTATTTATCTACAGTTAGGAATAAAATAAATTACATGATGATTTATCGGCTGCGGTGTCCGTGTATACATGAACATCCCACTTCTCGTTTACTTTACATTAATATAGAAAGATACAAAATTATTGCACTTCACACGCAACGTCAAATATTCCTACCCGCCATCACATGGAAATTAGTACTACTACTAAATAAGAGATGGCAGTGTTAGTTATTACTATTAGCTCATAGATGGCGTCACTAGCTCGAACTACTCCATCTGTCGGCCAGTTAAAGTACTGACAAAGAGAAATGGCGGTTCTTACATGATCTAAACGATACGATATTAATTATTGACGTGATCTTAATTTACAAACATGAGTCATAATCATTATCTCTCACTAATGTTATTTACAGGGGTGACTTAGTGTTTTAAATCTAACGTTACTATATCGACATCTTACATTGAGGTTTAATAATAAAATAACTTTGTTTCAATGTGAACATTGCTAAAATTAACATTTTACAATGGAATTAAATAAATCAACAAGTTCAGTTCTGTCAAAATTACCGCCCAAAAAGTATTTAAGACAAAGAATCATAAACAAATTTGGTATGATAACTTTTTAGGAGGCAGTTTTAATAGAAGTGTCAATCAGCTGAGTGTATGAAGTCCGTTTGATTCAGTCGTTGTGTTAATCAGATAAATGCCACATAATGTCTCCTTCCGCGCGGAGGACAGTTCTTTGGAAATTGACCCTTTAGGTTCACGTTAGTCCCAGGAGCAGACATTGAATGGCATCTATGCCGTGTAAAAAGCGATCTAGACATGGAAATACAGATTTTAACTCTAAAGTAGTTTCGCTTATAAGCTTATAGGGTAGACTATCTACCGGTTTATAAATTTCGAGAAGCGATGCGGGTTCGGACGCCACCGCCGTACTTAATAACTATTACGTATATAAGAAAGGGCGAGGCGCGGCGGCCGCCTCACGGAACATCCGCCGCGGCGCTCCTTACTAGCTATCACATGGTACATTCATACTATATAGAGATATCGGTCCACACGCGCACCACCTCCGGCACGAGGTCACATACACCGGTCAGAGGAGCTACGTCACATACACATCGGGTAGAACTGTCTTCACATGGTATACACTTAAATAGGCAGGGAATTCTCACTCGAACAGTTACATAATGATGCCGCAAAGTCATTCCACGGGTTACATGGACTGGGGGAGTCGTGTCTAGACCGGTCCGTAGTCAGAGAGAGGCTGCTGCGAGCGAGCCGAGGGAGCGGTGGCCGGCAGAGAGGGCAGGCTGGCAGGCGGCGGCAGGCTCGGGGGCGGCGCGGGCAGGGCGGGCGGCGCGGGCGGCAGCGGGGGAGCGGGCGGGGCGGGCGGCCCCGCGGGGGCTCGTCACACGGCGCCCTTCACGAGCGCGCGGTGTGCGGGGGGAGGAGCCCTACCTCCGCGCCACACTCGGCGCCACGACTCCAGCGTCTTGCCGGACCAGATCCAGACCCCGGACGTGATGCCCACCGCCAGCGCCATGAAGTACTTGAGCATGAGCGCCGAGTACAGGGGCCGCGGGCCGCACGCCGCGCCGCACGCCACGCGCCGCAGCCAGGCCTCGCGCCCCTCCGCCTCGTAGGCCAGGCAGCCTATCACGACGCCGGCCGGCACCGCGTACAGCACGCTGAACACGCCGATACGGATCATCAGTTTCTCGAGTTTGTCGGCCTTCGAGCCGGCGCCGATGCCGCCCTGGCGCTTGATGACGGAGCGGATGCGGAACAGAGACACGAAGCCGGCCAACAGGAACGTGGCGCCGAGAGCGAAGTACACCACGAGCGGCGCCAGCACGTACTTCTTGAGGTTCTCGGAGGAGGTGTTCCCGACGTAGCACACGCCGGCCACCGGGTCCCCGTCCACGGCGCCCGCCAGCAGCACCAGCACGGTCTTAGCGGCCGGCACCAGCCACGCCGCCAGGTGGTAGTACTGAGCGTGACCGGCGATCGCCTCGTTCCCCCACTTGAGGCCCGCCGCCAGGAACCACGCGAACGACAACACCACCCACCAGATAGAAGACGCCATGCCGAAGAAGTAGACCAGGATGAACACGAGCGTGCAGGCGCTGGGGCCGTTGGAGGAGGTCTTGAGGAGGGCGCCGTCACAGGCCACCTCCTCGTGACCGATGACGAGCCGCGCCAGGTAGCCGAGCGCCACCATGAAGTAGCAGGCGGACAGGTACACGATGGGCCGCTCGGGGTACTTGAACCGCTGCGAGTCAATGAGGAAGGTGGTGAGCGTCATGAGCGTGGAGGCGGCGCACAGTCCCCCCCATAGCGCGACCCACACGGCCGCGAACTCCTTCTCCTCCCTTGTGAAGAAGGCCCCGCGGCACGGCAGCGCGCAGCCGGGCACGCCGGCCGCCGTGGCGCTGGCGTTGTGCAGCGCGCGCACGCTGACGAGGGGCGGCCGGCATGCGCACGCGCACTCGTCGCCGCCCGCCTCGCCCGGGCTCGCAGCCGGGCCGCTTTCGCAGTTTTTTGGATCCTTGCAGTTTTTGTAGGGACGGCGCGGCGGAGGACGCGGCGGCTCGGGTTCCTGGGCGCGGTCCGGTTCCTCCATACACAGGTGCTCGGAGTCCCCCAGTCGCGGTAACTTCTCGCACGCCATCCTCTCGGGCCACTGGAAGCCGTACTTCTGCATGAGAGGCGCGCAGCCCGCCCGCGCACGCTCACACACACTGCGACATGCCGGCAGAGGCTTGGCGTAGTCTTCTATACATATCGGAGTATACACGGAGCACAGGAAGAACTTCAGGTCGGCCGAACACTTGATCTCGACCAGCGGCCAATATTGATGGACCTGGAAATGTTAAATTATTATTATGATGTGATAGACCAGCTTTTAGTGGATGTTCTCGTATGAATGTGAATGACTACGCTACCTCTAGGCCAGCTTCATCCTGTGTATCGTGATCGAGAGCATTAGGGAAGGAGGTCAGGTTGTATCCGATGCCCCGACACATGGGGATGGTGATCTCCTCGCAGCGCGGCTGGAGAGCCTCCGCGCCCGCCAGCACCAGCGCCAGCGACACCACACGCCACATCATACTCACTAGTTTAACCGCATCTGAAACAAACATCACGGAAATATAGAACTTTGATACATTTACAGATGAATTGCGCAACGAAATTAAACCATTACGTGAGTTTACGTCTAAATCCAATTTCGTTTTATAATGGCCGTTGTTACATTTCATCTTAACAGTCCTTAACTTTCGACAATTTCTTGAACACATTTAAATGGTGGAAGCGAACAAAGAAAGCGAGCACGCACTTCTGTTGTAGGTTCATTGAACCCAATCAAATCAGTTTAGTTTAAGTTAAATTATTTATTTTAGCTGTCCGTGTGCCAGTGAATATAGCCGGACGATTAGCGAGCACGGCGGACTCGGAGAAAAAATACGTTTGTTTAATAATAAACTCTATGCTGTACAGTTAGGATACATAACACAGATAATTACGTAATTCGCGATGTTGAGGAAGAAAACATACACCGTATGCATGATGCTTATAAGGAATGGGTTCATGGAGATATGAGACAGGTTCGTCTGTCCGAGTCTGATCGGTAGCTCGATCGCATATTAATTGATATTTAATATTTTCTTTTTGAACTTATGATCGATGTGTAATTGTATATATTTAATAGTCATTTCATATTCTATTAGTCGATAGTTCCGCCGTCTTTCAAACAGTCATAACTGCATAACATTGTAAAGCAATAGTTTTTTCTGCACCGAGTAGTATAACAGTAAGTACGGCTGTAGCACTGTGAATCCTTCAAAGGAAATGCACATTTTAAACATTTATAGTTCTGTCCCAACCTTCGCCGTTCGTTGTAGACGCCCAAGTTAATGCGCTTTTAACGACGCGTTGTATCGACACGTGGTTCAAATAGCTCGTTTCATTTTTCAGATCTAAGTTTACCGAAAAAACTTTACCGTTTTTGAACTTTTTAATTGAGCATTTTTTCTATCGACAGCGGTTTTTGTAACTGAACGCGGAAAAATATCTCGTTTTAAGTGTCCCATAATTTATTATTTCGTTGTAAATGTACAGTTTATATGTCTAAGAAACATGATGCGACTATCACATCTCCCTGTCAGTAGTGCAGTCAGTGAATGCTGGCCGTCGTTGGTCTGCTCGTGTTTTGAATGGCATGGCTGGAACCATATCGACGCTCGCACAATAAACAATGCTTTTAATTGTAAAACTCGCTGCGCCTGTACTGGTACCTAAGTCGTAAACATCCGTGTGGTCCGTCTCTTAGCGGGGATCAACTATAGCTATTCTCTATATGATAAATATCATCTCCTAACATTATCATTTTTTACGGATATTTATTAAGAATGGGAATTTTTTTGAAGTAAGCGATTTTTACATTGTCATTTGAATCTCATTTACTGTATTTAATTGGTTTTCTAATTACCGTCGATTATAAAACAAATGCCTACATACAGATTATATTTTGTAAACTTGAAATTCAGAAATATAGTGTTGTGTGTATTTATAGTACAATAAAATAAACACATGTTAACTGGTTAAATTATTGAGTAACACACGGTCCGTGTTATTAACACAATGCTTCTCTCTATATACGGACATAAAATGTGTCTCGCGTCACTATGCAAGATTAGCATAATATATTACTAGAATAGTTATTTACAATATATACCAGATAAGCGTACTACTGTATTTATTGTATGCGAACGTTCCTTCTATTAAATAATACATATTAATACAGTTTTGTAATTGTGCTTTTAAGATGAAGGCAAAGTTGAGTAAATAGTTAAATAAAAAATTGTATTAGAAAATACAGAATGAAAATATTAATCTGCAACCTTAGTAATATTATTCATTTTAATATAAAAATAATGTTTTTAAAATATTTGTACAGAGAATACATCGTGTTTACTTTTAAACATGGAAATAGTACCTTTTTGCAGACCGTATCTCTTAAAAAGGATAACTTAAATGTCAGCGCTTTACTATGTTACGAGTGAACGGTAAAAAAATGTTAATCTCCACATAACATACTTACATAACATGATAATTGAAGGAGATAAGTTATGAATGTCACTTACATACTTTTGGTAAGTTTTATAAGAATCAGATTGACTTTCGAGCTGTACACAGATAAACATGATGACGTCATCTTACTAAAAACTATTGAGATAAGGTGCATATAAACCGTATATATTTATGTACAGTACAGTAAGGTGACCTGGGATTGTTTGATATTAATCAAATATAAAACTAAGTATCTAAGCGCACTCCCCGCTGTCACTCGGACCGCACCTATCTGTGAGGACTGTAGTTTATTCTCGTTTAGTGGAAATAGTAATAGGCGTTGGTTTTGCGAGATTTTATTGCTGGTACGTGTCGCCCGCTCGCCTCGGAGTTGCTTGTTCAGCTCGCATGGAAGCTCCATTGTTCCGATATCGATGAAAGGCGAGCGAGTCCGATACTGTTATTAAATAATAATATTTGAAACATACACTAATTGTTTTATAACTTTGTGACGGTTATAACGAGTTTAATATATTCTATACTGTCTCATAGTATAGGTATACTATTTATTAATGTGACGTCTTTGATAATAATTTTTCAATGATTAGTCGTTTTTAATATAGTGTGTATATTTTGAAGTTCCGATGGATTCAACATGTGCAAACTCAATCTCAGTTTTAGATATAAATTTTATGATATTGATACAATGTACGTGCTGAATATTTACATAGAATAATTTTGATAAGCAAAATAGTTGAAAATCTATGTTTGCAAATATCAAACGACAAAGTTTTATAACACAGAAAAATAAATATAAGCGAGCGATCGGCGCTCCGATGACCAGTCTCCTTAACATAACCGATAAAATAGGTGTTCAAGAACTGCTTCCGAAACATGATAAGACGCTTGTTACAGATAGTTCTAGAAACATGTACCGGGCAAATGTTTGTTCAATACGATTACAGCTGTACGAACACTATCAGATCACACTTATCGACTAATTCCGTGTTGTATTTGAATATATCGCTACTTGATACAGATTTATTTAGTTTTATAACGTTTAAAGTCGATCGACTGCCATCTTCATACGTAATATAATCTCGTTCGCGTCCAGTCCGCTTACTCACCAGAATTTCCCTGTCACTGGGGTTGAATAGGTTCAGCATGCGTGATACAAGTAAATCTATGTTTGATTGTCGCGTGCCGGACCACAGTTTACGCAACTTCCTGTTTTTGCGGTAAGTCCTGTATATCTTCACATAAACGAGTTGAACTCAACATCTTGCATATTTCGTTTTATGGTCTCGTTCGAGTTCGGAGTGCTTTGTGGGTTCATATCTACTTACAATGTTGGTTCACGCTATTAATATGTATCTAACGCTTGAAAAATCTAACAAAATACATTATTTGGTGTATAATAACCTTTATAATGTCGGGTTCATCCTCGTAACGTAAGGAGTTTCTTTACGGTCGATGCTATCTTTCTTCTATTAGACATTTCAGTCTCTGCATCTCAAACAACAACTGGAACTTGATTGCTCTTCACTTTCTGAATACCTCACTATATATTTACTTTAATATGAATTATGTTTTAAACTTTACATTGAAATCGTATTATTAATAGAGTTTTGTCACCTTTCTTTCCACAAACCTGCATCGATTTAAAAGTTACCGTTACACCTATATGTCTACACATACACACTGTCATCCTCAACATATACAAAAGGTTTTAAATTATGTCGTTATTCGAATCCATTAAACCCGGAACATGTTCTATTGAATAGGATATTAAGTATTGTTATTTAAAGTAGCGAGATTTTGGCGACAAAAAATCATAGTTTGCGGTCAATAGCGCAGATCTCTCCGGTGGTATTTGTGTCACGTTTTTAAAGAATTCTTTCTCTCTAACGACGGAATTACGAATCTAATATATAGTTATTTAATAGCGCGTTATGTTTATTCAATCCCGTGTAAGGCATGTGTCGTGTGAGTCACGCGGCTATTCTTGATTAATTACGTATTATTCGGTACGTGATTAACATCGCGTACGGAGCGGCCGCGTGGATGTGTGCCTCATGAATATAATAAGGGGCTTCGTATCCTCATATCAATAGAGGATTTGTAGTATCCAGTGTTTGAGACGAGTCGTTTGTACGTACTGAGTGTACGTAAGTCGGTAGTCAGGTTCATCAATGGAACTATATGATTAGAAGTTATTAAGGTCGCGGTGTAAGGTCATCTGATGTAACGTATTCGTTCGGTAATCGTCTTGTCACATTGTCTTGTATCGTGTCGATCGCTGGACGTCTCTTGAACAAACAATTTTCCGCGTCTCGCACACAGCGGGCTCGGTCCGACCAGTCTAATGACCTAACATTTATTTTCATGTTCATATATTATTCGCTCCCGTCGAACACATTACGGAGCTATTTTAAGCAGATATTTATTTTATGATTTATTGTCTTTTGCCGGAGTATTTCAAGTTATATTTTTACGTCCACGGCTATCACTTTAATGGGAATATTGAAAACGATTCGCAAGTTGTAAAACATTGTGTTCCACGGATAGTCATAAACGACGATCCTCGACTGATATTTGAATACGACTATAAATTATTACAAAACAAACGACCCTTCGAGATTTCTGTTCTTTGTTAAAATCATAAAAATCACAAAACTAATAGCAGACCTTTTGAATTACTCGCTCTTTGTTTTAATACTGTACATTTGTTAGTCAAATTCTGTAAAACAATTTATAAATGTCATTGTTATTATTGGAAGACGATAAAAAAAGGTCTTCTATAAAAAATGTCAGGCTCGTTGATACGTGTGTGAGTTATCTGTGGTTGGATCTCGAGTCTATTTAAAATATAGTCAGGTGTTGGCCGCCTCCTACACGCGACACCCGAAACGACGGATTAAAAAACACTGACATGTCATAAAAGATTGTTCGGAGTCATTATAGTGTCTTATATAAAATATTTGTGTTAAATTTAAAGACTATAATATTCGTTATCTGGAAGTGTGAGTCGTTTTGAACGCCGCATACTTTTTGTTCATTATTTCCGTGGCATTTCAGGTGTCAGTGACACTTTATTTTTGGCGCTCAGAATACTCGGGCATATTTGTTTTTTTTATTAACAAACAATTCCCAAGAAATCGATTCCTTTAATAATAACGTATCGCCATTTAAAATATTTTACTTGCCGTTTAAGGTGTATGGGAGTGTAATATTTGTTAATTAATTATATATGATCGGTAATGCTCCGGACGGTCAAGTGGTGTTTGTACGAAGCTAGGGCAAACGGCGTCGCTAGAAATGTCACTCCCTTTTGTTTCAAAACGGGGGCCCTTTTTTAGTATCGATCGTCCGCAGGCCGCAGGTAACCGGGAGCGGATGATTTATTACCGGCTTGTTTGTTCAAATAATCGATCTGGCATATCGCACCGCAAACGATTATAGTCCCTCCGGCGGGGGAGCTTGGGGTGCTTTCGGTATCCACCGCGGGTCGCATCTCAGCTTAATGGCGGTCTAAAATACCACGTGTGCAACGATATTTATAAAAGAGGAACTCGCTAAATTTCAATGGGAATTTATCGCCGGAGTAAATGGAACCGTCGGCCGGTCGGTCGTCGGTCGTCGGTGTGATGTACCTACGTACGGAATCCGAGCTTCATTTCGCTCGTTACCGGGCGCATTGTTGAAATGAATATTGGAACGTCATTACACAATCGGAGCTCTATTGACGGACGAGGAGAGAATAATTCGACTAAAAATACGCGGCACGCACTCGAACCCACACCTCCCGCGAACTGTGAATGTATCGGAGTTGACGGACATGGCGCTGTACAAATAGAACCAATTAATATAGCAATATAATAAAATGAAAAACGCTCTCAAACGACTGACGGAGCTCCCGTTATTATAAATAGTGAGGGTCAAAAGGACTAAGAATGATATTAATGGTGTAAGGGAAGGCGACGGCGATGGGGTGCCGCGGTGCCGGCATAGAGCACCGCGAGGACCCCAACCAAAGAAACGGATCGAATCAGAGCGGGAGAGAAGCGGGGAATAATACGGTTCAATGTAAAGTACAAACAGTGAGGCTATTAAAACATTTAGATACGGATTTGAACGAGGCGATTGTTCAGGCGTTCATCGAACAGAAGCACAGATATCTGTAGATAATGTACGAGCAAACAGTGCACTGTACGGCCGCGCTATACGGATCGTAAGAAACAGTAGCGACTAGCGGCTGATACGGAATGAAACAGTTTACAATGTTTGTCCACTACGCGTTGTAAGACGGGCTTCATCGAAGTGTTTATAACGCAAACAGAGTCGGGAGTCGCGGCGTGGACGGCGGAACAGATTTAATGATAACGTGTGATAGTGTTATCACATACCACTATCGTATACATCGCATGGCCTCACACGCTTCACATTCGACACCTATTGTGAGTGGTCAATGAAATGAGTCTAATATATTTTATATGGTCCGTGTGTCGTACAGACGAGTCACTGGACACATGTAAGGCATCTCCAGAGTTATCGTATCTGTGATCGATGGCCCGCCTGTTAATTACGGCCCTATCGCATTAACTTCATGATTTATTGATATCTACCAGATAACGTACCTTATTACAACATTTTTATATTACTATTGCTCCAAAACTAGCAAAAAATAACACATGTCACTGACTGTGCACATACATGTGTGGGAGGTTATAAAATGATGATCACAGTGTTCATATTGTTATATATTAATCATTTGTTCTAGTTTACGATCATATATAGAACATTTAAAGTACATTATATCCACAGAGCGGCGATAGTAGAGACACAGCTATTTACGAGTTAGGCCAGTGGCGATGCCTTTAAAACAATAAAAAGTGAAAATAAATTATAGTAGAATGAAACTCATGAGAAAAGAAGGGGAATATTATAAAAATTAAAGGAAAAATAATTTACGGGCGATCTGAGGTCGGGAAGGGTATGGGGATGGGTATTTAATGGTACAAAATGGGTTTTCTCGATTTCCGGCAAAACTAAAAGTCCTACAGAAAAAAAATATATGGCAAAGTTGTAGGTAATAAAAAGATCTAAAAGTTTTGTACTTACATATTTTTCACAGAACCTCAAATTTTATGTGAAAAATTCGACAAACCAAGTTTTTCGTTTTTAATTTTTATCTCTTCCAAAAAACAATTTTTTAACATGAAATTTGGTGAAAACTTTCCTTTTCATGTTCCAAATGCACTGTAATTTATTTGTTTAAAAATATTTATTTTTTTCAGCTTATTTTGAATAAATACCGAAAAATCAGCCTTATTTTCAATCGAAAAATCACCCGTAAAAATATTAGCTCTTTTAAAAAATTTGGTAATTTTCTATTTGTTGAAATCTCTATTTTCTGATGGTGAAGTTGTGTACTCTGAAAGTTCTCCAGATAGTCCCTCTCTTAGGTAATTTACAGAAAATTGACATGAAGCTGCTAAAACTATTAAAAATAAATTGAAAGAGCACTTTCCAAACGATATCGAGTGTCATTTCATTAAAAGGGACATGATTATTTTATCCAAAATTGGTACTGCAAGTAAAAAACTTATATTTTTTTCTTCACCATCGGAAAAAAGAGATTTCAACAAATAGAAAACATACCAATTTTTTTAAAAAAGCTGATATTTTGACGGGTGATTTTTCGATTGAAAATGAGGCTGATTTTTCAGTATTTATTGAAAATAAGCTGAAAAAATAAATATTTCTTATCAAATAAATTACAGTGCATTTGGAACATCAAAAGGAAAGTTTTCACCAAATTTCGTTACAAAAAAATGTTTTTTGGAAGAGATAAAAATAAAAAACCAAAAACTTGGATTTTGGAATTTTTCACATAAAATTTGAGGTTATGTGAAAAAAATGTTAGTATACAATTTTTAGATCTTTTTATTACCTACAACTTTGCCATATAACTTTTTCCTGTAAGACTTTTAGTTTTGCCGGAAACCAAGAAAACCGATATTTTATCCTTTAATACCCTTCCCGACCTCAGATCGCCCGTAAATTATTTTTCCTTTAATTTTTATAATATTCCCCTCCTTTTCTAATGAGTTTCATTGTACTATAATTTAATTATGTTTTAAAAGCTATCGGCACTGGTCTAAGTGTATATAATCTAAAACGAAGTAGGCTCTTTACATTATACATATAGGATTGTTTATAAATACATATATACAAATAGAGACGAACCGTTTCTTTCGAACCCTTTTAAGATTATTTGATATATATCATCATTGATGTTATATATTTTTCACATAAAAGTTTGTAGACTGTTTTATTTAACATTAAGTATATCAAAATATTGATATAATCGTTCACAACATGTTCCCGTCGTCGTAATGTTATGAATTCATCGTGTGTATTAAACTGTTCGATAGTTTATTGAGAGGAGAGCAGCCTGTAATATAAACAGTAACACGTGTAGCGACTTACACTGCCTGTATATAAAACAAACCTCGGTCGTGTTCATCATTATATATTTCATATTTAAATGCGCGGCCTATGACATTAGGTGTCTTAAGGTAAACATGGAGTGTAAATACCACGCAGTTATAAATAATTCATGTTTAAAATTGACACAGCTACTTAACATAATAGTACCAATATCATAAATCACTCGTGAAGTGTAAAAAATGTTAATTCAAATGTCGTGGGCGCGGCGAGTGGGTCCCTCACACACGACGCTGGGTGGCCGACTGGCCGTACGAGAAACACTCGTATACAAGGTTACTGTTCATTCAGTACATATGAACCGTCGATACTATGTGTTCTTTATATATTATATAGTAGTGTTGTTACATAAACAGTCGTAAATATCCAAAGCTTTCTTCGTGGGTCGTCGCGTCAGGAGCCGGTGTAATGGCTATTAATAATCTAATATAGTCCGTGAGCCGCTCCGCCGGTGTCCAACGCTCTCCATAAACAAACATCACTACTTCATGGATGATTACGTGCTATTTTTCTGATTTATTTCATTAGTGTCACAATGAACCTACATTTAATACGCGGACACGCAAGTCAACGGAATGTACATTATATAAACTGTAACAATAAGCTCCACGTTATGTAACTAGTTTTATATTTTCTATTAATCACTTCCCAACTTCTCTATGTATAATGTCCGTCTGTGTTTTTGTTTTCTCTAGACGACTCATTGTTTTAAAATGTTTAATTTCACCTTCGTCGTACATTCGCATTGTTTATGCAATTCCATTTTAAGGTCTTTTCTTGCTTAGAATTAACCTTGAAAGTAACGAAGTGGCTGCAGTCGTATTTAAACTTATAATTAAACATTATACGAAGCTTTTACTAAGTATTTAAATGGATTTGTTGTTTTAATGATGTGTACAACATGGTATATAAGTACAGTTCTCAATAGTATCGTTTATAGATCGGGTGTTGTTTTCATTCAATGTTTATAATGTCACAATATTGTATATAAAGATTAGACCGGCTCTGAACTCTCGCCGTACCGTTGACACAATGAATGCAAATGAAAAACGCCGTGTAATCCGACAGTGAGGTTATGCGACTACAAATTTGTAAATGGCCCCATACATGATACAGGAGAGGCGAGATGAGAACGCACCAGGCCGAGAGCCAGCCCCATACTGCTGGGCCGACGGTCATTCAACTAGCTTTATATCCGTTCAAATAAGCACTAAATATGTTTAATGCGTTCCTCCTGTAATTAGTAGGTGTTAGGAAATGAGAAACAGTGTTAGCTCAGCCCTGTGGGTTTGTTTACGGTTTGTGTGTGTGTGTATGTGAGTGTGTGTGTGGTGTGATGGGATTGTAGAAGGCACAGGAGGTGCGATCTACCGCGGACAATTTACATTTTATATTGTACCTCGATATTTGAATTTAACTGCTCTGGTATTGCAACGTTTTTTATTTCTTTAACCCTCGGTTTTAACATTCAAACTTATCTTGTAACATGTATCATAATATGTAATACATTATTTTACGCTTCACATTTTTTTTTAGATTCTATTTTATCGTCTGATAATATTACAACGTTCATTTTGAAATGTAACGCGACGTCACTGGAGTGGCTTTTGTGACGTGAACAGGCGGCCGAAGATGTAACAGATTTAAAGCTTTAATTTAAATGAAAACGATCGTTTGATGTAACAGTATATGATCGATTGAGTGGTAGGTGGTGGCTGGTGGCGTGGCGAGGAGAGTGTCTGTAATAAATAAAGGCGTGAGTCAACGGACGGTGGCTGGTTATTTTCGACTTGCAAATGAGAAAGTGCATGGCTAGTAGCTTCAGGTGGCGACTGGCGAGTACGTTGCACTGCTCCTGTACATACTACACTCGACGCGCCTACACACTCCTGTTTATTTATTTGTTGAACGTCCGGTTCCACATAAACACTTTTATATCCTCGGATATGATTCGTCTTCCTATATTATGTATTAGGACATGTAATGCGATGTTTATTACCGTTCAAGACGTGAGAAAAGCGGGTAGTTTTATAAACAACGACCGTGTATCCATTACGGTACATCAACTTATGAATATCTAACACTAAGATACGTTAACTTCATTAACTACATTCAGATTCAAATAAACCATTTTATGATCTTCACAAATAGCATTATAAAATGTATTTTATATGTATATTACAATGCAGGAAAACTATGATGAATATATATAAAGCAAGAGTTCAGGAAACATAACTAGGATTCTCGGAAAGCTTCTAACATTTGTAGGAGCGTTGTTTTAATGTACATTATATGAATGGTGTTCTATGGCTTCTACTTATTGGGAACACGTAAATTGTGTTTAATTAAAACATTGTATGATATGCTCCGACGATATCATTACCTTCGTGAATATTTTGCGAGTAATACACAACTATCAGGTGGCATTATGTTTTATCGTTTCCATTATCTCGCAAAGTAAACAAGCGATGTTTTGTCACAATAAACATCTATTTATAGTTTGAGATATGAACATACGACCTCTGGGAGGCCGAATGCCGAATCGACGGTAATCATTTCTTAACGTTCCTGTCTGCAATACAGGGAGTTCTCACTAAATCGCAAACGACAGTTATCGGCTCCGATCAAATCCCGCCAACCTTATCGAAAATACTGTAATCAATATTAGATAAGTAATACTCACCGCTAACCGCTTCGCACCGAACACCGTACCTTCAGCCAGGCGGCCGGCCGCTCACACTACACTCAACACTTCACACCAACTTCACCGTCTTCTCAAATATCTCATTGAATACATGTTATCATTTAAAAGTATCGATCAGACAGTCACACGCGTTGGAGCCGTTCTACACGACGCCTATATTTTTACATTCGACTCTGAAGATTTCTTGCAGGACGTGGAAACAGTTCATCTAATCACTGAAGAACTCGAGAAAACTACCAGGGACACTATTCTCGTTAATAATTGTCAAGTCACAGTCAGCGGTGCGAATCTTCCAAACAAATGATATCGACAGTTAAGACAACGAATAGGACATACATCCATACACCGCGGCGTGCGGAGAGGAACTGATTCGTTAGACTGAGACGACTGAGACATGTGAATGAACGAGGGAGAGCGGACTATGAAGGGGCGAGGGGCAAAGGGCGTAGGGGCGGCGGGGGAGAGTGTGAGGCAGGGGACGGGTATACACGGCTGACATGTAGACACTCTATACTCTCGCCGATAGATGGCGGTGCGCGGGTGAAGTATAACACTGAGAGCCTTTGAGATAGATGTTCTAAATGATTATAGAAGCAGGGTTCGGCTCTGTCCGCGAATTAGGGAAACGTTTTTGAATTAACGCAGTCGAACGTTTGCCGTGTACTTCACGGTTTATTGAATACGATACTTGAATATCTGGAATAAATTTGGTCGAATGGAATAAGTAAATCGACTCCGAGATAAATTAGTGTTTACTTTGCATTGCTTTATACGGAGAGTGAATTAAGAAAGTGTGAGATGCTATCGGGATTTAGATTAAATCTTCCATCGAAGAAATCTATAAGATAGAGGTCTTAACAGAGACTTGAGATCAATGAACGAACTCTGATTACTTTTAGTGATATTAGAGGAGAGCTTATTCTTTTTATCTTACATTTAACAGCTTTCTTTACATTATCTTGCACTACTGAACTGTACAAGCTAGTCAAAATATTGATCAGTATTATTACTCTATGTTTGAAACGTCATGTACATAATATGAAGTGTTTCTCGTTTCTGATTTAAAAACTGTAATGTGACGAGATTTATGAATTACTAACTGTTAACTCTCCGTATGTAGTGACTAGTGTGCCGACGCGAACTCGGATTAAGCGTACAGTTCGTAAAGTTAACTATTGTATAATAATCATCATTAAATATAGATATTTTGAAACAAATCGCTGATGTTTTAATGGCGACTTCTGGAACTATCCAATATAAAATATATATAAAAAAGTAGATTTCTAGCAAATTAATACATATTTTGATTTCTTTAGAAATTATTATAGCATCGTTTTAAAAAATTAAAGTGGGTGCCAAATTATACACTAACTAAGTACGCGTATGTTTTATTAATGTCAGTACCTATCTACTGATTCTGATCACATCTTATTATAATTGATTATTATCTTAATGTATAGGTAATATGTTTTTTTTTCTCTCGTTTATATATTGTATTGTATTAGTATATATATTTTATTGTATCTATTGTAGTTTTTATCATATTTTTATGTTATGATTTCTTTTAATTTAATGTATCTTTTTGTTATCGCTACAAGTGTCTGTCACTAAAACATTGTTTTATTATGTGGAGATATGTATATATAAAGTAAAATTAGTTACTATATGTTGTATATTTCATTTCTATATAAGTATGTACATTCATCACGTCACGTCTAGTGTTGTAGTAACAGTTACTATAGGTTTATTACTATAGGTCTCAGTCGCGTTCTATTTTTTTTATATTATTTCTTTTCATCGTTTAACAATTTGTGAGACACTACCTAGAGGTATATACCTAATTTTTAGAAAGTTTTTTGTCACTAAGTGACCACGAATAAATCTAAAAATAGTTATTTAAAAGATTATTGTTCTAACGTATACTTGGCAGTGCCTTCAATATTAATAAATACATATTTGATTAAGTTAATCGAATTATGTATTTTTCTGTGAGAAATTCATAAATTTTTAATTTTCACTTTTCTGCTTAAAGTTGGTACATATTTGAGAAAACTCCTGTTTTAAAGTAGGTTAAGAACCGGTCAACAAGTGCATTAGTATCGTGTTGTGACAAATAATACAGAAGCTCGGTGATCTACAATCACAACATCGTTGTTATCAACAAGGACTCTTGAAGTAAAATGTATTTATAATATTAATATATAAAGTTATATTAGAAGAATGATTAAATCAAATTGTTCAGCGAATATCGTTAACAACACTATATCAGTGTTATATTGTGTCAATGTTTTTCAAATCAAATAAAACAAGCGTAATTCAAATGAACTGAACGTATGAAAAACATAAAACGATAGTTCAATTTGACAAATGGCATCACTAGCAATATTTTATTTATCTGTCACTTCTTTATATCAATAAGATTTGGGGAAAATAACACAGACGCGACGTGTTAAATCATAAGGATACATTAAATTATATAATAAGATGTATGTGTTATTATAAATAAAGTAATTGCCCTGTTCCAGGCGACTATTTTCATCCGTGCTCCGTGTATCGGGCGTCATCATAATTGATTTAGTCTGTGCCTACAATAAATCAGCGCTCTATCTCTCCTATCGCCGCTCTATTGTTTATGGACCACTATCATCCGTCATGTACCATAGACAAGCTGGTTTGTTGGCGGGAATTATTTTTATAATGTTTATATTAACAGAAGATTTATTACTGGAATTGTTTAATTGATACCTTCAAAGTTTAACGTATCTTAATTTAAAATGATCTTTGTATGTGGCAATTACTAATTATTATTATACATGTACTTATATTTAGAAATATAAAAGTGGAATGGCTGAAGATTGTTCTTATATGTCAAATGTGGCTTAAAAATAAAGACGTTATCTATTAAATTCATATACAAAGGCGTTTTTTATATAAACATTAAAATAATTGATAAAAAGTCAGTAATTTTAAAGTCATCTGTCGGTGAATGTTCTCATAATGAGCCTCTATCTCCGAGGTCAATCTGCGGACTGATTTATCGAGGTGTCCTAGTATATAATCGTTTTATTATTATAATTATTAAAATATCAACAATAACATTTACATTCCACATGTTCATGCAAACTGGAATAAATCTACTCTTTGATTACAACATTGTACTTTATTAATAAAACAGTAGATCTGTGTTTGCGTCTGTTATTATATACATATAGAAGCTTCTTTTTTCTGCTTTAGTTGCTGCAATTTATTATATACTTTGAAATTCAAAGATTTTTATTGTTCCTAACCTTATAAATTTTCTTCTATTTGTATTTATCGATAGTCAAATGAATTGACATTCATTTGTTGTTATAAAACCTAACTATAAGTAAGTCACAGATGTGTGTATTCTACTCGGTGTGTTGACCTTTCACCCTAGAGGCTAGAGGTTCACAGGAGAATTTCTTACGCACTTTTAATTACGCTGTCTCCACAACCTGAGTACGACGGACCCACCTACGATTGAGTCTACCCAGTACCCTTTCTTGTTCATATACCACATTGTGCTCACAATCAGACTAAACAAATAATGTAACATTTAAATATACAGTACATATAATGTGTTGTGTGTTGTGTTACACGGTCACAGCTACATACCTGGTGTAACAATGACCGTGGGCGGTCGTGGGCGCTGAAACAGCTCCCATACATTACACACTGTACAGTCGTGATCAAAAACACTTACTCACTGTTAACTTTCTGTTTCGCGTTTATTCATATCCTCATGTAATTTATTGTTGTTTTCTCTCCTCATGAGAGATTAACGAATTCCTCGTCATGTTTCATTTTATCAATTCATCGAATAATATTTATTAAGAAGGATTGACATTTCCAAGTGCTTTTTCCCTTCACCAGACGAGACGGATAACCGACGTCTTAATCCCTAAATCCTCGACTTGTTCATTGTCAGATTCAACTTAATGTATTAAGTATAACATTATTTTAAGATTATATTTTTTAAGTAGTACGTAGAAGGAAAAACATTAAGTGCATAATAAATACATACTAAGACGCTGATTATCGTTTCAGATACCATAGTTAATATTTTAACAGATATCAGATATTCAATAGTTTTTTTATTTGTCTATTGCATGTCACATTACAATCGGTTTTGATGATGAGGAAAGAAAAGTAGAAGTAAAAAAATAAAGGTGACAACTGCATACCGTATTTGCTGTTAAATTATGACAGAGATTTTAGTATAAAAGAATAAAAAAAATTATGATCATTATTGACTTTAGAATGACATGTAAATTGAAATAAAGTTAGATCGGTTTAGGGAAGTGGAATCAATAGAAAACAATGAGAACTATCATTGGAATTATGACATCAAAAGGAATGGTCTTCAGCACACGATGGAAAAAACAGACGTGGAACATTCAGAGACGAGTGGTAACACACAACAATGGAAGCAATTTACAGAACATTTGACTATCAGACCGCACTTTGAATTAGATCGCGATTCATTTCACGATATCCACATTGTTTCTAGCAAATATTATCAAATCCATTTTCGTTTATTATTATTTTTTATTAGATTTCAACAATAATAATGTACACGACGTTATACAAAATTTATTTCTAATAAAAGGCTCGGATTGCAAATAAATAAAAAGGGACAAAATACACACATAAATAATAAATGTGTCAAGCTAACTGCTGTCTCCTGACTGCGCTCAAAGTCATAGTGATTGTAACAAACGCTTGGAATAATTTGTTATGAAAATTTACACATTTATCTACATTTTATACTTATCGTATGTATGTTGTATATATTATACAATATACAAACAACGGGTTCGTTATGAGTCAATAATTCAAATATTAATCTAAAATTTGATTAGCCATTCTACCTAAATATCTATGACTGGTACATGTTGCCGTTCTGACCGTCGGAGACACGTAATAGTTGGTTTTCAATTAACACAAAGCCTTCCTCCTATTAATAAAACACATCTAAATCTCTCACAGAACAATAAAGACAGGATCGTGCTCCGAGCAGCGAACACTTGGCCATCATTAGCTATTATTATATAAAGCACAAATCAATTTTAATCGCCTCTAAAACAATATTTCAAAGCTATAAATCTTTGTTAATAGCGTTATTGGAAACACGTTGTTTTAGGCCACTTTTATAATGTTACATACTTATAGGTAAATTTGTTCAATATTCAATAGTAATGCAGAATTTATTTTTTCAAATGCAAGTGATAGTTTTGTAACATTATGTTCAGGATTTTAAATAGCATCATATAATCGGTTTAAAGAAAAATTTAAAGAAACATTAAACGATAAGTAGGTAAATTTCTAGTATACATATATATTGGAGGCTATTGAAGTCACAATTTAAAGAAAACACTTACAGTAGTACTATTGTAACACAATTAGTATCCAATGTTGTTTCTATTTAAATTTTTCTCTAAGGGATTAGACGGATTGCTTCTAATGAGTCCAGTTAATATAAGATAAGGTGGAAGGAGCCTAATCCTGGAGATGATCTGCGGCCTAACATCTGGATATTAATATATATTGTAACAGGTCTGTGAGTGTGGTGGAAAGTAGAGAGGGTTTTGAGTGGGGAATGTTTTATGTTAGGACTGTTCCGTGTTCTGTTACATACGCGTTATTAGGAAATGATTGTTATATGAGAAGAACGGATTACACTTACTTGGTGTAGTTTTCATAGTTTTGTTTCTGTTAATGAAGTTTACTTAGGATTTACAAGTTGAATGGTACATTTTGGCTGTATTTCTAGTCGAATAATTTGTAACACTGTGTGTATTATGAGCGCTTTTCATTAAAAAAATCATCTTCGTATTACTTTAACTGCATAATAAATACACATGCATGAAGTATGTCGCTTTCTTTAATACATCTTCATTGTTATACTCGAGTAAATGAAAAACATGTAAAAAAAAGTAATAGCTCAATTACGTGTGTAGGTTGTAAGCCACGAGCTACCTTCCCCTACGACCGAGCGGAAATAATAGGAAGGCATTCTTTTCCAATGTAGCTTGAAATTTTAAAGACAATGTGGACAAAAAAGACGAGCGAAGAGCCCGCAAAGATTTATGGTCGGAATGAGGCTTTAAATCTGTTTGGAATGAGTTCTGGATGGTGTCGCTGATAATTATTATATTTAAGTCCTAATTCTTTAATAATAGAATCGCCATCTCTCAGCGAGCTCCGTTTTGTTTTATTTCTTATCGCTAAGCTTCTTATCATAGTGAGAGGGTTTTAGAGATTTAAAAAATTCTCGAATGCTGGTCATATTTATATTTCCAGTTTACTCATATTTCATACTTTTTCTAATACTATATTATTTTTGATACTCTTACAATGTTAGATATTATTCTTTATTAATTAATTAGATATTTACTATTAAGTAACTTTCTATAAAGTATACATCTTTAGACTTGAATCTTTTTTTTAATAAACGTGTTAAATGTGTTTCACTTGAGAGATTGCAGGATGGCTGATTTTTTTTTGTATTGTAAAGAATTAGTTTTTCATCAATCACTCTATCTCCTCTGTTTGTGACGTTTAGAAAATTAATTTCAATACACATGGCTTTAGTTCGTTATAAGTAATATGTTGAGAGCTATTTGAATCTTTCAGAATAATGGTTAGATTGGAGAAACGTCACGAAAGAAATTACTTGTGTATGTTAAAGTTCCATTTCAATTCAAACGATACTAAAATAATTTAATGTTAGTATAGTTTAAAACTCATATCGGTTTACATATATTTTAAAACTGTCGTTAGTAAAGAGAATATAGTTAACTATGAAGGAGATAACCCAGTAACAACAATAGGATTTAAGATTATTATCAGCAGTGTCATTTCGTGAGCAGCTGACACATATATAATACATATAATACCTAGAGTATCATATTGCAACGTTTTTATCGACACTCCTACACACCGCGACGGAAAAATATATTTTATTTATAAAAAAACTGTTATTTTTATATTAACAATAAATATGTGTCTCATAAAACATTGTAATGTAACTGTATACGCGTGGGCCGGACCGATCCTCGAACCACGGCCTGACACCTCGTCACGACACAGAACACGACAAAAAATACACGAGAGTAATACAAGAACAACGATATAGATTAATTAAGTTTAATAATTACTAATATAATGAACATTAACAATACCCGTTAAGACAGTAATGGTCCTTATAAATATATTAGTTATTTTATTATTAGCAGCTGTAGTACTTAGAAAACAATTAATTATGTATGAACGTTATTCTGTATTTTAAGAAGTTGTAATGTTATCGTGGAACACCTCGCACACAACACCAGCGGGCTCGAACATGTACATCGAACAGATCATTACGTATAATTGAGAAATTTGTAATGGCCTTTTTTATAGTTATAGCTAGGAAGTAAAGACAATCCGCGTTCTAAATGGTCAAACGTACATCTTGACAAATAATTGTCATGGACTATTATGGCGAGGGACGCAAAAACATTATTAATATTGTGATCTGTTGTGTACATTTGTATGTTAACATAATTAAAAGTACACCTATAACCATTTAGAATGTGAGCCTTATATTTTGTACCTTATTCGTTTATAATAGAGTCTAGTTTTGTTTGTAATCATCACCAGCTGGTGTGACTGTGCCATATACGGTGCAACATTCATGAGCTAACTCTAGACGCAGCTGTGTATAATAGAGCACATTTTTAAGGCGACCTTGGAGTGTGTGGTGTAGTATGTAGTGTGCTTTAATCTACTCCTACTCCTCTGCTCTATTAATATATAAACTTGGTTTACGGTATGCAATACAATCCAAAAGTATTAATAAAGAATAGTTATAACTTTATTCCCTACATTTATTTCAGTCTAATTCAAATCCTTTACAGTGCTTGTATCGTAGCCACGCAGCAGAAGCCGTAAGGCGATTGAACTGTAAAGCTAATTATAGAAGTGTATTATCACTGAATGAACAGTAATCACATCTAAACTTTGTCTCCTTCATGAGAGGTACAGTTTGGCCAATTCCATGTTATGTAGCTGTCCTTCCTTCGCTTACGAACTCTCATTGAATGTCTGCTAATATTTATATTTTGAGTGTTGGTTGTTGAAGGCTCATCATAATAACACATAAGCTTTGATTAGAGAAATTATTTTTTCCACTCAAACGTTAGAATATTATTTTTATTATGAGAAGTATAACTTAAGTAAATAGTTATTTAAATGAGAGTGATAGTGAATGTGGTATAGTATGGACTATCTGTTGAAGGTACATGTAAGTATATATCGTTAATGTATCTGGAGACCGGAGATGGCATCACTTGAGGAGTGTTTGTTCAGTGAGTTTCATATGCTAACTATGTTTAGCTGGCAATGTTTAATCGCCCAATTACCAAAGTTTCTGATTCCTGGACGGTTGTTTACGGAGTGGAAAATTGGGGAATCGGGTCCTCAAAAGTTGGCCATTCCAGTCTGGATCGCCGCTTCAAGGACTGGCCTGACGAACTTTTGTATTTATTTTGTAATGAGCGCTAAATTTTCGGAGCCTGCCGGCGGAAAGGTTGACGTTCATTAATTTATTTTTTTCTTCCTGTCAAAATAACCCTTTCGACGACGGGACTTAAGAGCGTCACTTGACATTATATTTATACACCATTTCAATTGAATTCTTAATTACTTTCTTTTTAAAATGACACCTACTGTACATAGAGAGTGGTTTTAATAGAGTGTAGAGTAAGCGAAATATCTTCAGATGGCACGTTGAAAACACCCACGAAGTTGTTTGGACGGCGGCGCGTGCGCATTCCGCTACCGACAACGACACAGCTCTAATAACGAACACACGCCGAGATGAAGCTATCACAACATGCATCTAGCTTCTGAGAATTAAAGTTCCACAACTAACATACACATCCTCAGATAACATTACTGCATTTATGGCTTTAAAAACATGTTTGTCTAGCGCAATTACTATTTTTTTATGTTCAAAAGAACTATTAAATTATAGATACTTATATAACTATAATATAATTATTATTATATTAAGCGGTAGTTTTAAGGACAAAAGATTTCTCTTGTTTTTTTTCAGTGTATAAGTAAGATATAACAACTTATAAAATCTATGACGTGTAATCTAAATGAAAATATATATACATATAAATACAGCGATTAAAACTAGTTATAGGAACACATTATATATTTAAAGGTGTAGGTGTAGGTCTCATCGTCATTCTTGATCGTATCCATTGAAGTCCGCTGTATGTGTTCATATATTACAACATCACTCCACTCGTCATATCATTTTCATATAAAAGTAAACATCTCTCCCAGCTCTACACTGCACCTCATGTATAAATCTCTAATATTTTATTCTTGTTAAATGCCGCACATCCAACTTTAAAGGCCCTCATATCAATAACACTTTTATAGTTTTTACACGAGACATAACTCCAAATTGAATTATTTAAGATTCACACAGCGCTCGGCCACCGCTGGATAAATATATGTAATTTATTTAAGTAATTTGACTTATAAATAATGTTCACTTACAACATACGATTTGTTTTGAACAACTTTCAAATGAATGTAATAAAGATTGCTTTAACTAATTGACGGATACGTGACGATATTATATGAGGACGTACCTCGTATGTGCGATATCGTACACTCTTAGTGTATGTCGTAAGCATGTCGTGGTCGTCCCGTGGGTTGTAAAGGCCGCCCCGTGCCCAGCGGGAGCGCGTCTCGTTCGATAGTAATCGATATCTGGCTTTGATTCCGATTTACGGCTCGTCGTCGTCTCCTACGATTCAATGATCTTTTTATTTTCGGGACGCCATTTGGGTTTTTTGATTCTTTTGTTATTGGTATTGTTTTAAAAACTTTGTTCCCGCAATTGAATAAAAAGATAACGTCTATAAATAAACACGTTTACGAGGAAAATATTATAAAGATATGATCGCTTTATATTATTATTATAACAAGAGACTTTCAAAAAGAAATCGTTGCCTTATTATATCGGTATAAAACCACACACAAACTAAACAAAGTATAAAATATGATAATTTGATTTCAATCAGGAACATAATAAATAAAAGCCAATACGCCGTAAACGTATAAATAGAAGTGATTTCGCAAACATAACTAATAAGGTCTTAACGAGGACATTTTAAATGTAATTTATTATCCAATTCGATGTGCCGCTGATTCCTTGCCGATATTTAATAGTTCCACGATTACATTGTATGTGACCGGTGTAATATTAACATTACAGCCACACAACATTATATTCAGGAGCTGTCTTAAAAAACACTTTATTATTCCGTTGTATTCCCCATACATTGTGATTCGTGGCAAAATATTGATCAATGATTTAATGACGGATGGCGGACAGAATACATAATACTGGACCGTAACATATTTAGATAGATACTTGCAAACTTAATTCGATCTAAAAAATATATTATACCATAAACTGTTAAATTTACTTAAAATGCAAATAAATTGTAGATGACAACTGGAAAATGCTAAATGTATGAATTAAATTAATATAATTAGTGATTATTTATAGCGAGCGTATTTATTATTTGAAAAAATATTGTATTATTCATGAAACGAAACATCTGTAGGGAGGAATGTACGGAGCGATGTTATAGACGTGTCACTTGTACGTGTTTGTGATAATTTTCTTTAATAAATAATCTTTAATACTTCGTTTGAATGGAACCAGTTTAACAGTTAAGCTCCCACTGATCTGTGTTCACGTTTATCTTTTATGTATATAACTTTGTTGTATGTTTAATATAATTGTATCTTTGACTTTTTTGATTGTCTAATGATTTGTAATTACTAATTCCTATCTTACTCTGTTATGTAGAGAAGTGACGTCACGAATCTATTAATGTCTACAAGTACATATCACCACAATGAGAAGTTACATAACACATGTAAGGAAGGATTTTTTGCTAATTTTATAGAATCAGTAACAGACGTATGTGTCTGTGTGTGTCTGTATGTGTGTGTGTCTGTATGTGTGTGTGTGTATTACTGTTGGAAATGGTTATTCACTAACAGACTCATTACAGTGTTTGCATTATATTATAATTGAACAATATAGATTTACATGCATTTCTAAAAACCTTTTTCACTATATTCAATGTCATGTTTCTGAGTGGAGTTATTTTAATTTTCCCTTATGTTGTGTGTGGAGAGTGTTCCGTATCTTATCTGTGTTTGTTAAACGGTCGATCTCTGAACTATAAAACTCTGTCGCTACTTGTATCGCAAATTTTTCTGCCTGAACAAAAATCCCGTAATAAATTGTTCGACATTTTCCAACGTTAGCGTTCAGAGGCACAGACTAGCTACTCATCAGAGTATGCATTAATTCTATTTCTATTTAATCTTTAAAAGTATATATAAAACAGTCCTAGAGAATATTCTCACTGATTAATTAAGAAACATACAATAATTAACAAATCCTTTTGGTATGTATACTATTAATTTTAAGTATCTGCTCTCGATCCACTCTCCTTACTACAAGTTTCCCGTTTCTCATTGACTAAGCATTAATATCATAATGTAAGAAAAACAATTACAGCCTCGTATGTTGTATAAGTCTGTATATCGTCGTATAAAGAGCACGTCTACCGGTAGCTGGTCTGTACACAACAAACTGTATCGAAGTGACGCCCGTACTGATAATTTATGCAGTAATTAAACCGGTTATAACATTGCAGCTATATTTTACGTATATTAAGATATTAGCCGGATTGTTTAATATTGAGTAATATTTATTTTGTAATTTATAATCGACTTTGAATCGAATTAATATCGAACTGTTACATTATTAATGATCGTTTGGTGATTTAAATAAACTCGTTGTCGACACTACGCATTATACATTATGCGACCTATACTATTCAATTAATATTTATTTTTGTTTCAGAGAATTTAATATGCAAAAAAAAAATCGTTTTACATGACTAGACTGGTAGAAATGTTTTTTCTAGTTTCTTTTTATATAATAAGTAGACACAGGTGATGTTTTACTTCTATTAAATTTCTTTGTCCTCTGTTTAAACAATCGTATATCCTGACCGAGTTTCTGACGACATTCCTCTAACAAGGAGACCAGGAGTGAGACTCAATACAATGTAGATAATAATGTACTAAGAATAGAATGAATTCCATTAATATTAATAATTTGTTAAATGTATACAAAAATTGATAATCAACTTTACAAATGTAAATTACAACCGTCCATAACGTCGCGAGTGAGAATTTACGACATTTAATAGTATTATTTATTACATATTATAATATTATATTTAACATTCATTAAATTATATATTTACCTGGTAAATTAATTTATGTGTTATGTTCAAGAAACATTATTCTTATTTATTATTTGTTTAAATTAATTTAATATCGTAATGTTTAGTGAGTAATATTTATGATGTCACAGTGAGTAGAGCCGGGTGTGGAGTTTATAGTTTGTTTAAACCGTCGATAAATCTGTTTAATCAATACGACAAACCCAACGTGTCCTGTATACGAACGAGCTATGACCTAAACATTCCATTCACCTTACATCTAGGACAATCCCCGGCCAGTCCACGTGGACCCCGCGTCTCGAGGAGTCGTCTGTGATCTCGAAGGAATCGGTACTCTCACTCTCAGCCCGGAGGTCAGGTTACGTCGGCCGTGTTGAATTATTCAGCTGATAACTATGTATTAGTATTCAAAGAGAAGTCGATGGGAAGACTGATTTGTATTTACAAAGTAATTCATCCGGCTCGAGTAAACATCCATCACAATTTAATTTGTCTAGACATGTTGGACGCTCCGGCTGGAGAAGCGACATTTTAACAAACACATATATAATCTGTACATTCGTTATCTTGAATATATTGAATCAATAAGATGATATGTGCCCGTTTATGTTTACATTTTACTGGCTCGCAGTACACAGGAATCACGAGCTCGGTTATAAATCATTTATCAATGCATTTTAATGTAACGACCTGACTATATTATTTATATTACAAATGACGTCTAGTTTTAAATGTAATCATATTATTTTATAAAACTTTACGATCCATAAAGCACAGCGATAAATATGACCCGGCTATGGTCTGCGTGGGTCGGCCATTTTAAATAATAAAATACGCCATATAAATTCAAATTTGGCGCGAATCTAAAATTCAAGCTAAAGTTTTTTTTTACTGTCGATAGTGTAATATAATATGGTCGGCGTCAGTTTTTTAACAGTTTAATGTCATGTGAATTCTGAAAAAGGGAGTTATATTACATTTTCGACTATTTTCCTTAATTGAAATAGCTGTGGGCCGGTTTCTCGGTAGTTTTATTGATACATAGTGTTGTCGGAGGTCTATTCTTGTACAATGGTGTTGTGACAACAAAGGCACAGTGAGATATGTTGACTCAGGCAGTCAGGGAGTGTGGCTTTGTGTCGACCACCTACATACACTGGCGGGCGTGCTGCTGAGCTGGCAAAAACAAAAAAATATGACACAGATGAAGTGGCGACCGGAGGAACTACAACAACGAGAGGCTAGCGACACTTACACAACCATCATTAGAACGCTAATTAGTGATTATGTATTACTTGTATCGAGCTAAAATAGACTCGTTACTTACATTGTTGAACACAGTTTGTCACAAACCAGAAACACCAATAAAAAATAAAAGTTTCAAGTTCAAACGAGTGATTGGTTGATGAAGTCGCGGGACATGGTGCGCCGTGTGCCGTGTAGTAGCCTCTAGCCTGTAGCAGTCGGATCGTGACAGATGCAAACGATTGCCGGCCGTTCATGCTCTTTCGATTCTTTAATTGGAAGGTTCCTATCTCGTAGTTTTTTTCCTATAAGGCTCGTTAGCGACCGGTCGCTGCCGACGTTTGCCAATTTTTGCAATCAAATAAACACATCTCCTCATTATGGACCACGGTCTAGAATGACGGGACGGCCTACTTAAAATACATCAGACAAAAATAAATGACACGAACACATTTCAATGTTTCGATCAATCCGTCTATATTAATATCACACACCTCTGTGTACGTGACATGCAGAAATTTACACATAATTTGTCAAACTTCTTCAGCAGGGACAGGTGTAGTTTGTATGATGGAAGGATGAAAAATGTTCAAAACGACGACATCAAAACTTAGTTTCCTGGAATCGACAGAAGATCCGTGGAATATTTGTTGTGATAATATTAGTTCTGTTGGGTTTCCTTGAACAGATCTTTTCTGAGACATCTCGTTGGTGACATATTAATTACTAATCGAGATATAGCCCCGTCCCGTAATGTTGATACGTGGATATCATATTTGTACGAGGGAGCTGCTGAACTATTGATAATTATCGTGATACGAATAGCAAATGCCGGGAATTGTTTGAAGACGTTTCTATACAAATATAAATAGATTTATGACTTTATGTGGACCCTTAATATATTGTATAAAATTCTCAAACAGATATTATTACTCTTCTATACGACTATTAAGACGTAAAACGAGAACATTGTATTTTAAAGATATTTCACAAACGGATGAACATTGAATTTAACAAGGTCAAAGTTTATGTGGAGGAGAGTTGTGAACAATTCTCAATGTGTGTATTGTCATTAAATGACAAACATATGATATTTATACAGGGTGACTGGTGAATTACTATCGATATTTGAGGACGTGATATTTGACGATCTTATATGACAAAATAAAAATGAATATAACATAAATATTAATAAACTTCTAAGTAAAGTTAACCAAAAGTTATGTAATTAATTACGCATCGTATGAACACCCTACAGATTAGGTATAAACACACACTCACACATACGCGCGCGGAGGCGTGTTGTTGTATCAGCACGCCGCCGCACGCGTCCACACTTGGAACACTTGGAACGTGCACACACTTTATTTATTTATACGGAAATTTGGTCAAAAATTACGTACCTATTTTTTTTACATAATTCGAATGAGAATCATGTACCGAGTATGCTCCTTAAATATTGATAGTAATTCACCAGTCACCCTGTATACTAATATTGAAATTGATATATTCAATTGATTACGATGACTAAATATTAAATAAAATTATAAGAGGGTTAAATAAAAATAAGAGTAGATACAGCAGATTATTATATATGTTCTGTCATATTGATAATGATTTACAAATGCCTTTCATTTAGGAAGATTAAGATAATATAACAATATAGATTTGAAAAAAAATATCCCAAATTCTTTTGCAAAAAAAGTTAAGCCATGTCTATGACAGATATGTATCTCCCATATCGCTTAGAGAGAGAACTTACTGAGAAATTGAATTGTTAGAGTTGACAAGAGAGTCTCATGAATAGCGGAAGCGATTTATCACAATTGGCAGGTAAATTGTTTACTTAAGGACAATTTGAGATAAAAGCCATGCCAAATTCCATCACAAAGGCCCTCTAAGAGGCGTCGGGCGTGCGGCGCGGTGGCGTGCCGTATCACAACGTCATCGTGCCATAAAATTGACTTTGTCACTGCTCATAAATCTTCCCGAACGACAAAAAATTTACAATATGGCCGTCTATAGGTTCGAATTCACTCGCTCCTCGGATGTTTACACAACAGGCGACCCTAACGCGGACTTTTTTTTCACTTCTTTTGAAATTCTTTCTTTGGTTTCCCCAAATGGCTAATCTTTTACGCCATATTTAATAACGTTATTGTTGCCATCTAAGTTTAGTTGTCAAAATATTTTAGTAGGAAGTACTTTCTGTAATAGTATTAAATAATTTTAGCTTTAATTCCTACTCGTACAATGGATCCGGTACATCGTATTAAATGAAATATAATGTTTTTTAGCTGAGCCGTATGAATTGATATCGGATGCGTAGGATCGTCGTTTCCTTAACGGCTCTGGAGTGGTGCCAATAAAACAAGTTTTAAGGCGAACTTTCTGCGAGTCTGCCATAACTCCTGCCTCCGGATGGCAATAAATGTCATCGGGGACGCACTACGTGCCACTATCGGGACGGTTTTGCATCCACTATCGAGTGTCTCCATCTAGCGGCCGTGCTGCGTTGGCGTCTCGCACCGAGAAGGGAATTGTCGCTAACGTTCAGGAGATAAAAAGACATAAATATTGTGGTGAAGTCGAACATACTTCGTCTGGGATTATATTAACAAAAAATAGACATAGAAGCTCCGCCAGTTAGATAACACGCTAGTCCTATATCTAGATAATGGAGACGTAGAACTTTATATTTTTGTGAATAGTATTTTTTATTCACTTTTAACTCGTAAAGCACGAAGTTAACCACAAATTCGTAGTTCCAAGTGAACGGTTGTTTTGTTTTGGTTCGTTTTACGACGTAGTAGGCGTCTGTTATTTATGTCTTTCGTACGGAAGTAATTATACGAGTTATTAGTATGATTTGCGGCTATTTCAGACGAGCTCACGGCTCACACGACGCCCGGCACCGTTTATATTATATTTGAAATGCTACATAAACCATTACGGCTGAAATATTGTAAGTATCGTTACTGATGAAACATTGAACGGGTTTAAGATGCCTCTACTAACATTATTATAAGCAGATCGCTTTTAAGCTGTGTGGCAAACGTTCTCTCACGAAAATTTTAATTAATTTGATGGTTTAGTTATCTTACACATTATTTTTAATCGCTGTAAGGTGAATTTAACAGTATGTTTATTGTGGGTTTAGTGAAGTTCTAACTTGTAATGTATATTGTGTAGTAATTTTTAGTTAAATTTATAAACTTGAGTTCGTGTAAAGAAGGACCAAAGGTTTACAGACAATGATACCCACTTCCATTCAATCATCGGTTTCAGAACATATAAATCGCGAGGTTCATGAGTCACGTGCCGTCAGAGAGTTTTTCGCCAAACTTAAAACGATTTAAAGTTTCCTTCTGGATCTAATCGGGTCTATATATTACACAACTCAATTGAAACTTTACCAGCCAAAGTTGGACTACTTTTTATCTGAAGCCACCATTGAACATCGTTTAATTTACTATTGTTAATATGTTTGTAACAGAATTTAAACTTTATACAGTCTGTTTTTTCCCACGACTCGGGCTGACTAATATTATCTCATTTAATAATTACGTATACCTATTATGTGTACATATCTGTGGCAGCTCTCAAATACCGCATCGCGTGTCTCGTCATTAACATTTAACATTATAAAACATTCAGAAACCATCTTTTTTGAATCACAAAAAGTTTTCATATGATTTATTTAACGAGATATTTATGTTCTCTACTCCAAGGCGCATGTTTATTTTATAAAATCCAAATACGAACCCTCTATACGTTATCACCGTGTCGTAAGGTTCAAGATGCATTGTATTGAAAGTAAATAATAAATTTGTTACAATCCAACACGTCCAAGTGAATGAATACTCTGTAGTCAACTCTATATTTAAAGTAATATGATTTAAATTTGTCTGTTTGTTGTAGTTTATCACGTAGTGCAGTTTCGCGTGGGCACGCGGGTGCACGCAGCCTCGTCTCTGACTGTATGAAAAATGTTTCATTTCATTTAAAATTCCATTGAAGAATCAGATAATTTAGGAGCACTCTGTACAAAGTGCCTGCAGAATGGATGTACAAATATGTTAATAATTTACATTTACATGAACCTTTCTATGTTCGTTGATTTTATCTTATTATATTATTTTAATATTCTCGATAGTGTCCTCTTTAAAATATTCTTTTCGTATGTCCTTAATGGTATGACAGAGGATTTATTGTTAAAAGCTGTGTCATTTTAATATGACTGTGTATTTTTGTCTCGATGTATTCCTCCCACGACCCTTAGAATGTCAAAAAATGTTTTAAAGGGACACGTGATGGGTGGTGGAGGTGGTAGGGGTACCACTCAAGAGTGTTCACTGTTCAAAGAAATTGATTGTCATCGGAGGTTTATCTTATTATGAATTTATTTGTTTCATATTTATTGTTTAAGATTGAGTCAAAGATGTTTTGTATTTTTTTCAAATTGGTTATAGTTATTTCATTTTACATATGTATTACACTAGCTTTTACCCCCAGTCTCGCTCGAGTGAATGGAATATCATTTCAAGAAGGTACTCATTTAGCTAAACTATTATAGAATTGAGACTATTGCGGCTAAAACGTGTATGTGATAAGTAACTTAAAATGTTTTCTTATATTTAAATCACACTTATGCCACGTAATGTAATGAGAATTAGCTACTTTGGCTCGGCAGTTAGAAAGATTACTCCGATCATAAAAAAAGATAGCGCCGCTGATGATTAAAACTACAAATTGTAATGTCTCCCGAGTGTATTGTTTCTTCTACTTCTATATTGACGTTTTCACCATAAGATCTGAATTCTTGTCTTAAAGTTTCTTAAGTAACTTATTTTATTCTAACGTCGTGATGTCAAGCCTTAGTTTGTGTGACTGCATGTTTGTGTCTCATCCTCTGTCAATACACGCCGTGTGTTTGTTTTCGTCCCGAATACATTTTTTTCACGAACCGTCAGTCCGGCCACGTGATTGACGTGTTTACATACCACACGATACTAACATATACAAATTAATTACCTCACAATGTATTAAGCCAATTCACAAATCACAATACAACGTTATGAATGGAAATGTGACTGGTTATAGGAATAAATATATAGTGATATCAAAAAGCGAAATTTATATAATGGTTGAAGTGACTTTTAACACATGGAGCGTATTCTATGGTAGTGTAGTGTGTGTGTGTGTGTGTATTGTGTGTGTGTATGTGTGCGTGTGTGTTTGTGTGTGAGTTATTCTCAACATTAAACCGGAGGCTGGTGTTGTTCACAGTTCAATAAAAGAACTTCTTACACAGAGCGTGAACTCGTCACCTACAATGAATACATCTAAGAGTGAACCGTGAAGGTACTCCTCCTCCTCGCTCTGTGATTTCCCCTGGCGATGCTCGCTGTTCGCCTCACTCCGCGCCGGCAGCACAGAAGCCGACGCGCTTTTAAAACCCACCAACATTGTATTAAGTGTATCGCTACAGTGAACGTCATAATATTAAAAAGCCCGCGACTCCGCTCACCTGTTCCATATTAATGTATCTTAATTAACGATGTTATAAAGAGTTCGCTAACGATTCGCTTACATAAACAATCGAGTGTCGCTCAATGAAAATATTAATATCGGCGCGATTGAAGAGCTGCTTTATACATCATTAACAGAGCGGCGACGACTCGCGCCTTCCGTACACAACAGATAGCACGAAATACGCGCCACGACACAGACACTACTATTGACTCGACGATCGACTCATTATACACATGTTATATACAATAATACTATTATGTTATGAAAATATTAGTGAATGTACAAATATCGTTCTAATTTATTCACATGTAGAAGTGTTATTGATGTGAATATAATTTGTAATATCAATTGAATGTCACTTTATTTTCGATACGGTCCGAGTATTCGCGTGTTCGTAAACCGGTGGTAGTGGATCCTATTAGTTTTCCTAGAATTAATCTGTATGCAAATTAAAGTATCTGTCGCAGTAACGAGCTGTCGTTATTAATTTATACCAATAACTTCCTTCATCTAGAGAGTCGAGACCGCCGCGCCGCACACATACAATATACACGGACATGTTCCTTATTTACGTTTTTAATATTAGTATTGATACTACCAAATATTAAACATAATATGTTCTATAGAAATTGAATATGTATCATTTATAAGTCTTAACATGACTGTATGTATGTGTGTGGGAGTGTGTGTGTGTGTGTGCGTGTGTGTATGTTATATTAATAAAGTTACTTACAACTTCCTAAGCAGTTTAGTTCCGTATGTGAATGTTGTTTCATCTGTGAACAAGACAAATATATTGTATAATAATATATTAATTCAAATTTATACAATATTTTTAAGTTTCATTTTATTCTTCTATATCGCGAACTTGTTTTGGATTGATCTAAAAAAATATTTATAAATCAACAGTCAATATGGTCCGGGTATAAGTTTTTCTCCGACTCAGCTGTCTCTGAACCCTGCGGGAAACCATTTTTTGGATCATAAATATCAATTCTCACTAACACAACAAATATTGAGTTTATTCAAGATAGTGATCTCTTCCATCTGTTTGTCTGTAGAGTTTACTTAAATATATAGCGTTTTAACTTTCATTAACGATTATTGAAAATGAACACAATGCAGGTAAATAAAAATAGAATTATCAATAATAATGAAATAAAAATATAATTTAAAATAGAGACTCGATGATTGATTCTTTTGTCCACTGTGTTGATATAACGATTCATCCTTAGCTCGTCTTATTGTGATAGTAGCAAAAATACGTTTTATTGAACATTCAGAAAATGTATTCTTTTTCATTTCACACGTCAACAAAAGGTAATGATTAAGTTGTGTTGTAAGAAATTATCGTATAATTATTAAGCGTAGTTTTTCGTTTCTTAATTTTTGTAGTTCTTGTATTTCGATAGTTGCAGAGTAAAATATTTTCACAAGAGTATATCTAAAGCTATGATGGCTTCACTCAGCCAAGTCATTTGATTAAAAAAGCCCGCCGTAGTAACAGCGTATTTCAAAGAAACTCGTGACGGCCACAAAATGCCTTAACTTAATTCTGTTTATATAGCTTTCCACCGATTCAAAGCTCGGCAAATTATTTGTAAACACGCTCCAGGAAATTCTCGATTTAATGCAGCACGTGCGGCGACCTTTGTTTTGGCGCGCGGCGGCCATCTTGTTACACAGAAATGGACTGAAATGGCGGCCGGTGACCGTTAGGGAATTGTAAATTAATGACTTAATACATAAGTTGAACGGGTATTAAAGTTTAAATGGTGTTCCTCTGAGTGGAAACGAATGGCTCCAATAATGGTTTCGTATTTGAACGAGCGGCCACTTTGTGAAACTACTGATTGCTAATAATTTGATCGGCTATTGAACGAAGTAATCACCATGGAAAGCTGCGGAATTATTGTTTGCACCTCCGATATTACAACACATTTCCAATTCATGTTTGTATTTCCATACATGATTTTTAAATGTCTGTGTGTGGTGTTCCGTAATGTTCTCATAATATTTAAATATTACATGCGTTTCCCATGGCGAACAACATTATTTAATTGTGAATTGCTAGTCCTGCAATTATACCTACTTACTTTTACAATAGGGAAAAGGTTCATCGTGTATATTAATTAGGTTTTTTTATTAAATATATATTCACATTTTTTTAGGAACATTTGTTTCACATTTTTTTAGGAACATTTAAATCTTTTTCTGATCAATAATGTACATATATTGGATCGATGAACATAAACTAAACGATAATTACTACCACCTCGTTATCAGGAACACTAATTGAGATTTATTGTCACCTCCACATTCAAAGCTTATCGCCTCGTTATCATTTAAGATGTAACCTGTAGTATTTAATTTGAAATGGTCCTGTGTTACGTATGTACATATTTTAAAGTGGAATTAATCGTACTATATTTATGTTCGTAGAATGTTCAGATGATTTTTTTTTTTCAGTTTGGTTGTCGCTGCCGCTTGTGTCTTGTTGTCAAGATATCCGAGCAAGTGGCGCCTGTTAGTAAGCGCTATAGAAGGACTTGAGACATACAATCGTATTCAAATACGTAACAAACCTTTCAAAACATAATAATTCAAACGAAGTAATAATTGCTTGAATACTTAATATTTTAACAGTAATTGACAGTTTAATGAGGTAGTAACTGCTACAAGAACATATTTAATACCTATGATACAAAACATTAATTTAATATTCTATTTAGGAGACATTTATTACAATGACACCATGTATATACAGTCCTTCGCAGATTTCACACCTCCTATACCAGTAATAGTGTGGTAACACTCTTTATAGTTGTTGATAGTGCGAGCTAAACAGCGACCGGTTTAATATTTCGCCACGATTAAATCAACTGATTAGGAACTAATTCCGTCACCGGGGAATTAACATGCTCGACGGGAATATACCGCGCGTTCAAAATATAATCTTGATGTCACCACTTTAAGGTCTATTTCAAATAATTTGGGTGTTAGCATTATGTTAACTTGAGATGATCTCGAAGTAAACAAGCAGGCGAGAATAAACCTTATTAGAGGCTGGCAAGGTTCTATATCGCTTGAGTGTGGCGAGGGTTAGTTCGGTCTAATTATGTACATGGGGTGTTGAAACTTGGAATATGTTAAACTACAAGCGTTTTAAATCTGCGAGACGAAAACTTAACAGAACTGGGACATACTTGGGTCGAATGCTTTGATCTGATTAAAATGAAAAACAATTAGTACGTGACACTGACATTGACATTTTAAATGTCATTTTTATATTAATTTAAGATGACAAGTCATGATTAGGCAAGCGGTGTCCTTCGTAATAGTTATATTATATTTAAAATAACCGGTTATTAATATTAAAATATTTATGATGTGTAATAAGATGGCCAGATAATAACTTTGATGTAATTTTTGACGAGAACTTGTAACAACTGTTAAAGAAAACATCGAAGTTATGTAAATGTTTATACAAATGTATGATCGTACTACTCACTAGTGTACCAGTAGTGAGTGTGGATCTCGTTGTAGTGTATCGTGTATGTTAATGTGTTCCACAGCTACACAAACAGTAACGGGATGATGAGTTTAATACATAGTTGTATCGATTACGAAACACTTTAATATAATAACGGTAACAGAAATATTTAACGCGCTAATGTTTGTTTTAAAAATTCAATTCAAATCGGACCAGCATGGGATGTCGGCTTGTATTAAAAACTAGTATTTGTAATGTTAATGTAGACTTTTCTGATTCCAAGTGACTTATGTATATAATTTCCTATGAAATCTTAGTTAGTGATATATCTTTTATTAAAATAGCTAATTTCTCAAAGCTGTAATGAAAAATATTGATCTATATAAAAGCATCTTATTTTATAAAGGTAGATCGTCTGAAGGAAACTAATTACTTAATTTGTTTTTATGCATCCTTTAGTTAATTGGGATCTTAATTTCTTCAATCTCACATTTAAAGTACACCCCAAAGGCTGTACCTTTCAGTGTCGGCCGTTCTCGGCTGTGTGAAGTTCTCTTTTTAATTATTAAACAATAATACCAATTAAAGCAGCTCCGCGATCGTCTTGCAGACAGGCTCTAACTTTCAATTGCGTTTCAAGTAAATCCGAGAATTTTATACTTGGAGTGTGGCTCGTAATTAACGGTCTGACGTCGAGGGCCACTGCTCATTAATATGATTTAAATGAGCGTCTTACAAACTAGCGCCCTCTGACCCTCCCCTCGACCCCCCTCAGCCCCCCCTCACTCCCTCCATCCCTCCAGCACTAGCATCGCCGACCTAACAAGGGCTCGCCTCTGGATCCTGGAGCTGTTTATTGAGGCTTTTAACTTTTGCCATTATAATATTTAAAGTATCGGAGATTATTTATTATATTATAATCTCTTGGTATGCATTACAGGCAGTTATTAAATACTATAATAGCTCATAAGATATTTGGTTTACTTAAGTGTTCGTACATCGACATGGCATAGTTCACGCGTGATTATTCCTGATGTTATAACAACTTGTATCAACGACACAGCAGGTCAGTTTGTTTATTGAATTCGTTTGAAATATTATTATATATTAAACTGACGATAAAATATTATTATGATAGACCAAGCTGTGGACCGAACACAAAGACAACTGTTAACATATTACCGGAGTGTCGTCTTGTATTACACGTTATTTTATAGCGATGATTTTTAACAATAATTTTAAACGTGACCGGAGTTATTCGTGTCTCGAATATCAATGTTTTTTCTGTATGAAGTATGATTCAAACACTTGTACGTTTTATGTCATTTTTATTAATAAAAGAATAATAATTGTATTTGAATGTTAGAACATTTTATTTGCTTAGTTATACGTGGTAATTACCTTATTTTATGAGAGTCAAAATGTATTAAGTACGGAAATG